TCCAAACCAAAATTCTGTTGTTGTCGGTATTGTTGTAGTAGTAGATGGTGTTGTTGTTGTTGGGGGTGGTTTATCTTCAACAACCATTATAACTGGTCCACCCTCATCACCCTATTCATCATATTTTATAAGTAAAAAAGTATAAATTTTTTTATATAATTGAAAACAATTATTTTGTCAATTATCTATCTATCGACACATACATTACAGGCGCCCTTTCCTTTGTCAGCCACCACACAAACATTGTTACTGTCAACGATTGGTTTAGTATTGGTACTCCCGTATGTCATCCTAGACACACACTGTTGCCAATCAAGCTTATGTACATCTAGTGTATGTAGAAACCACCAAACAGAATCAGTACCCCAACCGGCACCGATCTTGGCCTTAGTTCCGTTATGGCTGATATGCGGTACTTGATTTTCATCAGCCAATCGAATTGGTTGAACCAAATCACCGAAAGTAATGTTTGGTTGGATCCGAACCAGTGCTATATTGTTTTGTTTAGTCTCAGGCGAGTACTGGTCGTGTATAACAATTTTGTCGACAGCAAAGTAGGTATGATTTAATTGGTAATCATTTTTACCGACACCAACAAAAACATTAGAAATTTGATTGCTGTTTGTTTGTTATTATAAAAATACAAAATAAAATTAATAACTAATCATAACTAGTAATAAATAAATAAAGTTTCTGTAAATAATATAACACAATACCCGTGTATCCCATGTAGACAACTGGCGGCTGTTAGTATCCAATTCGGACCAATGATACTACCGCTACACAAATGTCGCTTAGATTGGTTGTCTATTAACGATGCCGGATAACCCAAACCGGGTATGTTTCATATAACCGAATATTTCAAGAGTTTTCACTTTATTAGCGAATACATTATTTAATGTATTATTACATCTATAACTATCAGCAGTTATATTGGTTTTCTGATTAATCCATTGTAGATATGGTCCAATATTTGTCATAATAGTTGGCCGATTGGAACCACACAACAGATTATCGGTTAGTATACCGATTAATAGTTTATCAACTTTTCCGCCATTATTATTACAATTGCCCAGTTGTTGTTGATTTTGTTGTTTTGGTATATCTATAGTCACTGGTCCACCAACATCACCCTATTTTACATTTTTTTGTATTAAATTTTTTTAAAAATAAAAATTTTACTCTTTCTTTCTTTCTTTCTCTCTCTCTCTCTCTCTCTCTCTCTCTCTCTCTCTCTCTCTCTCGCTCTTTATATATATATATATATATATATATATAATAGAAAATATAAATATATATATTATTTTTAGACCCTTACATTACAAGCTATTTCCTTATAGTAGTTAACCAAACATAGATTGTTACTATCGATGACTAGTGTTGTGTTGTTATCGTTGTTGATATTGTAGGTAATATTGTTAGTCATTATAGACTTACATTGTTGCCAACCAAGTGTACGGACATCACTTGTTCGGCTCGATTTATATAACCAATAGTTCATTTCGGCAATAGTCCCGTCGTCAATAGCTGGTTGATCAGTCAATTTAGCTATACTTACCCGTGAGCTGTCTATAATATATGGTTGGACCCGAACCAGTCCAATATTGTTTTGTTTAGTCACTGGCGAGTACTGGTCGTGTATAATGATTTGGTCGACAGCATAGTAGCTATGATTATATATTAGATCATCATAACCGACACCAACATAAATGCTTGATAAGGGACGACTGTTTTGTTGTTGTTGTATATATTGTTGTTGAAATTGAATAAGTATTTAGATGAGATGTTAGATTAATTGATTTAATTGTAAGTAATTTTTTTAAAAAAAGATATAAAAGATTAATCTCTATTAATATTACAATAAATTCTGTACTTAATTACTCTACACTTACTTATGTAGACAACTGGCGGCCGTTAGTATCCAATTCGTACCAATGATGGATCCGCCGCACAAACGTTCATTGAATTCATTTCTAATCGATGCCTCAAAACTAGTGTTGGCAAAAAAGAGAAATTTACAAAATAATAGAGAAATTTCTAGAAAGTTTCTAAAAGAAATTTCTATCTAAGGGATCCCCATGTTAATTTTGTTTTCTGGATATATCTTATTATGTAACAATACATTGGTTTTACAAGTAATAATTAATTATTAGTATTAATATTTTTATTATTAATTAAAGTAAAAATTAATTTATTTAATTATCTTAAATTCTTATATATATAATAAAATGATTATTAAAATTTTAGAAAACTGATTATTATTAAATAATTATAATTATTTTACATATAGGTATCGCATTTTGTATAGTAGTGTATAGTGTAATGTTATATGAATAGTAGTATTGTCTCATTATTTATATATTATTTCAATAGCTATAGATATGGGGATCCCATAGTATAACAATAAAGTTAAATTTCTATAGAAATTTATTCCTGAGAAATTTTCTAGAAACTTTCTATTTGCCCATCTCTACTCAAAACCTCTTTTATATCGATATTCAAATTTTGTTGAACATATTACCGGCCGATTGTCGGTATTATTATTATTATTATTATTATTGTCACTACCAGTGCTAGAGTTGATTAGCAAAATATTTACTGATAATACTACTAAAACAATTTGGACTAATTGGCCAAAAATTAACATTATTCTAGTTTGATGTTATTATTGTATGAATAAGTTAACTATAAGATTAATTGCTATTATAGTATAGATATATATAACTTTACAATAATTTTATTTTTTTATTCAATATGTTTTTCACTGAATTCAATTATTACGTCAATAAACTAAATATTTTTGTAATATTATGTAAATTATATAAATAGATTTTATTTAAAATTATTTATAGAAACTGCTTCAATAGATATTTTTTAATCTAAATAAATCTAAAGTCTAAATAAATAATAACTTAATTGAATTAAATTTTTTTTACTATACTATTACGGGTAGGAAAAAGTTTCGAGACAAAATTGCATAAAAGTTGAAACTAATTTAATTAATTAATATCAATGTCTTGATTTATAAAATATTCGCCGTCTTTATCTATGATCTTCTGCCATCTCATCGGTAACTCATTCATCCCTTTGCTGAAGAAGGCTTCGTCTTTATGAGCCAAATAATCATTGATGGCAGTTTTGACCCCCTCTTTGTTATTGAAACGTTTACCATCTAAGAAATGCTGCAAAGATCGGAACAATTAGTAATCGGACGGTGCGATATCTGGGCTATACGGTGGGTGTGCCATGACTTCCCAATCTAGGGTTACCAACTTTTGGCGGGTCATTTTTGAAAAATGACTACCCGTTTGGCTTTTTTTGCCGGTGAAAACTCATGAGGCACCCAAACTCGAGCCAAATATCTCGTTCCAATCTTTACCAAATGATTCCAAACAGTCTTTTGGTCCACCTCGAGTATCATACCAATCTCCGTGGTACTTAATCTGGGGTCTTCATCTATCAGGGATCTGATATAATCGTCATCAACCTTTGATGGCGCACCCGATCTTTCTTTGTCTCCCAGACAATAGTCTTTATTGTCAAATCGCTGAAACCACTCGTATACTCTCTTCTAGAGAAAGCATTTGGATACACTTCATTAATTTTCTTGAATGTCTCTGATGCACTTGATCCACGACGATATTTGTTAAGCATGACATTACGGATATGTGGATCTCTTGATGATATTCTATCTACCTCTTTTACTTTTGAAGACATCACCAAAACAACTGATCACAAATGAAAACTAAAGTATTGACTACTGATTTGATTATATAAAATTATGACAACAATAACAGAGACCATACAGTAATGACATAAACTTAGGTTTCTTTGTTTGTCTCGAAACTTATTCCTAACAGTAATACAAAAGATACTACTATATTATAGTTAAATAATAATATTTTAAACAATATATTAATAAAAAATCAATATTAAAACTACATTATAATTAAAATCTTAACAGTTTGAGTAAACATATGTTATTTTTTTTGTACGTCAATTTTATTTTTATTTTTTTACAAAATAAGATTGTAATTTTATAATATTTTTTTGAAAAATAAATATAAAATAAATTTTGTTTGTGTTGGTAGTAATGGTCGATGCTCACGATTATTAGATTTATTATTATTATTATTACTATCAGTAATATTGGTTTTGATTAGCAAAATATTTTGTAATAATAATAACAATACTATTAATAAAACTATTTGCACTAATTGGCCAAAATTAAATATAATTTGTATTATTGTTTGTCTAATAATGATATTATTTAGGGATTATTTAAAAAGATTAAAATTTATTATTAAAAAATATTTTATTAAAATCTCACTGGATAAGTCTAACTAAATTGATAAACAAGGTGACATTATATATATATTTATATAGTTGTTAGTAAAGACTATTATAAGTTATATCTAAAATAGCAATTAATATAATAAAATATAAATTATATATAAAGTTATTTCCTGGAAGTAATAAAAACAATTAATATTATAAATATCTATAAACAATAAAATAAATAAATATAATGCAAATGATATTAAATAAATTAAATTTTTATGAAACATTTTAATAATATAGAGTTTATTAATAATTAATATTTTAATGCTAAAGTTATTGAATATATTCTTCTAGTAATTGTTAATTATATAAACAATAAAATAATTAATATAAATAATACTATAGCTATCTAACTGATAGTCTATCTAACATTAACTAATTTTGACTAATTATTTACAATTTAATTAATAATTTTTTATTCATCTTAGTTAAACATATTATTATTATTGTGCAAAAATTTATTTAATAAATTAACATAATTTCAATTAGACATCTAAAATAAAAAAATCAAATTATAACAGGAAATTAGTAAAATTTTTATTTTATAAAATAATTTTCAAATATAATATTTAAATAAAAATAATTATTATATAATTTAGTAAAAATTAACAAAAACTCAATTAAGAAATTTTAGAAAAAATCAAACAATTATTACAACAAATTTTTTTGATTATTTATATTCCTGTATTATCTTTAATCCATTGTCTAAACGGGACAACACTGGTAACAACATCGGGTTGGTTATCAAAACCGCATGACATACCGGAGGACATAACACCCATTAATGTCTCATATGGTTGGGGAAACCAGGGTAGTCTCATGTTCTGTTCACCTGTAAAATTAAAGTAGTAGTAGTAGTAGTAGTAGTAGTAGTAGTAGTAGTAGTAGTAGTAGTAATAGTAGTAATAGTAGTAATAGTAGTAATAGTAGTAATAGTAGTAATAGTAATTGTACTTTAAATCATTTAAATATAATTTGTGATATATAATATTATTATTTTGTAAATATTAAAATATTTTTAAATATTACATACACTTACATACACAGTATTACACACACACACACACACACACACACACACACACACAYACATACAGTACATACATACACACATATTATTTCTAACCTAACTAATTAACTACTGTATATTAAATTTATTAGATATCAATATATTAATAAATATTTTTTTAATAGACAATACTAATCAAACATACCTTCAATCCAAAGTTGTGCAAAGGATTTTTGTTGTGGTGTTGTTGACGATATTGTTGTAGTAGTAGATGGTGTTGTTGTAGTTGGTGGTGGTTTATCTTTTACAACCATTATAACTGGTCCACCCACATCATCCTATTCATCATATTTTATAAATAAATATATATATATATATATATTTCAAGTAATTAAAAAATATTATTTTCTATTTATCTATTAATCTATCGACACATACATCACAGGCACCCTTTCCTTTGTCGGCCACTACACAAACATTGTTACTGTCAACGATTGGTTTAGTAGTGCTAAGACCGTATGTCATCCTAGACACACACTGTTGCCAATCAAGCTTATGTACATCTAGTGTATGTAGAAACCACCAAACAGAATCAGTACCCCAACCGGCACCGATCTTGGCCTTAGTTCCGTTATGGCCGTGCGGTAATTGATTGTCATCGGCCAATCGTATTGGTCGAACCAAATCACCGAAAGTAATGTTTGATTGGATCCGAACCAGTGCTATATTGTTTTGTTTAGTGTTAGGCAAGTACTTGTCGTGTATAACAATTTTGTCGACAGCAAAGTAGGTATGATTTAATTGGTAATCATTTTTACCGACACCAACAAAAACATTAGAAATTTGATTGCTGTTTGTTTGATAATTATTAAAATACAAAAATAAATCAACAAATTAATCAAAAACTATAAAATCTATGTTTCTGTAAATATTCACACTATACCCGTATACCCAACGTAGACAACTGGCGGCCGTTAGTATCCAATTGGGACCAATAATACTACCGCTACAAAAATGTCGTTTAGTATTGTTGATTATCAACGATGCCGGATAACCCAAACCAAATCCGTTATGTTGCCAATAATTTTTAGGTCTATCCTTTTTATTAGCCAATACACTATTCAATGTATTAGTATTATTACTATAGTTAAAAGCAGTTATATTGGTTTTCTGATTAATCCATTGTAGATATGGCTGAATATTTGTCATAATAGTTGGCCGATTGGAACCACACAACAGATTATCGGTTAGTATACCGATTAATAGTCTAACACTTTTTTCGTAAGCACTACCACAATAGTCTAATTGTTGTTGTTTTGGTATATCAATTGTCACTGATCCACCAACATCACCCTATTATCATATTTTATAGTTAATAAATTAATAGTTAAAAAAAATACAACAATTTTTTTCTCTCTCTCTCTACATATATATAATTAAATCTAAATAATTTTAAGACCCTTACATTACATGTTATTTCCTTATGATAGTTAGCCAAACATAGATTGTTACTATCGATGACTGGTGTTGTGTTGTTGTCGTTGTTGATATTGTAGGTAATATTGTTAGTCATTATAGACTTACATTGTTGCCAACCAACTGTACGGACATTACTTGTTCCTCTCGATTTATATAACCAATAGGTCATTTCGGCTTCCGTCCCGTCCTCAATAACTGGTTGATCGGCCAATCTAGCTATACGTACGTCTGAATTGTCCTGAATATATGGTTGTACCCGAACCAGTGCTATATTGTTTTGTTTAGTCACTGGCGAGTACTGGTCGTGTATAATGATTTGGTCGACAGCATAGTAGCTATGATTATATATGAAATCTTCATCACCGACACCAACATAAATGCTTGATAAGGGACGACTGTTTTGTTGTTGTTGTTGAGATTGAATAAGTATGATATGAAATGATAGGAAGATATGGATATTGAGTTAATTCAATTAAATATATATATATATAAATCTATTCAATTATTCTGTACTTAATTACTCTACACTTACTTATGTAGACAACTGGCAGCCGTTAGTATCCAATTCGTACCAATGATGGATCCGCCGCACAAACGTTCATTGAATTCATTTCTAATCGATGCCCCAAATCCACCCCTATATTTAAATTTTGTCGAACAAATTACCGGCCGATTGTCGGTATTATTATTGTTATTACTACTACTACTACTAATAGCAGTTATATTGGTTTTTTCGTTTATCCATTGAAGAAACGGTAGAATACTGGTAACGACTTTGGGTTGTCCGCCGCCACCGCCGTCGAGTCGGCCGCACGACAGGTCAGCCGATAATATACCTATTAATTTGGTTTTTCTACTTGGATAACTATTATTATTATTATTATTTATATTATTATCGGAATCATATTGTTTATCTACTGTCACTGCACCGCCTACATCATCATTATATTCTGCCTATTATTTTTGATAAAAAATAAAACAAAACAAAAAAAAATAAATTAAGACAAAAAGTAAGTCTCTCTCTCTCTCTCTCTCTCTTTCTCTACTCTTTACTCCTATTATACTATACTATACTATGGATACAAACACGACAGACACCCTCTCCTTTGGCGGTCAGCAGACAAATATTATTACTATTAATAATCGGTATTTTTGTTTTTGTTTTTGTGTTGTTGTTGTTGTTGGTGGTGGTGGTGGTGTTGTAGGTCGACACTATACTAGTACAATGTTTCCAATCGATAGTCCGGGCGTTTATAGTTAGCATAAAATAAAATTTTTTCGTTTCCCAATCGTGTAGATAGGCCAGTGACCAGTTGGCAACCGGTTGGTCACCTAATGATAGTATTTCGCTCAAAGAGTTGTCGACAATATAGTCCTTTAGGCGAACCAATGCTATATTGTTTTCGTTAGTTTCGGGTGAATAGTGATCGTATATAACCGTATGATTGATGGCATAGTGTTTAACAAAAACTTTAATACTTGAAACGTTACGACTGTTTGTTTGTTTGTTTATTTTTTTTTTGTTAAATTAATGATGACGAGGAATGGGTTAAATTTAGAAAAATATGGTGGTCATGGTTTTTTTTGGGGGGGGGGGTGGTAAATAAAATAAAATTTATTAGAAAAAACAAAGATACATAAAAAAAATAAAATGAAAGCTTAGAAAAGTATTTTTAAGCAAATTAATAAACGTTAATAATTTTTTTTAATAGATTTTTTTATATTAAAAAAATCATTACTAACATTACTTAATTACTATAAGTTATAGTAATTAAGTAATGTTAGTAATGATTTTTTTTTTAATCTATAACTAAAAAATAGTCTATAACTTACTTATATACACAACTGGCTGCTGTTAGTATCCAATACGGGCTGATTATAGTACCGCTGCACAAGTGTTCGTCACTACCATTGATTATGGTCCTCAATGATACTGTAAAACCGGTACCTCTGTTGGGCTGGTATTTTGTACCTAACATAGGCTCAGTTGTTGTAGCAAGTTTAGGTTTAGTAGTGGTAGGAGTAGTACTACTAGGTGTCGGTGTTGTATTTGTACCAACAGTATCATCGCAGAGATCAGTGGTAGACTTGATTAGCAAAATATTTACTGATATTAATACTAATAAAACAATTTGGACTAATTGTCCAAATATTAACATTATTATTGATTGGTGTTATTATTGTATGGCTACTAACTATAGATTATGCTATTATAGTAACTACAGTATAACTATATGATAGCTATTAACAGTTTTTTTTATAGTAAATGATAAATTTTTTTACAAACATATATCTTATATATATATACAAAGATATATATATCTTTACAATTATTTTTTTTATTCAATATGGTTTTCACTGAATCTAATATCATTTACACATAATTAGTGCGTCAATAAACTAAATAAATTATATAAATAGTTTATATTTAACATTATTTATATAAATTGCTTCAAAAAATATATATATTTAATCCAATATAAAAGTGTAAATTAATAATTACTTAATTGAATGTAATTTTTTTGCTATACTACAAAAGATACTAATATATTAAAGTAAAATAATAATATTTTAAACAATATATTAATAAAAAAATACTTTTAAAAAAAGATTTTTACAATTAATTTGATAAATTTAAAAACAATATTAAAATGCATTATAATTAAAATCTTAACGGTTTGAGTAAACATATGCAATATGTTATTTTTTGTACGTCAATTTTATTTTATATTAAATTTGTAATTTTTTATTATTTTTAAAAAAATATATATAACAGATTGATAATAAATTTTTAAGAGAAAATTCAAACAATTATTACAACAAAAATTTGTGATTATTTATTAGATTCCTGTATTATCTTTAATCCATTGTCTAAACGGGACAACACTGGTAACAACATCGGGTTGGTTATCAAAACCGCATGACATACCGGAGGACATAACACCCATTAATGTCTCATATGGAAAGGGAAACCAGGGTAGTCTCATGTTCTGTTCACCTGAAAATTAAAGTAGTAGTAGTAGTAGTAATTGTATGTTAAATCAGTTAAATATTAATTTATAAGTCGCGCACATAAACACAAACACACAAACAGACAAACACACAAACATACACACAAACATACACATAAACATACACACAAACAAACACACAAACATACACACAAACATACACACAAACATACACACAAACATACACACAAACATACACACAAACATACACACAAACATACACACAAACATACACACAAACATACACACAAACATACACACAAACATACACACAAACATACACACAAACATACACACAAACATACACACAAACATACACACAAACATACACACAAACATACACACAAACATACACACAAACATACACACAAACATACACACAAACATACACACAAACATACACACAAACATACATACAAACATACACACAAACATACACACAAACATACACACAAACATACACACAAACATACATACAAACATACACACAAACATACACACAAACATACATACAAACATACACACAAACATACACACAAACGTTCATTAAATTCATTTCTAATCGATTCCCCAAACCCTCTCCTATTTTTTAATTTTGTTGAACAAATTACCGGCCGATTGTCGGTATTATTATTATTATTACTACTACTACTACTACTAATAGCAGTTATATTGGTTTTTTCGTTTATCCATTGAAGAAACGGTACAATACTGGTAACGACTTTGGGTTGTCGGCCGCCGTCGAGTTGACCGCATGACAGGTCAGCCGATAGGATACCTATTAATCTGGTTTTTCTAATTTGATTATTATTATTATTTTTACCATCAGATTCATATTGTTTATCTACTGACACTGCACCGCCTACATCACCATCATATCCTTTCTATTATTATTGTTTAAAAAATCAAATTTAAAAAAATCAAATTAATAAAATAAAAACAAAAGAGAAACTCTCTCTCTCTCTCTCTCTCTCTCTCTCTCTCTCTCTCTCTCTCTCTCTCTCTCTCTCTCTCTCTCTCTCTCTCTCTCTCTCTCTCTCTACTCTACTCTACTCTACTTTACACTAACACGACAGACACCCTGTCCTTTGGCGGTCAGCAGACAAATATTATTACTATTAAGAATCGGTGTTTTTGTTATAGCTTTTGTGTTATTGTTGGTTGTATTGGTGTTGTTGTTGTTGTTGTTGTCCGACACTATTATAGTCGTACAATGTTTCCAATCGATAGTCCGGGCTTTTATAGTTTTCATCCAATTAACTCTAAATAATTTTGGATCCCAATCGTGTAGATAGGCCAGTGACCAGTTGGCAACCGGTTGGTCAGCTAATGATAGTATTTCGATTAAAGGGTTGTCGACAATATAGTCCTTTAGGCGAACCAATGCTATATTGTTTTCGTTAGTTTCGGGTGAATAGTGATCGTATATAACCGTATGATTGATGGCATAGTGTTTAACAAAAACTTTAATACTTGAAACGTTACGACTGTTTGTTTGTTTGTTTGTTTTTTTTTTTGTTAAATTAATGATGACGAGGAATCATATTACAATATAATACGCGCGCGTGAATCGACTCGGGTGAGCGGCTCTTGAGTCCGTCCGGGCTGTCCAACCAATCATTAACGTAGAGCAACTCGCGGGACGACCGCCGATGACCAGTTGGTTTTCGGACACCTTTTGGTCCGAAATTGAGCCCTTCAGGGCTCGGGCGCTACCCTACCGCTAGCACGCGTACGGTTGTAGTTGTTGATTAAGTTGACACAATTTAAAGTGAATTAACTATTTATAAGTTTTATTCAAGTGGTTATCTAAAACTAGTCTAATAATACATTAGTGAATATATGTGTAGAGTCTGAGACTCAACTAAAAACTAACACAAAATACTGAGAGAGTCCCAGTACTCTCAGAGTCAGACTCTTATATCTCTGATCTGTGAGTGTCAGTCCCTGAGTTGGGAACAGTAGGCTTTTATATAGGCTGGTAGGGTATACAGTATATACTATATGTGGGCTGTACTTAATAGCCAATAACATGCAACAATATAAGTAAAATATTCATTATACTGTACCCCACCACACCTTAATAAAAGCCCCCCGTTTAACAAAAGATAAAATTATATAAGATTAAATATTAACAATAAATTTCCGCTTTTAATTAATAGGGGAAACCCGAGATCCGGGAGAAAACCTATTGACAACAATAGCTGAAGCGGTCTCAGATTGCAATAATGTATAATTGGTATAAAAACTTCTATTGTCCCAAATTTGGGACACTAACTTAGTTAAATTAAAACCTATTCTAATTTTCGGACAAATTATATATTAATGCAAACACTTGTTTATACAATACAAGTGCTATTGTTGTCCCATAAAAATATATAGTTACATAAAATTTAAAATTAATTATAATATAAAATTATTGTTTAAATAATTATTCGTATTAAAATATTAAAAGGTTTTAAAATAATTAAAATATGAAATATATTATATATAATTTAATTAAATTGTATTTAAGTATACTAAGTATATTTCAGTTTATCGTTAATGTACATAACATTGACATTAAATCCAATAAAATGTTGATCATTGGTTTATCTCTTGAGACGCGTAGTATTGACAGTATAGTTGAATTAACAGATCCAATTGTTGATACCGATGATAACTATTTAAAGTGTCGTCGATTAGGTCAATGTTATCAATACCGGCAGTAGTTACTGTGCTTCTTAAAGTGATATTGTGTTGTTGCAATTGATACTATGATACCACCAATATTGTATTGTAGTACCAAAATATGTCAATGATAATACATTTTGTTGTTGTTATGATTGAGTTAGATGTTTTAAATAAACTTTTTTACAATTAAAATTATTATTACATTTTTGTGATTAAATAATTTTTATAATAATAAAGGATTATAATATTTTATAAAACAATTGTTCAGTAAAAAACAATATTTAATATAAATGTTAAAGTAAAAATATATTAAAAAGTATATAATTATTAATATTATAGAATAGATTTGTCTCAATTTAATTTTAGATAACATTATATAATAATATTTAAGACAATTTTCTATACTTTAAATAAATATTTATTATATATAGTTATAAAATAATTATGAATATTTGAGACATTAGTCTTAAATACTGATAGTTATGTCTCGATTTACTGTCTAAAATTTCAGACAAAAGTATATATAAATATTTAAGATAAAAAACATTTTTTAATTAAACTAAATTAGATAAAATTAATTATTATTTTATAACCTTATTTTTAAATTATTCAAATAATTTTCAAACATTAGTTCAAAAATATTAAATTATAATATTTTTTCCTTCGGATTGAAGAAAATGTCCAAAAAATAGTAAAAAATAATTATTTATATTAAATTACATTACATTTATAATTATTGCATCTTTTTCTTATGTATTTGTATGTAGTGTGTACATAATTTAAATATACTTAATAAAGATAAAATAATGGTTATATTAGATATTTAATTTAATTTTTGTTTTTTATATTATTTATTCTTATTTTTTTCAATTTTTTTTACTATTTTTGTTTACACTTAATTTATACACTTTTTGTTTTACTGTAATTAATTTCTTTAATTCAATAAATTTAATTTATTTATTTATACTATTTTTTTATTAATTTTATTTTAAATGTATCCTAATAATTATTATCAATTCAAAACGAAAAAAGGATCACTAAATTCAGTGTAAATCATTTTGGCCATTAATGAGGACATAAATTTAATAATCATACTTAATTATTTTGAATCAATAAATTATTTAACCCATTATAAACATTTATTTTATATTTAATTGTTCAAAAATCAAGTCTCAATTTTATACAAATTTTCTCATTCCTTAAATTAATTTCTTAATTTAAGTCTATCATATTTAACTTTTTATTTCAAACCTCAAATTATATTTGAGTCTAATTTAATCTTCAATTATTTCATTCCTTAAATTATTTTCTAATTTAAGTCTAATTTTAAACATTTTATGCGCAACTGTTTATATTTCATAAATTATATGTAAGTAATAGGTACCTTATTAATTTACATACTAAACACTAATTGAGACCGACCATTTTTTCAGGCCATTAAAATTTATTTTAAACAAAAACTTAAATATTTACTTCTAGGGCTTAATTTCATACAATAGGTACTTTAATGTAAATCTACAATTATTTAAAATATTTTTATAAATTTATTTCATACTTAATTAATCAATTATCAAATCAAAATATTTTTTATAAATTAAATACATTGAATAATTTTAAGCTTTATATCGAACTTACACTATAAATTTTACTTAAATAACTAATTAATATGTCATAAAATGTACTTGTTTTTGAACATTTTATTAATTTTAGTTTATTGGTCTGTATTTTCAACCAATACAATAATTTCAGACAATTCATTATTTTCAGACACACAATTTTCAGACACTATTTTCACACTATTTTCAAACACATTATTTTCAACCACTATTTTCAGACACGCTATTTTATGACATTATTTTTAAACACTATTTTCAGACACTATTTATAGACATTATTTTCAAACACTATTTTCAGACACACTATTTTCATACATACTATTTTCAGACACACTATTTTCATAAATACTATTTTCAGACACTATATTCACACACTATTTTCAGACACTATTTTCAGACACACTATTTTCATACATACTATTTTCAGACACACTATTTTCATATATACTATTTTCAGACACACTATTTTCATTAACTAAAAATGAAGAATAGATATCGGCATATGTAGAGTCCTATTAATTTAGCTGATCTGCTGATGCAGATCCAGGTGACTGAAGAATAGCTCTTGTAGCTGATTTTATCGTAGTGCTTTAGTGCGTAGATTTTATCGTTTGTGATAGCACGAGCGGGCAAGATGACCAGGTTTGTGACAAAATTCACAAACAGGTCTACCTTCAACAGTTTGTCTATATTGATATCTGTAACTATCATAATTACGGTATTTATTCATAAACTGTTCAAACATTGAACATAATTTAGAAATATCATTTTGGGACTCAGTGCTATTAATTTGGGACTCATTTTGTTTTTGCTCAGTTTGAAATTTATTTAGAGACTGTTCATTATGCTCAACGCTATTTATAAATAGGTAATTATGAGATTGTCTTATCTGAGATAAGAATTCGGACTCTTCTATTGACTTAAGTTTACTTAATAAATCAATACAATCTTTGGGCTCAAATATAGCTACTTTTTCTAACATTCCAGATCTTAGCCCTCGCATAATATGTGTCAGCTTTTCTTGTTCATCCATAAGGGGATTATGTTTCTCACATAATCTAATTATATCATAATAATAGTTAAGGACTGACTCATTGAGCTTCTGGTATCTGGTAATTAATTTTAATTGCTGAAATGATCTGTAATTTTTTTGTCTAAAAGCGTTTGTGAGACCCTCATAAATGTCATCTAATGACAATTTATTTTCAAACGTGGCATCTGTTTTAAGTTTAACAAAATTCCTATACCACATCTCAGCAATGCCTTCTAAGTGTACAGGGAGTCTCAACTTTTTCATTTCATTGCTCCAGTTATTACATCTCGCAATATAACTGTAATGATCAATCCAATCATCTATATCACCACTCCCATCAAAATTTTGAGGGGTTACTGAGCCGACTGTGATTATAAACTTAAATTCATGTTTGCCTTTACTTTCAAACATCTGGTTATTGTTAGTAAGTGTATTAGAGCTGTTAGTTACACTATCACAAGTAATATTTGAAACAATTTTTGGGTTATTTTGAGTGTTACTTCCATGCAATGAGTTATTTGGGACATTATTAGGACAATTATTTAGAGCATTAGTTTGGGAATTTGCTTGCAAAATTGGATAAGCAGTTATATTAGTTGAAGTGTCATTTGAAATATTTTGGCTGTTATTTATTACTTGTTCTAGTGATATTGCATTAGTATTAGTAAGCGTTAGGTCATCAACAAATGTTAAATTTATTGCATTAGTATTATCTGCGTTATTTTCAGTTTCAGTGTCGTTTAAAACACTTATGTCTGTATTAGTTAAGTTATGCGCATTTGAAGTATTTCGGGATCTGTTTTTACGCTTAAGCATTTTTTTATTGCTTTTGAGGTGATTTTGTTGAGCAATAGATTTGAAAAGTAATATATAGTTATTATTGCTCTTTGTGAGTCAAGAAATGTTTTTATTGCGTTTCACATGCATTATCTAACTCAACGCAACCATATGTAAGATTAACTGTTAGGGACTGAAATTTGTAATCCCTACTCAAGTACTGTTCAGTATTATAGTATAGCATAATTTTTTTAAATAAGATTCATGAAAATAATTTGAATTATTTAATTAAAATAAAGCAGTTTTAAAATATTTTTATATAATTCAATTATAGAAAATTAATATAATTTTTTAATTTCTATTTTTAAGACTCAAATTATGCATTAAAATTTGATAGTTTTAGTAATAGTAATAATAACATTAAATAATAGCATTCATAGATTAAATTAAGTATAGTTATCGCAACAAATAATACAAGAAAATATAGCACTAAAATATCAATTTAATAAAATTAAAACGATAAAATATTGATTATAATTTTGGGACATACCTTATATAAACTTATCAGATAAGTACTTTTGAAATCGTTACCTTTGCGACCTCCACCATATACAATATAATACGCGCGCGTGAATCGACTCGGGTGAGCGGCTCTTGAGTCCGTCCGGGCTGTCCAACCAATCATTAACGTAGAGCAACTCGCGGGACGACCGCCGATGACCAGTTGGTTTTCGGACACCTTTTGGTCCGAAATTGAGCCCTTCAGGGCTCGGGCGCTACCCTACCGCTAGCACGCGTACGGTTGTAGTTGTTGATTAAGTTGACACAATTTAAAGTGAATTAACTATTTATAAGTTTTATTCAAGTGGTTATCTAAAACTAGTCTAATAATACATTAGTGAATATATGTGTAGAGTCTGAGACTCAACTAAAAACTAACACAAAATACTGAGAGAGTCCCAGTACTCTCAGAGTCAGACTCTTATATCTCTGATCTGTGAGTGTCAGTCCCTGAGTTGGGAACAGTAGGCTTTTATATAGGCTGGTAGGGTATACAGTATATACTATATGTGGGCTGTACTTAATAGCCAATAACATGCAACAATATAAGTAAAATATTCATTATACTGTAATATTGTTTATCTACTGTCACTGCACCGCCTACATCATCATTATATTCTGCCTATAATTATTGATAAAAAATAAAACAAAACAAAAAAAATAAATTAAGACAAAAAGTAAGTCTATCTCTCTCTCTCTCTCTCTCTCTCTCTCTCTCTCTCTCTCTCTCTCTCTCTCTCTCTCTCTTCTCTACTCTTTACTCCTATTATACTATACTATACTATGGATACAAACACGACAGACACCCTCTCCTTTGGCGGTCAGCAGACAAATATTATTACTATTAATAATCGGTATTTTTGTTATTGCTTTTGTTTTGTTGTTGTTGGTGGTGGTGGTGGTGGTGTTGTAGGTCGACACTATACTACTACAATGTTTCCAATCGATAGTCCGGGCGTTTATAGTTAGCATAAAATAAAATTTTTTCGTTTCCCAATCGTGTAGATAGGCCAGTGACCAGTTGGCAACCGGTTGGTCACCTAATGATAGTATTTCGCTCAAAGAGTTGTCGACAATATAGTCTTTTAGGCGAACCAATGCTATATTGTTTTCGTTAGTTTCGGGTAAGTAGTGATCGTATATAACCGTATGGTTGACGGCATACTCTTTATAAAATACTCTAATATTTGAAACGGTACGACTGTTTTGTGGATTTTTTTAGTTATATATATATTTTTAAATATGATGGTGTTTTTTTTGGGTGCGTGAGTGGTTTAAATAAAATAAGATTAATTCAAAACATATATAAACAAACTTTAGAAAAAAAATTAAATATATTTATGTATTATAAATTTTTTTTTTATAATTATTAAGAAAACAAATAAAATGAAAGCTTAGCAAAAAGTATTTTAAGTAAATAAATAAACATTAATAATTGTTTTTTTTAATAAAATATTAGTAATAACTTTACATAATTACTATAATACTTACTTATATACACAACTGGCTGCTGTTAGTACCCAATGGGGACTTATTATAGTACCGCTGCACAAGTGTCTGTTACTACCATTGATGTTGGTCCTCAATGATACAGTAAAACTGCTATCTTCATTGGTATGGTATTTTGTAACCAACATAGGCTCTGTAGTTGTAGTAGGGGTAGTACTACTAGGTGTCGGTGTTGTATTAATAATAGTAGTATCATCGCAGAGATCAGTACTAGTTTTGATTAGCAAAATATTTACTGATAATACTATTAAAACAATTTGGACTAATTGGCCAAAAATTAACATTATTATTGTTTCCTGTTATTATTGTATGGATAAGTTAACTATAAATTATGCTATTATAATAACTATCACTATATGATAGTTATTAAATGTTTTTTTAAACTAAACGATAAATTTTTTACAAACATATATTGATATATAACTTCACAATAATTTTATTGTTTTATTCAATATGGTTTTCACTGAATCTAATATCAGTTTACACATAATTAGTGCGTCAATAAACTAAATAAATTATATAAATAGTTTTTATTTGACATTATTTTTAAAAACTGCTTCAATATATATATATATTTTTTTAATACTATATAAAGGTGTATATAAATAATTACATAATTGAATGTTATTATTTTTTGTTATACTAGAAAAGATACAAATATATTATAGTTAAATAATAATATTTTAAACAATATATTAATAAAATAAAATACTTAGATTTATACAACTAATTTGATAAATTTAAAATAAATATTAAAAATGTATTATAATTAAAATTTTAACGGTTTGAGTAAATGCAATATGTTATTATTTGTACGTCAATTTTATTTTATTTTTTTAAACAGATTGATACACTAAAATTTTTATTAAAAAATCTACAAAATACTACATAAAATCTTGAAAATTTTAATTTCAATTTAACATTTAAAAAAATGATTTTGAAAAATAATATAATTATTAAATAATTTAGTAAAAATTACAGATGGGCAACTAGAAAATTTTTAATAAATTTTCATGAGAAAGTTTCTAGAAAATTTCTAAAGGAATAAATTTCTATAGAAATTTAAATTTATTGTTATATTATGGGATTCCCATATTTATAGCTATATTTAAATACTATATTAATAATAACATATAATACTATTCATTTAACATTATAGTATACTGTATATTGTAGTAACACTACTATACAATATGGGAAAACTATATATAAAATAATTAAATAAATAATCAGTTTTGAAAAAAATTTAATAATAAATTTTATTCTATATATAAGATTTTAATGTAATACTAAAATTTAATTATTATTTTTAAATGTATTGTTAAAAGATAACAAATATCGAGAGAAAAACAAAATTTAAGAAATTTCTTTTTTGAAACTTTCTAGAAATTTCTTTACTATTTTAGAAATTTCTCTTTAATGCCAATACTAGTAAAAATTAACAAACAAACAAACAAACAAATCAATTAATTATAATAAATTTTCTCAAAAACAATTTTTTTTTAATTATTATATTCCTGTATTATCTTTAATCCATTGTCTATACGGGACAATACTGGTAACAACATCGGGTCGATCGGACTGACCGCACGACATACCGCTGGATAGGACACCTACTAATGCCTCAAATGGTATTGGATCCCAGCTGTCGATGTCTATGTAGTGTCTTTCGCCTGTAATATATAGTAGAGTAGTTATAGTAGAGATTGAATTTTGTTTTATGTATTCATGATCTACTTATTCAAATAATTAAATGCTTCATAAAATATTAGCATAGTCAAAATTTTGAAAAGAGGGAGGAGGGTAAGTTAGGAGTGGGGTTGGGTAGGCGTATCAGGTATGGTGGTGAAACAAGTGTTAGATTATTATTATATATTCAACCATCCACACCCTAACCTAACACAAAACTAACTACTTAAATATATCAGTATATATTCAGTGTATATCTATTATACTGGTATATAAAATTATATAATTAATATGTATTGATTTTGTACAACAAATTAGACCAAAACTATTATGCAAACAACAACAGTCTATTATATATCCTAATTTCAATCATTACACACACACACACACACACACACACACACACACACACACACACACACACACACACACACTCACACAAACACACACTACTTCAACTAAACATTATTTCTTAAATATATTTGATATCAATATATATATATATATATATATATTTATATATTTTATGTTAAATAGACAATACTACTCAACAATACCTTCATGTTGTGGTAAGGTTTGTTGTTGTTGTGTTGTTGACGGTATTGTTGCACTACTACTACTAGTAGTAGTAGTAGTAGTAATAGTAGTAGTAGTAGTTGATGTTGTTGTTGTAGGTGTTGGTGGTTTATCTTCAACAACCATTATAACTGGTCCACCCTCATCACCCTAATCATCATATTTTACAAGTAAATATATATATGAATATTTTAACGCTAGAAACATACATTACAGGCACCCTTTCCCTTGTCGGCCACCACACAAATATTATTACTGTCAACGATTGTTATTGTTGGTGATGATGATGTATTGGTAGTAATGGTATTATTTGCTAGTATAGACTTACACTGTTGCCAATCAAGTGTCCGTACGTCCAGTGTATGCAAATACCACCAAACAGATTTCGGGCCCCAACCGGCACCGATCTTGGCCATAGTTCCGTTATGGCTGATATGCGGTACTTGATTTTCATCAGTCAATCGCATTGTCCGAACCAAATTACCGATAGTCATGTTTGGTTGGAGCCGAACCAGTGCTATATTATTTTGTTTAGTCTCAGGCGAATACTTGTCGTGTATAACAATTTTGTCGACAGCATAGTAGCTATCATTGAATTTGTAATCATTTCTACCGACACCAACAACAATGTCCGAAACAGTACGACTAGGTTTGTAGTAGTAGTAGTAGTAGTAGTTGTTGTTGTTGTTGTGGTGATAGTTATATAAGAGTAAAGTAAAATGATATACAAATTATAAATATATATATATATATAAAAAAAATATATAGTTTATAATTTTGTTGTTGTTGTTGTTATAATTACTTATGTAGACAACTGGCAGCCGTTAGTATCCAATTCGTACCAATGATACTACCGCTACAAAAATGTTCATTAAGTTTGCTGATTGTCATCAAAGATGCCGGAAAACCTAAACCAAACTTTTTTATTTTCCAATAACCTTCATGTCTGTCCTCATAATTAGCTAATAGACTATTCCATGTATTATTATGACTATTATTACTAACAGCAGTTATATTGGTTTTCTGATTAATCCATTGTAGATATGGTCCAATACTTGTCATAATAGTTGGCCGATTGGAACCACACAACAGATTATCGGATAGTATACCGATTAATAGTCCATCATTTTTTCCGTGACAATTACCCAATTGTTGTTGTTGTTGTTGTTGTTGTGGTATATCTAATATCACAGGTCCACCAACATCACCCTAAAAGTTGTATTTTACATTATTTTGAAATAAATTATTTTTAAAAATTCAATTTGTTTTCTCACTATATATACATGGGAGTAGTCTGAGGGAGGTAATATCCCAAAATCTCGATCTTAGGGGGGGTATTTTGGCCTTACGCCCCCTAACCCCTACCCACCCCTTACTTAACCCTGATATATATATAATAAAATATAAATTATTTTTTTAAGAGTCACTTACATTACAAGCTATTTCCTTATAGTAGTTAACCAAACATAGATTGTTACTATCGATGACTGGTATTGTGTTGTTATCGTTGTTGATATTGTAGGTAATATTGTTAGTCATTATAGACTTACATTGTTGCCAACCAACTGTACGGACATTACTTGTTCCGCTCGTTATATTTGACCAATAGGTCATTGAAGCAATAGTCGTGTCATAAATAACTAATTTATCTGCCAATCCAACTATACTTACCCGTGAATTATCACTTATGTAGGGCTGGACCCGAACCAGTGCTATATTGTTTTGTTTAGTCACTGGCGAGTACTGGTCGTGTATAATGATTTGGTCGACACCATAATAGCTATGATTATGTATGAAATCTTCATCACCGACACCAACATAAATGTTAGATAAGGAACGACTGTTTTTATTGTTGTTGTAGATATTGTGGTTTGGATTGTGAATAAGTATGATATGAGATGTTAGGGTTTATTTGATTAAATTGTATTAAAAACAAAATATAATATCTATTGAATAAAATCTGAACTTAAATACTATACACTTACTTATGTAGACAACTGGCGGCCGTTAGTATCCAATTCGTACCAATTATGGATCCGCCGCACAATCGTTCATTGAATTCATTTCTAATCGATGCCGAATACCCGCTCCTATCTTCAAATTTTGTTGAACAAATTACCGGCCGATTGTCGGTATTATTATTATTATTATTACTACTACTAATAGCAGTAATATTGGTTTTTTCGTTTATCCATTGAAGAAACGGTGCAATACTAGTAACAACTTTGGGTTGTCGGCCGACACCGCCGTCGAGTTGACCGCACGACAGGTCAGCCGATAGTATACCTATTAATCTGGTTTTTCTACTTCGATAATTATTATTATTATCATCGGGGTTTTCTACTGACACTGCACCGCCTACATCACCAACATATCCTTTCTATTAGTATTGTTTAAAAAATAAAACCAAAAAAAACAAATAAATAAAATAAAAGCAAAAAAAAAGTTTTCTCTCTCTCTTTCTTTCTTTTTCTTTCTCTCTAATTTTTACTCTATATTATACAGTTTATGCCACTAAACTAAAGTTTAAATTTTTAGTTTAAACATTATGTAATGTTTTAGCCAAGCTACTTTATATAACTTATCTAATATATTAGGTAAATGTATACTAAGTTACCTTGCTTAGCGTTAAGTGTTAACTGTATTACACTATATTACTCAAATTTAAACTTTTAATTAGCATTATCTGTAACTATACTATACACTGGAGGACACATACATGACAGACACCCTCTCCTTTGGCGGTCAGCAGACAAATATTATTACTATTAAGAATCGGTGTTTTTGTTGTTGTATTTGTATTGGTGTTGTTGTCCGACACTATAATAGTCGTACAATGTTTCCAATCGATAGTCCGGGAGTTTATGTTTGTTACAAATCGATAATTTTTCGGTTCCCAATCGTGTAGATAGGCTACTGACCAGTTGGCAACCGGTTGGTCACCTAATGATAGTATTTTGTTTTCAGTGTTGTCAACAATATAGTCCTTTAGGCGAACCAATGCTATATTGTTTTCATTAGTTTCGGGTGAATAGTGATCGTATATAACGGTATGATTGACGGCATAGTGTTTATAATCAGGTTTAATACTTGAAACGGTACGACTGTTTTGTTGTTTTTTATTGTTTGATTCAAATAAAATAAAGATTAATTAGAAATCAAATCAAACATTAATATATTATCAAATTATTAGGGATGGGGTGGAAATGTCTTTATATAAAAATAATTAAATTAAAACAATTTTATATAATTATTAAGATATCAAATGAAATAATAGATTGAAAAAAGTAATAATAATACCAATAATAATCGTTTGGTGTTTTTTGGTTTAAACAAAATATAACTTAAACTAAATTACTACAGTATTACTTACTTATATACACAACTGGCTGCTGTTAGTATCCAATGGGGACTTATTATAGTACCGCTGCATAAGTGTCTGTCTCTACCAGTGATGTTAGTCCTCAATGATACTGTAAAACCGACACCTCTATTGCCTCCAGCTTTTACAGGCAATTTAGGCTCTATAGTTTCAGGGGTAGTTGATTTTGAAAGGGTAGTAGTGGTAGGGTTAGTACTACTACTAGGTGTCGGTGTTGTATTTGTACCAACAGTATCATCGCAGAGATCAGTGGTAGACTTGATTAGCAAAATATTTACTGATATTAATACTAATAAAACAATTTGGACTAATTGGCCAAAAATTAACATAATTGTTTTGGTGTGTTATTATTGTATGGATAAGTTAACTATAAGATTATACTATTACAGTAACTGTTTTACTGTATGATAGTTATTGAATGTTTTTTTTAATATTAATGATAAATTTTTTACAAACATATATAGATATCTATAACTTTACAATAATTTTATTTTTTTAAACATATGTTATGCACAGAAGCTGATATTTACACATATTTAGTGCGTCAATAAAATATAATTAAATTATATAAATTTATTTAAATTAATAGAAAATATTTAACAGTATTTACAAAAAAAAACTGCTTTACAATATATTTGTTTAATCCAATATAAAAATGTAAATAAATAATTAGTTAATTGATAGTTCTTATACTATATAATCTACTAATATATTTTAGTTAAATAATAATATTATTAACAATATATTTGATAAATGTCTTAAACCTATTAGAAATGTATTAATCACTTATTTAAATAATAAATTTGAGTAAACATTTTTCAATATGTTATTATATTTTTTGTACGTCAATATTATTTTAGTTTTTTACTAAAAAAAAATTGAAATTTAAAACTAGTTAACGGATTGTTAAAGTAAAATTTTAATTAAACATTTTAAAAAAATCAAATACTATGAAAAAAAATTTAGAAGAAAATTTTCATTTTACAAAATAGATTGAAATATAATTATTATTATTTTTGATTTAAAATAATTGTTAAAATAATTAATAAATAAAAATAAATTATTAAAATCGTTTTATTTTTAAATCTTATTATTATTAATATATTGATAATCAGGGTTGAGAAAGGGGTAAGGCCATCTTACTCCCCTCCTCCTGAGATCGAGAATTTTAGAAATCATAAAATATTTTTTTTTATTAAAGATTATTAATATTTTTATGTCAATATCTAATTTTTACTGTTTTTCCTTTGATTTTGATTTGTCTATTTGAAAATGCCTTTTCATCTAAAGGCACTAACTATAACCAGCTGAGATTGCTTCATAAGCATTTCCATACGAACTCCTTAACATAAAAAAGAAAAAAAAATCAAAGAAAAAATTTAAAAAATACAAAAAAAAATGTAGCAGAGCCTGGATTCGAACCACTGACCTATGTGGGACAGACAGACCGACCGAAAGACTTATAGAATTCAGGAGTTCGTAAAAATACACATAATTGTAATAAACGCATTACCTCTAAACATATTTGATTGGTAACAGTGTAAGTCTATTATAGTCTATAATAGACATACACTGTTACCAATCAAATATGTTTACATTGAGTGTATTGTAGAAACCATCAAATAGTTTTAGATCCCCCAATACAACAACAAAAAAAAAACATTAAATAAAACATTAGAATAATTATTTAATTAAAACCAAAATTAAATATTAATAATAGGTTGGAATAAAAACTAATATAAATAAATATTTAGTTAATTACTACAACACTTACTTATATTTATACACAACTGGCTGCTGTTAGTATCCAATGGGGACTTATTATAGTACCGCTGCATAAGTGTCGGGTCATTACCATTGATATTTAATAAATTAATGGTGAAATTGGGCAAGAAGTTGGTTTAGATAACAAATGGTGGGTGGGTTTTTTTGGGAAGGGGGGGGGTTAAATAAAAAATCAATAATATATAAACAAATTATAGAAAAAATGCATTTTTTTAATAAAAAAAACTATTTTATAACTATTACTAGAAAAAATGTAATAAAATATTAGAATAATTGTTTAATTAAATATTATTAATAATTTTTTATAGTGTTTTATTTCTCGTTGCAACAAATAATATAAATAAATTTTTAGTTAATGAGCAAAAAATTAATTTCATTAAATAATTTTATAAATATAATATTTTTAAAAAAATTATTATATTATTTAGCAAAAATTAATAAACAATCAAAAATAACAAATTAATTAATTATAATAATTCGCAATTGTTTGCATGAAATCATTTTTATAAAAAAATTGTCCCTAACCGCTAACCCCCCCTCCCCCATCCAACCAGCACAACTAAGAAATATATAAACTCTACCCTTCCATTCCCCCATATAAAACAATTAAGTACTTTTAATAAAAATTTTTAGTTAATTTAAAGTTTTTTATTATTATTAATAAATTATTATGCATTAAATTTTCTAATAAAATATTAGTTCAAAATATAATTTATTAAATTAAACATATAGTCGTTTATAAATTAATAAAACAAATTAAATTAGTAATAATATTATTAAATTATTAATTAATAAATTCATTAGATTCCTGTTTTTTCTTTAATCCATTCGCGATAAGTGATAACATTGGTAACAATATCGGGTCGACCGGACTGACCACAGGACAGATCGCTAGATAGGACACCCATTATTACCCTAATTTCTTGATGTCTGTCGATAGTTCTGTTTCTTTTGTTTATATATTTTGAATATTCAATTACTTTCCTAATAACAGGTCCGCCCTCATCGTCCTATTTTACACATAAACATATGGTATTAAAAAAAATTAAAAAGTTATCAAATGAAAATCTCTCTCTCTCTCTCTTTCTCTCACTCTCTCTCTCTCTCTCTTTCAACACTAGACACATACATGACAGGCTCCCTTTCCTTTGTCGGCCACCACACAAGCATTACTACTGTCGATGATTGTTGTTGTGTTAGTGTTGGTAGTAATGGTATTGTTTTCTATCCTAGACTTACATTGTTGCCAATCAAATATCTTTACATCGAGTGTTTGTAGAAACCACCAAATAGTTTTTGATCCCCAACCGCCTATATGGGCCGGTTGTCTATCATGGATAACCTTTTGGTTTTTATCGGCCAATCGTATTATACCAACCTAATCCCTAACCAGTGCTATATTGTTTTGTTTAGTCAGTGGCGAGTACTGGTCGTGTATAATGGTTTGGACTACAGTATACAATGTATTATTTAATTGGTAATCATTTCTACCGACACCAACAAAAATACTAGAAACAGTACGACTGTTATAATAGGGAGTAAAAGTAAAAGGAAAATAAAAACATTTAAATATAAACTAATCAAATAATAATCAAATTTTTTTTTTGTATAAAAATTATGATATTATTATAATACTTTTGTAGACAACTGGCAGCCGTTAGTATCCAATTCGTACCAATGATAGTACCGCTACATAAATGTCGCTTAGATTGGTTGTCCATCAGCGAAGCCATATAACCCAAACCAAACCGGGTGTTTCTAGATTTTGAATGAGAGAATCCTGGATCTATATCTATCGGATCTTCAATAATCAGATTTACCGGTTGAATATCATTATTATTAGTCGTATTATCACTACTACTAACAGCAGTTATATTGGTTTTCTGTTTAATCCATTGTAGATATGGGTTAATACTGATCATAACTTCGGGTCGACCAGACTTGCAGGACAGGTCATCGGTTAGGATACCTATTAATAGTTTTCTATCTATAGGACAGCTTTTCTGATTATAATATTGTTTTTGTCTATCTATTGTTACTGGATTACCATCATCATCCTATTATGAAATATTTACACATTTTTTCAAATATCTATCTCTAACTTAATGATACTTACTTTACAACCAAAATACTTCAGCAAACAAACATTACTACTGTCTATGTTTGTTGTTGTGTTGTTTGTGGTGATGGTATTGTTTGTCATTAGAGACTTACATTGTTGCCAACCAAGTGTACGGACATCACTTGTTCCGCTCCATATATTTGACGAATAAGTAATTTCGGCTAAAGTCGAGTCGTCAATAACTGGTTGATCGGCCAATTGAACTATATTTACCCGTGAATTATCACTTATGTAGGGCTCGACCCGAACCAGTGCTATATTGTTTTGTTTAGTCACTGGCGAGTACTGGTCGTGTATAATGATTTGGTCGACACCGTAGTAGCTATGATTATGTATGAAATCTTCWTCACCGATACCAACATAAATGCTTGATAAGGGACGACTGTTTTGTTGTTGTTGTTGTTGTTTATTAGATATTGTTGTTGGTATTGTAAATAAGTATAATATGAGATGTTAGGGTTTATTTGATTAAATTGAATTAAAAACATAATTTAATATCTATTCAATAAAGTAATTACTATACACTTACTTATGTAGACAACTGGCGGCCGTTAGTATCCAATTCGTACCAATGATAGATCCGCCGCACAAACGTTCATTAAATTCATTTCTAATCGATGCCCCAAATCCTCCAAAATTACTCCTATATTGTAATTCTGTTGAACAAATTACCGGCCTATTGTCGGTATTATTATTATTATTACTACTAATAGCAGTTATTTTGGTTTTTTCGTTTATCCATTGAAGAAACGGTACAATACTGGTAACGACTTTGGGTTGTCGGCCGACACCGCCGTCGAGTTGACCGCATGACAGGTCAGCCGATAGTATACCTATTAATCTGGTTATTCTATTTTCATCACTATTTTCTGATTTATTTGGTGTCTCTACTGTCACTGCACCGCCTACATCACCCACATGTCCTTTCTATTATTATTGTTTCAAAAAATAAAACCAAAAAAAACAAATAAATGAAATAAAAACAGAAAAAGTCTCTCTCTCTCTCTCTCTCTCTCTCTCTCTTTCTAATTTTTACTCTATAATATAGAGTCTATATTATACAGTTTATGCGACTTAAAAGTTTAAATATTATGTATGGTTTTAGCCAAGGTACTTTATATAACTTTCCTAATATATTAGGTTACTATATACTAAGTTACCTTGCTTAGCGTTAAGTGTTAACTGTATTACACGATAGATTACTCAAATTAAAACTTTTAATTGGCATTATCTGTACCTATACTATACAGTGGAGGACACATACATGACAGACACCCTCTCCTTTGGCGGTCAGCAGACAAATATTATTACTATTAAGAATCGGTGTTTTTGTTGTTGTATTTGTATTGGTGTTGTTGTCCGACACTATTATAGTCGTACAATGTTTCCAATCGATAGTCCGGGAGTTTATGTTTGTCACATGTCGATAATCTTTCGGTTCCCAATCGTGTAGATAGGCTACTGACCAGTTGGCAACCGGTTGGTCACCTAATGATAGTTCATAGTTTACAGTTATGTGTTCAATATATTCCTTTAGGCGAACCAATGCTATATTGTTTTCGTTAGTTTCGGGTGAATAGTGATCGTATATAACGGTATGGTTGACAGCATAGTGTCCTAATAAAACTTTAGTACTTGTAACGGTACGACTGTTTTGTTGTCAGATTAATTAGAAATCAAATCAAACATTAATATATTATCAAATTATTGGGTGTGAGGTGGGGTTGGGTCGGGTTGGGTGGAAATGTCTTTATATAAAAATAATTAGATTAAAACAATTTTATATAATTATTAAGATATCAAATGAAATAATAATAAAAGTAATAATAATTATATTCTTTGAAAAAAAGTAATAATAATTATACCATTAATAATCGTTTGGTGTTTTTTGGTTTTAAAAAATATATAACTTAAACTAAATTACTACAGTATTACTAACTTATATACACAACTGGCTGCTGTTAGTATCCAATACGGACTGATTATAGTACCGCTGCATAAGTGTCTGTCTTTACCAGTGATGTTAGTCCTTAATGATACTGTAAAACCGACACCTCTAGGTACTCCAGCTTTTACAGGCAATTTAGGCTCTATAGTTTCAGGGGTAGTTGATTTTGAAAGGGTAGTAGTGGTGGGGTTAGTAATACTAGGTGTCGGTGTTGTATTTGTACCAATAGTATCATCACAGAGATCAGTGGTAGACTTGATTAGCAAAATATTTACTGATATTAATACTAATAAAACAATTTGGACTAATTGGCCAAAAATTAACATAATTGTTTGGTATGTTATTATTGTATGGATAAGTTAACTATAAGATTATACTATTACAGTAATTATTTTACTGTATGATACTTATTGAATGTTTTTTTTAAAGTAAATGATAAATTTTTTACAAACACATATAGATATCTATAACTTTACAATAATTTTATTTTTTTAAACATATGTTATGCACAGATAACATATTATTTACACATAATTAGTGCGTCAATTAAATATCATTAAATTATATAAAAATATTTTATTAATAGATTTTAATACATTATTTTAAAAAACTGCTTCAATATATTTTTAAATCCAATATAAAAGTGTAAATAAATAATTAGTTAATTGGATGTTATTATACTACATAATCTATTAATATATTATAGTTAAATAATAATATTATTATCAATATATTAATAAAAAATACTTAGATTTATACAATTTATTTGATAAATTTATGATCGATATTAAAAATGCATTTTAGTAAACATATGTTATTATTTGTACGTCAATTTTATTTTTTACTAAATTAATTAATAATTTAATTCAATATTGTTTTCATAGAATCTAATATCTAATTAAAAATAGTTATTACGACAATAAACTAAATAAAAATTAAATAAAAATTTTATTAATGGATTTTATTTAGCATTATTTAGAAAAACGAAAAATATTTTAAACAATATATTAATACAAAAAAAGTTTAATACAAAATAAGAATTATACAATTAATTTGATAAATTTATGATCAGTTTTTCAAAAAATCAATTATAATTAATGTCTTAAAACTATTAGAAATGTATTAATCACTTATTTAAGTAATAAATTTGAGTAAATATTTTTTACAATATGTTATTATATTTTTTGTACGTCAATTTTATTTTAGTTTTTTACAAAAAAAATGAAATTTAAAACTAGTTTTTATTGGAACAGATTGTTATAGTAAAATTTTAATTAAAAAATTTTTTAACAAAAAAAATCAAATAATAAGAAAAAAAATTATAAGAAAATTTTCATTTTACAAAATAAATAGAAATATAATAATTATTATTTTTAATTTAAAAAATTGTTAAAATTATTAATAAACAAAATCAAATATTAAAATCGTTTCATTTTTAATTACACGATTACACCCATAATGCTTTGTAGATAACATTTTCAGAATTAAAATAAATAAGTTATTTGAAACTAGTTTTTTAAAATTATAATTTTATAATGTATTTCAATTAATAATGTGTTTATAATGTCTTCCATAGTTATAATAATTTAATATTTAATAATATATAACAAATTACAATAAGTAATATTTTTGCTGTTATTCGACTTTAAAGTCAAAAAATAATTAATTAACATTATTTTTTAGTAAGATATATGATTTCTATGTATTTTTTTATGTCGATAACATATCAAAGATCAAAATTTTCATCAAATCGAATAGTTGTAAATATAATGAGCTTATAAGTCGAAAATTGAATTGAATAAAAAAACATCAAAAAATATATAAACAAATTATAGAAAAAATGCATTTTTTAATATAAAAAACTATTTATAGAAAAAATGTAGTAAAATAAAAGATTGTTTAATTAAAACTAAATTAAATATTATTAATAATTTTTTATAATGTTTATTTTTTCGTTGAAAACAAATAATATAAATAAATTTTTAGTTAATTACTACAACACTTACTTATATACACAACTGGCTGCTGTTAGTATCCAATGGGGACTTATTATAGCATCGCTGCATAAGTGTCGGTCACTACCATTGATATTTGTCATCAATGTTACAGTAAATCCGATACCTCTAGTCGACTGTTTTTTTTTGTTGTCCCAATATAGGCTCTCTAGCTTTAGTAGTGTTGGTAGGTTTAGTAAGGGGTAGTACTAGTTGTAGTTATTGTATTAGTAACAGTAGTATCATCGCAGAGATCAGTACTAGATTTCATTAGCAAAATATTTACTGATATTAATACTAATAAAACAATTTGAACTAATTGGCCAAAAAATTAACATTATTATAGTTTGATGTTATTATTGTATGGATAAGTTAACTATAAGATTATGCTATTACACTGACTGTATGATAGCTATTGATGTAAAAATGTAGTAAATGTTAAATTTTTACAACATATATATTTTAGATATATATATAGCTTTACAAAAATAATTTTTATTTTTTTAATTCAATATGTATTTCATAGAATCTAATATCTAATTACAAAAAAATATTACGTCAATAAACTAGATGAAATTATGTAATAAATTTTATAAAATGTTAATTTAGCATTATTTTTTAAAAAAAACTGCTTCAATATATTATTCAATTCAATATAAAGTTTAAATAAATAAATAATTAATTAATTTAATGTTTGTTTTTTTGGTAATACTACAAAAGATACTAATATATTATAGTTAAATAAAAATATTATTAAAAATATATTTATAAAAAAACTTAGATATATACAAGTAATTTGATAAATTTATGATCAGTATTAAAAAATTTAATTATAATTAATAATGTAAACGGTTTACGTTATTATAATAACTTATTTCTAAAAAAAAATCAAAATTCAAGTAGAGCAAAAAATTAAAAAAATTTTATTTCATTAAATAATTTTATAAATATAATATTTTAAAAAAAATTATTATATTATATTTAGCAAAAATTAATAAACAAACAAAAATAACAATTTAATTAATTATAATAAATTTTTTTAACACAAAAAATTGTACAAAAAATTATTCAATAAAATTTTTATTAATTATTTCTTATATTCCTGTATTATCTTTAATCCATTGTCTATACGGGACAATACTGGTAACTAAAAGCGGACTAAAAAAATTTAAAACTAGATTTTATTGGAACAGATTGTTAGTCTAAAATTTTAATTAAATAATTTTCTATTTAAAAATCAAATACTAGTAAAAAATTTAGAAAAAAAATTCATTTTACAAAATAGATTTATTTATTTTTTGTATAAAAAATTGTTAAAATTATTAATAAACAAAATCAAATATTTTATTTTATTTTTTTAAAATTCTTGTTATTATTAATATACATTAACATACAATAATATATTTCTGTATTATCTTTAATCCATTGACTATACGGGACAATAATGGTAACAACATCGGGTCCAGCGGACTGACCGCTTAATAGGACAACCGTTAATACCTCATAGGGTGACCGATATCTACCTAAATCTGAAGTGGATATAATGTTTATTTTTTTGCCTAAATATTTTATTTGGGATAATAATAATAATAATAATAATTGTATGATTGACCATATTGAATTCAAATATAATAATAATTATACATTTTAGTATTTTCAATAACATTCAATAACCTCATCATCACATATACATTCTATCCTATACAACTAAATCACACCCTCACCTACGACCCATTAAGTTAACCATCAAATATATACATATAATAATAATAATAAATGCATTTGCAGATACAACTATTGATATATACAGGTATATATATATATATATATATATTTCATATAAGTTACATGAGATACATAAGCAAAATCTAAACAATCAGTTGTATAAAAGCCCAAAGTTGTTGTATAGTTTTGTTGTTGTTGTGTTGTTAATGATATTGTAATGGTTGTTAAATTAGTTGTTGTTGTTGTAATTGCTGTAGTTGGTGGTGGTTTATCTATTACTGTCATTATAGCTTTGTAAGAAATCTAGACTCCCTCCCTCCCCTATGTTCGCAATTGTTAGCATGAAATCATTTTTATAAAGAAATTGTCCCTAACCGCTAACCCACCCCCCTCCAACCAGCACAACTAAGAAATATCTAAACGCTAATGCTATTAAGGTCTCTACCCTCCATTCCCCCATATAAAACAATTAAGTAATATTAATAAAATTTTTAAGTTTTTTATTATTATTAATTTATTATGCTTAAAATTTTCTTATAAAATATTAGTTCAAAATATAATTTATTAAATTAAACATATAGTCGTTTATAAATTAATAAAACAAAAATCAAATTATGAATAATATTATTAATTAATAAATTCATTAGATTCCTGTTTTTTCTTTAATCCATTCGCGATAAGTGATAACATTGGTAACAATATCGGGTCGACCGGACTGACCACAGGACAGATCGCTAGATAGGACACCCATTATTACCCTAATTTCTTGATGTCTGTCGATAGTTCTGTTTCTTTTGTTTATATATTTTGAATATTCAATTACTTTCCTAATAATAGGTCCGCCCTCATCGTCCTATTTTACACATAAACATATGGTTTTTCAAAAAAAAATTAAAAAGTTATCAAAAGAAAATCTCTCTCTCTCTCTCTCTCTCTCTCTCCCTCAACAATAGACACATACATGACAGGCTCCCTTTCCTTTGTCGGCCACCACACAAACATTACTACTATCGATGATTGTTGTTGAGTTGGTAGTAATGGTATTGTTTGCTATAATAGACATACACTGTTGCCAATCAAATATCTTTACATCGAGTGTTTGTAGAAACCACCAAATAGTTTTCGATCCCCAACCGCCTATATGGGCCGGTTGTCTATCATGGATAACCTTTTGATTTTTATCGGCCAATCGTATTATACCAACCAAATCACAGTTACGTATATAAGGCTCAACCCTAACCAGTGCTATATTGTTTTGTTTAGTCAGTGGCGAGTACTGGTCGTGTAAAATGGTTTGGACTACAGTATACAATGTATTATTTAATTGGTAATCATTTTTACCGACACCAACATAAATACTAGAAACAGTACGACTGTTATAATAGGGAGTGAAAGTAAAAGTAAATTAAAAACATTTAAATATAAACTAATCAAATAATAATCAATTTTTTGTATAAAAAATATATTATTATAATACTTTTGTAGACAACTGGCAGCCGTTAGTATCCAATTCGTACCAATGATAGTACCGCTACAAAAATGTCGCTTAGATTGGTTGTCCATCAGCGAAGCCGTATAACGCAAACCAAACCGGGTGTTTCTAGATTTTGAATGAGAGAATCCCGGATCTATATTTATCGGATCTTCAATAATCAGATTTACCGGTTGAATATCATTATTAGTAGTCGTATTATCACTACTACTACTAACAGCACTTATATTGGTTTTCTGTTTAATCCATTGTAGATATGGGTTAATACTGATCATAACTTCGGGTCGACCAGACTTGCAGTACAGGTCATCGGTTAGAACACCTATTAATAGTTTTCTATCTATAGGACAGCTTTTCCGATTATAATATTGTTTTTGTCTATCTATTGTTACTGGATTACCAGCATCATCCTATTATGAAATATTTACACATTTTTTCAAATATCTATCTCTAACTTAATGATACTTACTTTACAACCAAAATACTTCACTAAACAAACATTACTACTATCTATGTTTGTTGTTGTGTTGTTTGTGGTGATGGTATTGTTTGCCATTAGAGACTTACATTGTTGCCAACCAAGTGTACGGACATCACTTGTTCCGCTCCATATATTTGATGAATAAGTAATTTCGGCTAAAGTCGAGTCGTCAATAACTGGTTGATCGGCCAATTGAACTATATTTACCCGTGAATTATCACTTATGTAGGGCTCGACCCGAACCAGTGCTATATTATTTTGTTTAGTCACTGGGGAGTACTGGTCGTGTATAATGATTTGGTCGACACCGTAGTAGCTATGATTATGTACGAAATCTTCATCACCGATACCAACATAAATGCTTGATAAGGGACGACTGTTTTGTTGTTGTTGTTTATTAGATATTGTTGTTGGTATTGTAAATAAGTATAATATGAGAAGTTATTGTTTATTTGATTAAATTGAATTAAAAACATAATTTAATATCTATTCAATAAAGTAATTACTATACACTTACTTATGTAGACAACTGGCGGCCGTTAGTATCCAATTCGTACCAATGATGGATCCGCCGCACAAACGTTCATTAAATTCATTTCTAATCGATGCCCCAAATCCTCCAAAATTACTCCTATATTGTAATTCTGTTGAACAAATTACCGGCCGATTGTCGGTATCATTATTATTATTATTACTACTACTAATAGCAGTTATTTTGGTTTTTTCGTTTATCCATTGAAGAAACGGTACAATACTGGTAACGACTTTGGGTTGTCGGCCGACACCGCCGTCGAGTTGACCGCATGACAGGTCAGCCGATAGTATACCTATTAATCTGGTTATTCTATTTTCATCATTATTTTCTGATTTATTTGGTTTCTCTACTGTCAGTGACAGTCGATAGTCCGGGAGTTTATGTTTGTCACATGTCGATAATCTTTCGGTTCCCAATCGTGTAGATAGGCTACTGACCAGTTGGCAACCGGTTGGTCGCCTAATGATAGTTCATAGTTTACAGTTATGTGTTCAATATATTCCTTTAGGCGAACCAATGCTATATTGTTTTCGTTAGTTTCGGGTGAATAGTGATCGTATATAACGGTATGGTTGACAGCATAGTGTCCTAATAAAACTTTAGTACTTGTAACGGTACGACTGTTTTGTTGTCAGATTAATTAGAAATCAAATCAAACATTAATATATTATCAAATTATTGGGTGTGAGGTGGGGTTGGGTCGGGTTGGGTGGAAATGTCTTTATATAAAAATAATTAGATTAAAACAATTTTATATAATTATTAAGATATCAAATGAAATAATAATAAAAGTAATAATAATTATATTCTTTGAAAAAAAGTAATAATAATTATACCATTAATAATCGTTTGGTGTTTTTTGGTTTTAAAAAAATATATAACTTAAACTAAATTACTACAGTATTACTAACTTATATACACAACTGGCTGCTGTTAGTATCCAATACGGACTGATTATAGTACCGCTGCATAAGTGTCTGTCTTTACCAGTGATGTTAGTCCTTAATGATACTGTAAAACCGACACCTCTAGGTACTCCAGCTTTTACAGGCAATTTAGGCTCTATAGTTTCAGGGGTAGTTGATTTTGAAAGGGTAGTAGTGGTGGGGTTAGTAATACTAGGTGTCGGTGTTGTATTTGTACCAATAGTATCATCACAGAGATCAGTGGTAGACTTGATTAGCAAAATATTTACTGATATTAATACTAATAAAACAATTTGGACTAATTGGCCAAAAATTAACATAATTGTTTGGTATGTTATTATTGTATGGATAAGTTAACTATAAGATTATACTATTACAGTAATTATTTTACTGTATGATACTTATTGAATGTTTTTTTTAAAGTAAATGATAAATTTTTTACAAACACATATAGATATCTATAACTTTACAATAATTTTATTTTTTTAAACATATGTTATGCACAGATAACATATTATTTACACATAATTAGTGCGTCAATTAAATATCATTAAATTATATAAAAATATTTTATTAATAGATTTTAATACATTATTTTAAAAAACTGCTTCAATATATTTTTAAATCCAATATAAAAGTGTAAATAAATAATTAGTTAATTGGATGTTATTATACTACATAATCTATTAATATATTATAGTTAAATAATAATATTATTATCAATATATTAATAAAAAATACTTAGATTTATACAATTTATTTGATAAATTTATGATCGATATTAAAAATGCATTTTAGTAAACATATGTTATTATTTGTACGTCAATTTTATTTTTTACTAAATTAATTAATAATTTAATTCAATATTGTTTTCATAGAATCTAATATCTAATTAAAAATAGTTATTACGACAATAAACTAAATAAAAATTAAATAAAAATTTTATTAATGGATTTTATTTAGCATTATTTAGAAAAACGAAAAATATTTTAAACAATATATTAATACAAAAAAAGTTTAATACAAAATAAGAATTATACAATTAATTTGATAAATTTATGATCAGTTTTTCAAAAAATCAATTATAATTAATGTCTTAAAACTATTAGAAATGTATTAATCACTTATTTAAGTAATAAATTTGAGTAAATATTTTTTACAATATGTTATTATATTTTTTGTACGTCAATTTTATTTTAGTTTTTTACWAAAAAAATKAAATTTWAAACTAGTTTTTATTGGAACAGATTGTTAWWGTAAAATTTTAATTAAAMAATTTTTTAACAAAAAAAATCAAATAATAAGAAAAAAATTATAAGAAAATTWTCATTTTACAAAATAAATAGAAATATAATAATTATTATTTTTAATTTAAAAAATTGTTAAAATTATTAATAAACAAAATCAAATATTAAAATCGTTTCATTTTTAATTACACGATTACACCCATAATGCTTTGTAGATAACATTTTCAGAATTAAAATAAATAAGTTATTTGAAACTAGTTTTTTAAAATTATAATTTTATAATGTATTTCAATTAATAATGTGTTTATAATGTCTTCCATAGTTATAATAATTTAATATTTAATAATATATAACAAATTACAATAAGTAATATTTTTGCTGTTATTCGACTTTAAAGTCAAAAAATAATTAATTAACATTATTTTTTAGTAAGATATATGATTTCTATGTATTTTTTTATGTCGATAACATATCAAAGATCAAAATTTTCATCAAATCGAATAGTTGTAAATATAATGAGCTTATAAGTCGAAAATTGAATTGAATAAAAAAACATCAAAAAATATATAAACAAATTATAGAAAAAATGCATTTTTTAATATAAAAAACTATTTATAGAAAAAATGTAGTAAAATAAAAGATTGTTTAATTAAAACTAAATTAAATATTATTAATAATTTTTTATAATGTTTATTTTTTCGTTGAAAACAAATAATATAAATAAATTTTTAGTTAATTACTACAACACTTACTTATATACACAACTGGCTGCTGTTAGTATCCAATGGGGACTTATTATAGCATCGCTGCATAAGTGTCGGTCACTACCATTGATATTTGTCATCAATGTTACAGTAAATCCGATACCTCTAGTCGACTGTTTTTTTTTGTTGTCCCAATATAGGCTCTCTAGCTTTAGTAGTGTTGGTAGGTTTAGTAAGGGGTAGTACTAGTTGTAGTTATTGTATTAGTAACAGTAGTATCATCGCAGAGATCAGTACTAGATTTCATTAGCAAAATATTTACTGATATTAATACTAATAAAACAATTTGAACTAATTGGCCAAAAAATTAACATTATTATAGTTTGATGTTATTATTGTATGGATAAGTTAACTATAAGATTATGCTATTACACTGACTGTATGATAGCTATTGATGTAAAAATGTAGTAAATGTTAAATTTTTACAACATATATATTTTAGATATATATATAGCTTTACAAAAATAATTTTTATTTTTTTAATTCAATATGTATTTCATAGAATCTAATATCTAATTACAAAAAAATATTACGTCAATAAACTAGATGAAATTATGTAATAAATTTTATAAAATGTTAATTTAGCATTATTTTTTAAAAAAAACTGCTTCAATATATTATTCAATTCAATATAAAGTTTAAATAAATAAATAATTAATTAATTTAATGTTTGTTTTTTTGGTAATACTACAAAAGATACTAATATATTATAGTTAAATAAAAATATTATTAAAAATATATTTATAAAAAAACTTAGATATATACAAGTAATTTGATAAATTTATGATCAGTATTAAAAAATTTAATTATAATTAATAATGTAAACGGTTTACGTTATTATAATAACTTATTTCTAAAAAAAAATCAAAATTCAAGTAGAGCAAAAAATTAAAAAAATTTTATTTCATTAAATAATTTTATAAATATAATATTTTAAAAAAAATTATTATATAATTTAGCAAAAATTAATAAACAAACAAAAATAACAATTTAATTAATTATAATAAATTTTTTTAACACAAAAAATTGTACAAAAAATTATTCAATAAAATTTTTATTAATTATTTCTTATATTCCTGTATTATCTTTAATCCATTGTCTATACGGGACAATACTGGTAACTAAAAGCGGACTAAAAAAAATTTAAAACTAGATTTTATTGGAACAGATTGTTAGTCTAAAATTTTAATTAAATAATTTTCTATTTAAAAATCAAATACTAGTAAAAAATTTAGAAAAAAAAATTCATTTTACAAAATAGATTTATTTATTTTTTGTATAAAAAATTGTTAAAATTATTAATAAACAAAATCAAATATTTTATTTTATTTTTTTAAAATTCTTGTTATTATTAATATACATTAACATACAATAATATATTTCTGTATTATCTTTAATCCATTGACTATACGGGACAATAATGGTAACAACATCGGGTCCAGCGGACTGACCGCTTAATAGGACAACCGTTAATACCTCATAGGGTGACCGATATCTACCTAAATCTGAAGTGGATATAATGTTTATTTTTTTGCCTAAATATTTTATTTGGGATAATAATAATAATAATAATAATTGTATGATTGACCATATTGAATTCAAATATAATAATAATTATACATTTTAGTATTTTCAATAACATTCAATAACCTCATCATCACATATACATTCTATCCTATACAACTAAATCACACCCTCACCTACGACCCATTAAGTTAACCATCAAATATATACATATAATAATAATAATAAATGCATTTGCAGATACAACTATTGATATATACAGGTATATATATATATATATATATATTTCATATAAGTTACATGAGATACATAAGCAAAATCTAAACAATCAGTTGTATAAAAGCCCAAAGTTGTTGTATAGTTTTGTTGTTGTTGTGTTGTTAATGATATTGTAATGGTTGTTAAATTAGTTGTTGTTGTTGTAATTGCTGTAGTTGGTGGTGGTTTATCTATTACTGTCATTATAGCTTTGTAAGAAATCTAGACTCCCTCCCTCCCCTATGTTCGCAATTGTTAGCATGAAATCATTTTTATAAAGAAATTGTCCCTAACCGCTAACCCACCCCCCTCCAACCAGCACAACTAAGAAATATCTAAACGCTAATGCTATTAAGGTCTCTACCCTCCATTCCCCCATATAAAACAATTAAGTAATATTAATAAAATTTTTAAGTTTTTTATTATTATTAATTTATTATGCTTAAAATTTTCTTATAAAATATTAGTTCAAAATATAATTTATTAAATTAAACATATAGTCGTTTATAAATTAATAAAACAAAAATCAAATTATGAATAATATTATTAATTAATAAATTCATTAGATTCCTGTTTTTTCTTTAATCCATTCGCGATAAGTGATAACATTGGTAACAATATCGGGTCGACCGGACTGACCACAGGACAGATCGCTAGATAGGACACCCATTATTACCCTAATTTCTTGATGTCTGTCGATAGTTCTGTTTCTTTTGTTTATATATTTTGAATATTCAATTACTTTCCTAATAATAGGTCCGCCCTCATCGTCCTATTTTACACATAAACATATGGTTTTTCAAAAAAAAATTAAAAAGTTATCAAAAGAAAATCTCTCTCTATCTCTCTCTCTCTCTCTCCCTCAACAATAGACACATACATGACAGGCTCCCTTTCCTTTGTCGGCCACCACACAAACATTACTACTATCGATGATTGTTGTTGAGTTGGTAGTAATGGTATTGTTTGCTATAATAGACATACACTGTTGCCAATCAAATATCTTTACATCGAGTGTTTGTAGAAACCACCAAATAGTTTTCGATCCCCAACCGCCTATATGGGCCGGTTGTCTATCATGGATAACCTTTTGATTTTTATCGGCCAATCGTATTATACCAACCAAATCACAGTTACGTATATAAGGCTCAACCCTAACCAGTGCTATATTGTTTTGTTTAGTCAGTGGCGAGTACTGGTCGTGTAAAATGGTTTGGACTACAGTATACAATGTATTATTTAATTGGTAATCATTTTTACCGACACCAACATAAATACTAGAAACAGTACGACTGTTATAATAGGGAGTGAAAGTAAAAGTAAATTAAAAACATTTAAATATAAACTAATCAAATAATAATCAATTTTTTGTATAAAAAATATATTATTATAATACTTTTGTAGACAACTGGCAGCCGTTAGTATCCAATTCGTACCAATGATAGTACCGCTACAAAAATGTCGCTTAGATTGGTTGTCCATCAGCGAAGCCGTATAACGCAAACCAAACCGGGTGTTTCTAGATTTTGAATGAGAGAATCCCGGATCTATATTTATCGGATCTTCAATAATCAGATTTACCGGTTGAATATCATTATTAGTAGTCGTATTATCACTACTACTACTAACAGCACTTATATTGGTTTTCTGTTTAATCCATTGTAGATATGGGTTAATACTGATCATAACTTCGGGTCGACCAGACTTGCAGTACAGGTCATCGGTTAGAACACCTATTAATAGTTTTCTATCTATAGGACAGCTTTTCCGATTATAATATTGTTTTTGTCTATCTATTGTTACTGGATTACCAGCATCATCCTATTATGAAATATTTACACATTTTTTCAAATATCTATCTCTAACTTAATGATACTTACTTTACAACCAAAATACTTCACTAAACAAACATTACTACTATCTATGTTTGTTGTTGTGTTGTTTGTGGTGATGGTATTGTTTGCCATTAGAGACTTACATTGTTGCCAACCAAGTGTACGGACATCACTTGTTCCGCTCCATATATTTGATGAATAAGTAATTTCGGCTAAAGTCGAGTCGTCAATAACTGGTTGATCGGCCAATTGAACTATATTTACCCGTGAATTATCACTTATGTAGGGCTCGACCCGAACCAGTGCTATATTATTTTGTTTAGTCACTGGGGAGTACTGGTCGTGTATAATGATTTGGTCGACACCGTAGTAGCTATGATTATGTACGAAATCTTCATCACCGATACCAACATAAATGCTTGATAAGGGACGACTGTTTTGTTGTTGTTGTTTATTAGATATTGTTGTTGGTATTGTAAATAAGTATAATATGAGAAGTTATTGTTTATTTGATTAAATTGAATTAAAAACATAATTTAATATCTATTCAATAAAGTAATTACTATACACTTACTTATGTAGACAACTGGCGGCCGTTAGTATCCAATTCGTACCAATGATGGATCCGCCGCACAAACGTTCATTAAATTCATTTCTAATCGATGCCCCAAATCCTCCAAAATTACTCCTATATTGTAATTCTGTTGAACAAATTACCGGCCGATTGTCGGTATCATTATTATTATTATTACTACTACTAATAGCAGTTATTTTGGTTTTTTCGTTTATCCATTGAAGAAACGGTACAATACTGGTAACGACTTTGGGTTGTCGGCCGACACCGCCGTCGAGTTGACCGCATGACAGGTCAGCCGATAGTATACCTATTAATCTGGTTATTCTATTTTCATCACTATTTTCTGATTTATTTGGTTTCTCTACTGTCACTGCACCGCCTACATCACCCACATGTCCTTTCTATTATTATTGTTTCAAAAAATAAAACCAAAAAAATACAAATAAATGAAATAAAAACAGAAAAAGTCTCTCTCTCTCTCTCTCTCTCTCTCTCTCATTTTTACTCTATAATATAGAGTCTATATTATACAGTTTATGCAACTTAAAAGTTTAAATATTATGTATGGTTTTAGCCAAGGTACTTTATATAACTTTCCTAATATATTAGGTTACTATATACTAAGTTACCTTGCTTAGCATTAAGTGTTAACTGTATTACACGATAGATTACTCAAATTAAAACTTTTAATTGGCATTATCTTTAACTATACTATACAGTGGAGGACACATACATGACAGACACCCTCTCCTTTGGCGGTCAGCAGACAAATATTATTACTATTAAGAATCGGTGTTTTTGTTGTTGTATTTGTATTGGTGTTGTTGTCCGACACTATTATAGTCGTACAATGTTTCCAATCGATAGTCCGGGAGTTTATGTTTGTCACATGTCGATAATCTTTCGGTTCCCAATCGTGTAGATAGGCTACTGACCAGTTGGCAACCGGTTGGTCACCTAATGATAGTTCATAGTTTACAGTTATGTGTTCAATATAGTCCTTTAGGCGAATCAATGCTATATTGTTTTCGTTAGTTTCGGGTGAATAGTGATCGTATATAACGGTATGATTGACAGCATAGTGTCCGTATGAAACTTTAATACTTGAAAGGGAACGACTGTTTTGTTGTCAAATTAATTAGAAATCAAATCAAACATTAATATATTATCAAATTATTGAGTGTGGGGTGGGGTTGGGTCGGGTTGGGTGGAAATTCATTATATAAAAATAATTAGATTAAAACAATTTTATATAATTATTAAGATATCAAATGAAGTAATAATAATTAAATAATTTGAAAAAAGTAATAATAATTATACCATTAATAATCGTTTGGTGTTTTTTGATTTAAAAAAATATAACTTAAACTAAATTACTACAGTATTACTTACTTATATAGACAACTGGCTGCTGTTAGTATCCAATACGGACTGATTATAGTACCGCTGCATAAGTGTCTGTCTTTACCAGTTATGTTAGTCCTCAATGATACTATAAAACCGACACCTCTAGGTCCTCCAGCTTTTACAGGCAATTTATGCTCTATAGTTTCAGGGGTAGTTGATTTTGAAAGGGTAGTAGTGGTAGGGTTAGTACTACTAGGTGTCGGTGTTGTATTTGTACCAACAGTATCATCGCAGAGATCAGTGGTAGACTTGATTAGCAAAATATTTACTGATAATAATAATAAACCAATTTGGACTAATTGGCCAAAAATTAACATAATTGTTATTATTGTATGGATAAGTTAACTATAAGATTATACTATTACAGTAACTGTTTTACTGTATTATAGTTATTGAATGTTTTTTTAAAGTAAATGATAAATTTTTTTACAAACACAGATATATATATATATATATATAACTTTACAATAATTTTATTTTTTAAAACATATGTTATGCACAGAATCTGATATTATTTACACATAATTAGTGCGTCAATAAAATATAATCAAATTATATAAAAATATTTTATTAATAGATTATATTTAACAATATTTAAAAAATTACTAAACTTATAATAATTATTAAAAAAACTATAAGATTATACTATTACAGTAACTGTTTTACTCTATGATATATTTTGATGTTTTATTTCAAGTAAATGATAAATTTTTTACAAACACTGTAAATTAATAATTAGTTAACTGAATGTTTGTTTTTTTATTATACTACATAAGAAACTATTATCAGTGCTATTAGTTTTGATTAGCAAAATATTTGCTGATAATACTAATAAAACAATTTGGACTATAATTGGCCTAAAATTAACAATACCAGTAATTGCTGTTATTATTTATTATTATGTTAAATACAAATCTTTCTATTACAGTAACTATTGTAAGTATAATAGTTATTGAAATGTTTTTTTTCTGAAATAAATGTTAAATTTTTTACAAATATATATATATAATTTATTTGTTATTCAATATGGTTTTCATTAAATCTAATATTATTTACACATAATTATTACGTTCATAAACTAAATGAATTATGTAATCATTATTAGTAAATTTAGTTTTATTTATTAAAAAAAACTGCTTTAATGTGTTTTTTGTATCTCAATTCTAAAATACTTAATTAAATGTTTATTTTTATACTACAGAAGATACTAATATATTGTTAAATAATGTTAAATAATATAAAACTTAAATACAATTAATAGTATTAATAAAGTATAAACAATTAATTTGATTTATGCATTATTATTTTTTTAATAATAAACTTTGTAAATATAAATATACATACAGTTATATATACCGGTATATATAAATTTTATTTTTTAATCAATATGATTTTCATAGAGATTTTAATCATCATTTATGTAATAAATTTTAGTAAATTTAATATATAAAAAAAACTTCAATATGTTTGATTTTATTGAAACTAAATATAAATGTTTAAAATATTTACTTACTTAATTGTATGCTTTTAAAGTATGGCACACAATTATGATAAAAAAATTAACAACAATATTAAGTACAATATATTAATATAAAATTTAAAATATAATTATAATTTTACTATTTGTTTACTATTTTGTTATAATATTATGCTTTTTATAATAATTTATTAATAACAAATTAATTTATATTCTTAGGTATTATTTATATACTTTATAAGTTATAAATTAAATATAAATTATTGGAAAGTTAGAAAAAAATTAACTATTGATTTATTTATTATAATTTATCAAATAATAATAATTATATTAATTTTTAAAAATCTAAAATTTAATACAATAAAAAAAATTTAATTCACCAAAATCGACAAAATTTAGTAGTAGTAGTAGTAGTAGTAATAGTAATAATACTAGTACTAGGGGTAGGGATTGTAATACTACTACTACTAGTAGTAGTAGTAGTATCACCTCATATCAGACTGACCACCCATACAGGTGCCGCCTGTATTATACAGGAATGTATTGTCTGATACAGGTGACAGGAAAGGGGCTAACCTGTATAATGTAATATACAGTTTTAAAATATGTGAAACTAATTAATAAATAAAAGTATAAAATAAATATTGAAGTAAAATTTGTTAATAAAAATTGCTTGTATTTTTGATATAAAGTTTAAATATATAAAAGAAATTTTATAAATTTAAATTTTATAAAAATAAAGTTGTTCATGTTCAAAATAGAAAACTAATTTTCATCTTTTTATGTAATTATAATACCTTAAATTGGTTTTTAAATTGAATTTTTCTTAATTTATATTATAAATTTATATAGTTATTTAAATACAAGATAATATACAGGAATATAATATTTAATATACAGGAAAATACAGGTGAAATTCATATATTTTATTATATTATACAGGTTTACTAATAAATTGGGTGGTCAGTCTAGCTCATATATCAGTGTTAGTTTTGATTAGCAAAATATTTACTGATATTAATACTAATAAAACAATTTGGACTAATTGGCCAAAAATTAACATAATAGTTGTTTGGTGTTATTATTTGTTATTAAGTTAAATACAAATCTTTCTATTACAGTAACTATTGTAAGTATAATAGTTATTAAATGTTTTTTTCAAGTAAATGTTAAATTTTTTACAAACACTTAGATATATATATAATTTATTTTCTTATTCAATATGGTTTTCATTAAATACAATATTATTTACACATATAATTATTATGTTCATAAACTAAATGAATTATGTAATCAGTTTTAGTAAATTTAGTTTTATATATTTAATTGAAAAAACAGTTTTAATATGTTTTTTTTTGTATTTCAATTAAAATCTTTTTTATCTAATATAAACTTGTATATAAATAACTACTTAATTAAATTTTTATTGTTAATATTACAGATGATAGTAATGTATTGTTAAATAATATAAAACTTAAATACAATTAATAGTATTAAAAAAGTCAAAACAATTAAATTAATTTATGCATTATTATATTTTTTATAAATATTAAATATAATTAAGTTATAATTAAGTTAAAAAATTCATTGTTTATAGTCATGTTTCTATAAGTAATATTATACTTAAAATAATTTTTAGTTATTTTTTGAGTTAAATTATATTTCTTCTATATTATATATAATTATTATTTTTTCTGTCAAATCCTTTCAAAATTTTAAGAAATAACTTAATCGGTAAAAAATAATCATTTAATACTATATTTATATTTAATTAATATATAAAATTGATGTACAAAAAACATATTTAAAAAATTTTGTATATCATATTTATTACATAATTGATTTACGTTTACGTAATAATATTTATTTCATGTATAGTCTGTATAACACTAGCATTGATATAGAAAATTAAAAAATATATAAATTTCAATCAGTTTCTTAAATAATGTTAAATAAATACTATTTATAAAATTTATTACTTAATTCATTTAGTTTATTGACGTAATAATTATGTGTAAATAATATTAGATTCTATGAAAACCATATTGAAATTTGATGGGCAAATAAAAAGTTTCTAATAAATTTCACTGAGAAAGTTTCTAGAAAGTTTCTCATGAATAAATTTCTATAGAAATTTAACTTTATTGTGTATACTATGGGATCCTCATATCTAAAGCTATTGTAATAATTTACTATATATTAATGAGACATAATACAATACATATAATATTATACTGTATAGCACTGTAGACTACTAAATAGGATACTTATATATATGAAATAATTATAATTATTTAATAATAATAAATTAATTAATTACTTAAAACTAATTAAAATATTGTTAATAATTTTCAATTATTACATATAAAAACAATGTGTTGTTACAAGATAACAAATATGTAGAGATCAAAATTAATACGGGGATCCCATAGATAGAAATTTCTTTTAGAAACTTTATAGAAATTTCTCTATTATTTTATAAGTTTCTCTTTTTTGCCAACACTATATTGAATACAAAAATAATTTTTTTTGTAAAGTTATATATCTATATGTGTTTGTAATTTTTTTTAAACATTTACTTAAAAAAACATTTAATAACTATAATACAGTAATAGTTACTGTAATAGCAATTAATCTTATAGTTAACTTAGTCATACAATAATAACATACCAAACAATTATGTTAATTTTTGGCCAATTAGTCCAAATTGTTTTATTAGTATTAATATCAGTAAATATTTTGCTAATCAAGTCTACCACTGATCTCTGCGATGATACTGTTGGTACAAATACAACACCGACACCTAGTAGTAGTACTAACCCTACCACTACTACCCTTTCAAAATCAACTACCCCTGAAACTAAAGAGCCTAAATTGCCTGTAAAATCTGGAGGACCTAGAGGCTAATCAAAACTAGTACTGATCTCTGCGATGATACTACTATTACTAATACTAATCCGACTACTTCTACCCCTATCCCTACTAAAACTACTACTACTAGACCTATGTTGGGAACACTATATAATATAACAACTGGTACTTGTTTTCCCGTATCATTGATGACCAACAACACTGATAACAAACATTTTTGCGGCGGATCTATAATAAGTCCCCATTGGATACTAACAGCAGCCAGTTGTGTATATAAGTATGTATTATATAATATAAAATTTAGAGTAATTAATATTTATGTTTTAAAATAATATTATCAAAAAATAATTATTAATATTATTATTTTGTTTCTAAATAATTTTTCTTTTATTTATTACATTTGTTATAATATTTGTTTAAACAAAATAATAATTTATATATATAATTCATATATACCTGTATATACCTGCGTATACCTGTATTTATATATTGTTATATTAAACCCCCTAATATTTATCTTTCTAACCCATTCATTCTCAACAATCAATTAAACCAAACCAACAAAAAAACTAGTCGTACAGTTTCTAGTTTTTACATTAATCTTCTCGGACACCATTATCCGGTCAACCAAACCGTTATACACGATCAATACTCGGCCGCAACTCACGAAAACAATATAGCATTGGTTAGGGTTGACGGATATATTGTGGACAACGAAATGAACGAAATGATAGCAATTGCCGACCAACCGCCTGCTAACTGGTCAACAGCTTATCTACACGGCTGGGGACACGATAGATACAGTTGGGGAATGAAGGAATATAACGCCCGGATAATCGATTTGCAACAGTGCACTGGTATGATGTTGTCGTCAATAACGGCCAACAATAAAAATACAACAACAAATTCATTAATTATTAATAGTAACAAAGTTTGTTTGGTAACCGCTAAGGGAGAGGGTGTCTGTAATGTTAGTTTACAAATATATAATATAGTTTAGTAGAGCGAGAGAGACTGTGTGTGTGTGTGTGTGTGTGAGAGAGAGAGAGAGAGAGAGAGAGAGAGAGAGAGAGAGATAGATGAATGAGTGTTACTTTTTTGTTAATTAATTTGTTTTATTTATTTTCAATTCACTAATAATAATAATAGGATGATGTAGGTGGTGCAGTGACAATAGATAAACAAAATCAAAGTCAAACATTAGAGCATAGTAGAAAAAAATACTAATCGGTATCATATCGGTAGACCTGGCCTGCGGTATCGATGGCCGACCCCAAGTTGTTACCAGTATTTATCCATATCTTCAATGGATTAGCAATAAAACAAATATTCATGCGATTAGCAATAATAATAATAATGTTGACAATCGGCCGGTTATTTGTTCAACAAAATTATCCCGATATCATAGTGGCCATACCGCGGCATTGAAAGATGAATTTAATGACCACTTATGCGGCGGTACTATCATTGGTCCGAATTGGATACTAACGGCCGCCAGTTGTGTATATAAGTAAGTAGTAGTAGTAGTAATATATAATTTAAATAATTTTATTTTATTATTTTTTATGCGATTAACTAACAAATTTAATAATGTTGATTTTTAATAATTAACTACGACACACCCACTTTATATCAACAATAACAACAATATATAATTTTAATATACAATTTTCAATTTAATATTGATCATTAACTACAACAACCATCCTCTCTCCCTCAACAACAAAAAAAACAGTCGTTCCTTATCAAAAGTCTATGTTGGTGTCGGTAAACAAAATTTCCGATATAATAATACATACTATGCTGTCGACCAAATCATTATCAACGACCAGTACTCATCTGAGACTAATCAACATAATATAGCACTGGTTCGGGTCGAGCCCTACATAAGTGACGCTAAACTGGTACGTATAGTTCAATTGGCCGATCAAACAGTTATTGACGACTCGACAACAGCCGAAATGACTACTTGGGAAGGGAAATGGAGTCATACAAATCAAGTTCGGACACTTGGTTGGCAACAGTGTAAGTCTATAATGACTAACAATACCATCACCACAAACAACACAACAACACCAAACATAGATAGTAGTAATGTTTGTTTAGTGGACTACAATAACAATGACGCCTGTAATGTAAGTGATTTTTTTTAAAGAAAACCATTGAAACTAAAAAATTTTGTTAAAATTATTTTTTGTTTTTTTTAAATTAATTCAATATATTTATATATGATAATAGGGTGGTGTTGGTGGACCAGTGACTATAGATAGACCACAACAACTGCGCGGATATTGTGTCGATAGTGAAGGAAAAAATAATGAACGACTACTAATAGGTATCCTATCAACTGGACTGTCCTGCAAGTCTGGTCGACCCGAAGTTATGATGAGTATTAACCCATATCTACAATGGATTAAACAGAAAACCAATATAAGTGCTATTAGTAGTGGTAGTAGTAGTAATGGTAATATAATTAATAAAGACATTCAGCCGGTAAAAAACATAAGTGATAATCAGTTTTGGTTTGATCCCAAAAGTTTTTTCCCATTTGGTTTGGGTTATACGGCATCGTTGATAGACAACCAATTGAAACAACACTTATGTAGCGGTAGTATCATTGGTCAGAATTGGATACTAACGGCTGCCAGTTGTCTACAAAAGTAAATTAAATTTAATATTAAAATTTTAGTTTTATATTTTAATTTATTTTCTCTATAATTATTATTTTTATTCTTAATATCACTCTTACTCTAACAACAACAGTCGTACCGTTTCAAACATTTTTGTTGGTGTCGGTAGAAATGATTACAAATTAAATGATAGCTACTATGCTGTCGACAAAATTGTTATACACGACAAGTACTCGCCTGAGACTAAACAAAACAATATAGCAGTGGTTAGGGTTGAGCCCTATATACGTAACAGTGATTTAGTTGGTATAATACGATTGGCCGATGAAAAGCAATTAGTTATCGATGAGGGATATCCGGCCCAAATAGGCGGTTGGCGATCGAAAACTGTTTGGTGGTTTCTACATACACTCAATGTAAAGATATTTGGTTGGCAACAGTGTAAGTCTATGATAGTAAACAATACCATTACTACCAACACAACAACAACAAAAATCATCGACAGTAGTAATGTTTGTGTGGTGGCCGACAAAGGAAAAGGCGCCTGTCATGTATGTGTCAAGTGTTAAGAGTGAGTGAGAGAGAGAGAGAGAGAGAGAGAGAGAGAGAGAGAGAGAGAGAGAGAGAGAGAGAGAGAGAGAGAGAGAGAGAATATGAGTAGCATTTTCTTTTGGATAACTTTTAAATTTTTTTTAAAACCATATGTTTATGTGTAAAATAGGACGATGAGGGCGGACCTGTTATTATGAAAGTAATTGTGAAACCAAAAGATGAACCCAAAGATAACAGATTGGTTGGCCCATTGATAGGCAGAATATATCCCGAATATAAAGTATTAATGGGTGTCCTATCTAGCGATCTATCCTGTGGTCAGTCCGGTCGACCCGATATTGTTACCAATGTTGCCGCTCATCGCCAATGGATTAGAGAGAAGACTGGAATCTAATTAAACTTTATTTTTTACTGAATAAGTGTTTAAATTATATATTTGAAAAATAATATTTTATTTTAATAAATGGTTATAATTATAATAATAATGAATATAATAATAATTTTAAATTATAATTTATTTATTATGATTTTTGTTGTTGTTGTTATTATATTAAAATAAAAAACTTTTTTTTTAAATCTAAACCGATCTAATCTGTAAATCAATAATTTATAAAATAAACTATAAAATAATAATTTTTTAAACTATTTAACTAGCAAAAATTTTTTATAAAATATCTATATTATATTACTATTGAATTCAATCTATTAATGATTGATACGATAATTATAATTAAATAGCATCGCCACTATCTATCATATCATGTTGCATAGACAACAACAAAAAAGCATTCAATTAATTAATTTATTTATTTATTTACACTTTTATATTGAATTAAAACTATAACATAAACTAACATAAAATAACATTATTAGGGAGGGGGTCTAGATTTCTTAAAAAAAAGTGCGAACGCCTAATTTATTTAATTTAAAATATAACATTGGTAATTTTGTTAAACATATAACTGAACCAGTTTCAATATTAGATTAGAGTTTAGTTTAGTAAAAAATTTAGTTTTATTTATTAAAAAAACAGTTTTAATAAGCTTTTCTTGTACTTCAATTATTTTTTTTAATCTAAAGCTGTAAATAAATAATTATTACTTAATTAAATTTTTATTGTAGATCTAAAATTTAATACAAGAAAATTTTTTAACCTTATTGATATTATATTATATAGTATTACAAATATAAAATTAATTAATTTATATTTATTATATAAATATAAATAAATTAAAATATATATTGTTAAATGTAGTGTTGGGTTGTGTGGAAAAACAATAAATTATTATTTATATTGAACCGATTCATACAACCGTCTGATTCTCCCTATATATATTATAAGAATATATATATATATATATATATATATATATATTAATAAAAAAATTATTAATTATAACATTAAATAAAAAACAAATTTATTAGATTCCAGTCTTCTCTCTAATCCATTGGCGATGAGCGGCAACATTGGTAACAATATCGGGTCGACCGGACTGACCACAGGACAGATCGCTAGATAAGACACCTATTAATGCCTTATATTCGGAATAACGAGATACGTGTATATTGTTTAGTAATCCATAGCGAGGATCTGATTCTTCTTTTGGTTCATGTTTTGGTCTATCACTTACTTTCATAATAACAGGTCCGCCCTCATCGTCCTATTTTACACATAAACATATGGTTTTCAAAAAAATTAAAAAGTTATCAAAAGTGCTACTAATATTCTCTCTCTCAACACTTGACACATACATTACAGGCTCCCTTTCCTTTGTCGGCCACCAAACAAAAATTATTACTGTCGATGATTGTTGTTGTTGTTGTGTTGGTGTTGGTAGTAATGGTATTATTTGTTATCATAGACTTACATTGTTGCCAATCAAGTGTCTGTACACTAAGTGTATGTAGAAACCACCAAATAGTTTTCGATCCCCAACCGCCTATTTCGGCCGGATATCCTTCATCGACAACTAAGTGCTTTTCATCAGCCAATCGTATTATACCAACCAAATCACTATTACGAATATATGGCTCAACCCTAACCACTGCTATATTGTTTTGTTTAGTCTCAGGCGAGTACTTGTCGTGTATAATAATTTTGTCGACAGCATAGTAGGTATCATTTAATTTGTAATCATTTCTACCGACACCAACAAAAATGCTTGAAACGGTACGACTGTTGTTGTTATAGTAAGAGTGATAATAATTATAATAATTGAGGAAATAAATTAAAATATTAATATTAATTTAATTACTTATGTAGACAACTGGCAGCCGTTAGTATCCAATTCTGACCAATGATACTACCGCTACATAAGTGTTGTTTCAATTGGTTGTCTATCAACGATGCCGTATAACCCAAACCAAACGGAAAAAAACTGTTGGGACCCCACGAAATCGGATTATCACTTATGATTTTTACCGGCTGAATGTCTTTATTAGTATTATTATCATTACTACTACTACTACTACTACTACTACTAATAGCACTTATATTGGTTTTCTGTTTAATCCATTGTAGATATGGGTTAATACTGATCATAACATCGGGTCGACCAGACTTGCAGGACAGTCCAGTTGATAGGATACCTATTACTAGTTGTTCTTTACGATCTGCTTTACTATCGGCACAATATCTGGATAGTTGTTGTGGTCTATCTATAGTCACTGGTCCACCTTCATCACCCTATTATCATATATATATTTATATATTAAATTAATTTAAATAACAAAAATAATTTTAACAAAATGTTTCAGATTCAATGGTTTTCTCATTATTTCTTTATTTTTCTTTAAAAAAAACTTTATAACACTTACATTACAGACACCATATTTATTGTATTTCACTAAACAAACATTACTACTATCTATGTTTGTTGTTGTGTTGTTTGTGTTGATGGTATTGTTAGTCAATATAGACTTACACTGTTGCCAACCAAGTGTCCGGACTTGATATGCATAAGGCCATACACTTTCCCAATTATTTATTTGGGCTAAAGTCGAGTCGTCAATAACTGGTTGATCGGCCAATTGAACTATACGTACCATAGTATTGTCACTTATGTAGGGCTCGACCCGAACCAGTGCTATGTTATGTTGTTTAGTCTCAGGCGAGTACTGGTCGTTGATAATGATTTGGTCGACAGCATAGTATGTATTATTATATCGGAAGTTTTGTTTACCGACACCAACATAAACTCTTGATAAGGAACGGCTGTTTTTTTAATTTGATGTTTTTTTTGTTGAGGGAGTGGGTAGGTGTCGTAGTTATTGATCAAAAAATATTAAATTGTATATTACTATTACTATTATTATTATTATTATCACTACTTACTTATAAACACAACTGGCAGCCGTAAGTATCCAATTTGCACCAATTATACTACCGCCGCATAAGTGGTCATTAAATTCATCTTTCAATGCCGCGGGATAGCCCATATGATATCGGGATAAATTTGTTGAACAAATAACCGGCCGATTGTCAACATTATTAGTATTGTTATTATTATTATTGCTAATCGCATGAATATTTGTTTTATTGCTAATCCATTGAAGATATGGATAAATACTGGTAACAACTTGTGGTCGGCCATCGATACCGCAGGCCAGGTCTACCGATATGATACCAATTAATATTTTTTCTCTACTATGCTCTAATTGATTTTGGTTTTTTTTATCAATTGTTACCGCACCACCTACATCATCCTATTATTATTATTGTATTAAAAATTAATAAAACAAATTAATTAAAAAAAAGTAACATTCATATATATATATTATATATTAATATATATAAAAGACAGTACACGACCCTCATTAACGACACCCACATAGGAGTAGATTTGTGTGTATACTGTATAGCACTAGCACTGTGTGTGTGACTGTGAACTACAGTAAGCTATACAATACATCTACAGTACATGTATTAACATAACACACTTAAACACATTATAAGCATTGATATCAATGTGTGAGACATAGCATAACATTTTAGGCAACACTTTCACAGAGAGTCTTAAACAGCGGCGGCGGAGATGATATTAATTACAATTATATGGAATTGAATTACATTGAATTAATAAGTGACCAAGGGCAATGTTGTAGATAAATTTAAAATAAATAAAATTGTAATTGGTCATTTTTTAATTAATTGTATTATATGCTAAATAATTTACAGTCAACTGTTTAAAAAATTTATAAATGAGTCGACTGCATTTATCTGGCAAATCATACAATTAATTAAAAAATAACCAATTTTATTTATTTTAAATTTATCTACAACATTGTCCTTGGTCACTTATTAATTCAACGTATTGTTGACCAGATAATTGTAATTAATAGCATCGCCGCCGACGCTGTTTAAGATTTTCACACACTTTCATAGTTTTCATAACATTTCAAAACTAATATTTCAAATTATTTGTCGCTATTATCTCAATACTATCATTGAATAAAAATATAATATTTATAATAAAAATTATGATTTAATTTAATTAAAACGGGCCGTAATTAGAGGCTTAAAAGTCTTGTATATATATATATATCTTTCTTTCTCTCTCTCTCTCTCTCTCTCTCTCTTTACTAAACTATACTATATTTTGAAAACTAACATTACAGACACCCTCTCCTTTAAGGGTTACCAAACAAACTTTGTTACTATTAATGATCGGTGTATTTGTTGTTGCATTTGTGTTGTTGTTGGTATTGTTGACCGATATCGACGACAACATCATACCAGTGCACTGTTGCAAATCGATTGTCCGGGCGTTATATGGCATCATACTCCAACCGTATTTTCCGTGTCCCCAGCCGTGCAGATTAGCTGGTGACCAGTTAGCTGCTGGTTGGTCGGCAATTGCTATTATTTCGGTATAGCCGTCGTCCGTAATGTATCTGTCAACCCTAACCAATGCTATATTGTTTTCGTGAGTTGCGGCCGAGTATTGGTCGTGTATAACGGTTTGGTTGACCGGATAATGATGTCCGAGAATATTAATATAAAAACTAGAAACTGTACGACTAGTTTTTTTGTTGTTGGTTTGATTGGATTTAATTGATTGTAGAGAGTGATTGGGTTAGAAAAATAAATATATTAAGAGGGGGAGTTAAATATAACAATATATGCAGGTATATACAAATAAACAAATATTATAATAAATATAATAAATAAAAGAAAAATAATTTTTAAAACAAAATAATATTATTAATAATTATTTTTTTTTTGATAATATAATTTTAAAACATAAATATTAATAACTATATATATAGTTACCACTACTATAGTACTTACTTATATACACAACTGGCTGCTGTTAGTATCCAATGGGGACTTATTATAGATCCGCCGCAAAAATGTTTATCAGTGTTGTTGGTCTTCAATGATACGGGAAAACTAATACCAGATGTTATATTATATTTTGTTCCCAACATAGGTCTAGTTGTAGTAGTTTTAGTAGGGATAGGGGTAGAAGTAGTCGGATTAGTATTAGTAATAGTAGTATCATCGCAGAGATCAGTACTAGTTTTGATTAGCAAAATATTTACTGATATTAATACTAATAAAACAATTTGGACTAATTGGCCAAAAATTAACATAATTGTTTGGTATGTTAGTATTGTATGGATAAGTTAACTATATAGGATTAATTGCTATTACAGTAACTATTACTACAGTATATAATAGTTATTAAAAAAATTTCAAGTAAATGATAATTTTTTTTTAGAAACACATATAGTTATATTACTTTACAAAAAAAAATATTTTCTTATTCAATATGTTTTTCACAGAATCTAAATGAATGTTATTTACACATAAGTATTACGTCAATAAACTAAATGAATTAAGTAATAAATTTTATAAATAGTATTTATTTAACATTATTTAAGAAACTGATTGAAATATAAGTGTTATACAGAATATACATGAAATAAATATTATTACGTAAACGTAAATCAATTATGTAATAAATATGATATAATAATTTAATATTATTTAAAAAACTATTTTTTAAATATGTTTTTTTGTACATAAATTTTACTTATTAACGACAAAGTTATATTTTAAAATTTTTAAAAGATTTTAAATCAGAAATAATAATTATTTATAGTATAAGATAAATATAATTTAAATCAAAAACTAACTAAAAATTATTTTTTAGTATAATATTACTTATAGAGACTAATGATTATAAACAATGAATATTTTTCTTACATTATTAATAAATCAGTTATAGTAATAATTTTTGTTGTTTTAAATTTAATATTATGTTTTCAAAAAATAAACTATTTCAATAAGATATGTCAATTTTTTATATACAGTAGTTTTAATTCAATATAAAAGTGTAAATAAAATGATTAATTAATTGAATGCTTTTTGTCTATACAACAGGTGATGATAGATAGTGGCAATGCTATTAAATTATAATTATCGGATCAATCATACATTGTATTCAATAGTAAAGCTATAGATATTATATAAAAATAATTTTAGCAAAAATAAAATGATATTTAAAAAATTATTATTTGGTAGTATACTTTATAAATTTTACAGATTTACAGATTAGACCGGAGGATAAAAATATTTTACTAACAATTAAATCTTCAATTTATTAAATAATGTTAAATAAATACTATTTATAAAATTTATTAAATAATTTATTTAGTTTATTGACGCAATACTTATGTCACATATGTGTAAATAATATCTGATTCTGTGAAAACCATATTGAATAAGAAAATATTTTGTTGTAAAGTTATATATCTATATATGTTTGTAAAAAAATTAACATTTACTTGAAAAAAACATTTAATAACTATCAGAAAGTAATAGTTATTGTAATTAATCTTATAGTTAACTTAGATATACAATAATAACATACCAAACAATTATGTTAATTTTTGGCCAATTAGTCCAAATTGTTTTATTAGTATTAATATCAGTAAATATTTTGCTAATCAAAACTAGTACTGATCTCTGCGATGATACTACTATTACTAATACTAATCCGACTACTTCTACCCCTATCCCTACTACTACTACTACTAGTAGTAGTAGTAGCCCTATATTGGGATTACTATCAAATATAACACGTGGTATTAGTTTTCCCGTATCATTGATGACCAACAACAATGATAAACATTTTTTGCGGCGGATCTATAATAAGTCCCCATTGGATACTAACAGCAGCCAGTTGTGTATATAAGTAAGTACAGTATTATAGTAGTAGTAATTATATATATATAAATTATATATATATATATCAGGGTTAAGCAAGGTTTTGGATTTTGGTGGGGAGGGGTTAACTGGGCTGAAATTTACTAAATTCTCAAAAAATCTTGGTGAAGGGGGTATAGGGTGAAGCATATTCTTTTATTGCATTTCTAATCGGCTATTTTTTCAAAAATCTAAAATCAGGGGGGGGGGCGTCAATAGAAATTTCCCTAAAATCTTTAAAATCTCCAATATCCGAATATTCCCATGTAAACTCTATAAAGTTCCCATAAGTTCCCGTATAAATTGTCAGCAAAATTTCAAAAAAAAAATCAAAATTAATAAAAACTTTAACAAAAAATAAAATAATGTATTTAAGAATAGTTGATAAAAGCATTAATGATACACTATGAGTTATTTTTAGTATTTTATTAACTTTTAACTTTTAAAATAATCAATTATTTAAATAAAATTTTTAAGCGATAATTTTTCCAATTTTGTCAAAAAGTCAGGGGAGGGTAAAATCCTAAAAATCTCGATATTAGGGGGGTATTTTGGTCATACCCCCTCCCTATTTAACCCTGATATATATATAGAGTTATTAATATTCGTTTTTTAAAAATAATATTTATATTAATATTTTATTTCTAACCCATTAACTCCTAACAAACCAACTAAACCCAAAAAAAACCAACAACTAGTCGTACAGTTTCTAGTTTTTACATTAATATTCTCGGAAAAGACTATCCGGTCAACCAAACTATTATACACGACCAATACTCGGCCGCAACTCACGAAAACAATATAGCATTGGTTAGGGTTGACGGATATATTGTGGACAACGAAATGAACGAAATAATAGCAATTACTGATCAAACACCTGCTAACTGGTCACCAGCCTATCTACACGGATGGGGATACTATAGATACAGTTGGGGTATGAAAACATATAACGCCCGTCTAATCGATTTGCAACAGTGCACTGGTATGATGTTGTCGTCAATAACGGCCAACAATACCAACAACAACAACACAAAGTTTGTTTGGTAACCGCTAAGAGAAACGGTGTCTGTAATGTTAGTTTACAAATATATAGTTTAGTAGAGAGAGAGAGAGAGAGAGAGAGAGAGAGAGAGAGAGAGAGAGAGAGATAAATGATTGTTACTTATTTTGTTAATTAATTTGTTTTATTTTTTTATTGTAATAATAATAATAGGATGATGTAGGTGGTGCAGTGACAATAGATAAACAAAATCAAAGTCAATTAGATGATAGTAAAGAAAAAATACTAATCGGTATCATATCGGTAGACTTGGACTGCCGTTTTGATGGCCGACCCAAAGTTGTTACCAGTATTTATCCATATATTCAATGGATTAGCAATAAAACAAATATTCATGCGATTATCAATAATAATAATACAACTAATAATGTTGACAATCGGCCGGTTATTTGTTTAACAAAACTATCCCGATATCATGACGGCTATACCGCGGAATTGAAAGATGAATTTAATGACCACTTATGCCGCGGTACTATCATTGGTCCGAATTGGATACTAACGGCTGCCAGTTGTGTATATAAGTAAGTAATAATAATAATAAATAATTTTAATATACAATTTTCAATTTAATATTTTGATCATTGACTCCTGACACCCACCCTTTCCCTTAAAAAACAGTCGTTCCTTATCAAGAGTTTATGTTGGTGTTGGTAAACAAAATTTCCGATATAACGATACATACTATGCTGTCGACCAAATCATTATCAACGACCAGTACTCGCCTGAGACTAAACAACATAATATAGTACGTGACAGTGATTTTGTGGGTATAATACGACTGTACGATGAAAAGCAATCAGTTATCGATGAAAGATTTTTGGGACATATAGGCGGTTGGGGATCGAAAACTGTTTAGTGGTTTCTACATAAACTCCATGTAAACAAATTTGATTGGCAACAGTGTAAGTCTATGATAGCAAATAACACCATTACTACCAACACAACAACAACAACAAACTACATTCAATGAATACTCTTATTATAATTGCTATAATTATCTAAAAATATATAACAACAACAATAATTATTATTATTATACTATAATAATTTTTGGCCAATTAGTCCAAATTGTTTTATTATAGTATTATTAGTAAATTATTAATAATTAATAATAATTATGTGCATAAGATTAAAAATCTCAATGTAAACCGCATTGATTTAATAATAATTATATATTATATCTACACTATAAGGCGTGGTTCACACATTACGTTCGCACTTTAGGGGAGGGGTGGGGGTAGGCCAAAGCGAACTTCTGTGAACGAGGGGGAGGGAAGGGTAGTGATCTTAAGAACGTTCGCATGTAGATATGTTATTTTTTAAGTAGTGGTTGTAGATATGTGAACGTGATTTTTTTTAATGACTACTAGCTAAAAATTGCAAACATAGAGGAGTGAAAGGGTCAAGATTTATTAAAATGTGCGAACGTAATATGTGAACAGCCCCTAACTGTATGTATAAAATTATTATATTTAATTTTTACAACAAAAATAATAATAATGCATAAATCAAATAAAAATTGTTTCTACTTTCTTAATACTATAGTCTTAATACTAATAATTGTAGTGTGTATTTAGGGGAAACCAGTTGAAAATGCTATAAGCATTGCCATGAACAAACTTTGATGACATAAAATATGTTCGCACTTTATTATGGAATAATAATTTAAAATACGTATTTACCATACATTACCATACATTACCATACATTACCATACACTACCATACATTACCATACATTACCATACATTACTATACATTACCATACATTACCATACATTACCATACATTACCATACATTACCATACATTACCATACATTACCATACATTACCATACATTACCATACATTACCATACATTACCATACATTACCATACATTACCATACATTACCATACATTACCATACATTACCATACATTACCATACATTACCATACATTACCATACATTACCATACATTACCATACATTACCATACATTACCATACATTACCATACATTACCATACATTACCATACATTACCATACATTACCATACATTACCATACATTACCATACATTACCATACATTACCATACATTACCATACATTACCATACATTACCATACATTACCATACATTACCATACATTACCATACATTACCATACATTACCATACATTACCATACATTACCATACATTACCATACATTACCATACATTACCATACATTACCATACATTACCATACATTACCATACATTACCATATAATTAATTATTTATACTAGCCGCCATTTTTTAAAATATAAAAAATAATTTTGATTCATTATCTTATTTTTAATGCTTTATGCAATCCTAACGTTAAATTTTTTTTATTTTTTATACTAGCCGCCATTATTGAAAAAATAAAAATAATAATTTTGATTTATTATATCTTATTTTTGATTCTCTATTCAATTCTAAACGTTAAAAATTTTTACCTAAATTTTTTTTACTTTAGCCCCCATTTTCTCTATGTTCCCGAAGAGATATCAAAATTTTAATGCATATTTTTTCAGCTTGTTTTTAATGCTTTATTCAAATCTATACTTAATAAAAAAAATTCTAAAATTTTTTTTACTTTGGCCGCCATTTTCTTTATGTTCCCGAAGAGATATCAAAATTTTAATGTATGTACCCAATACCTTATTTTTGATGATATAACCGAAACTGAAATCAAAATTTCAAAATTCCCAATTTGAAAGCGACAGACACATACACACACACACATATAGATTTCAATGAACTACTTTTTTTTTAAAAAAAAGTTTGTTCGAAAACAATAAATTATTATTTATATTAATTAATTAAATTTTCAATATTAATTTATTATGCATCAAATTAATAATAATAAAAAAAAGTATAAAATCAAAATACAATTTTGTTTAATTAAATAACATACTGCTATATATATATATTAATAACCAGTTGAGAATGCTAGAAAGCATTTCCACACGAATTCCTAATCATAATTAAAAATTAAATTCAGTATGATAAAATAAAATCAACTATAGTTATGTAGAGTATCAAACGATTTAGTATGACAAAATAAACAACTATAGTCATGTGGGGTATCAAATGATTCAGTATTACAAAATAAACTACTATTTTCCTAAAAAATAAACTTAAAAACGAAAAAAATAAAAAATCAATATTCAAAAAAATTCAAAAAAAAATTCAAAAAAAAATTCAAAATTTTTTTAATTAATTTTTGGACACCATTTTCTTCAATTTCCTAAAAAATAAAACTTAAAAACGAAAAAAATAAAAAATCAATATTTAAAAAAATTCAAAAAAAAATTCAAAATTTTTTAAATTAATTTTTGGACACCATTTTCTTCAATTTCCTAAAAAATAAACTTAAATAAGAAAAAAAACAAAAAAAAAATTCAAAAAAAATTTGTAGCGGATAGTGGATTCGAACCTATGTCCTCGTGGGACAGACAGACCGACAGACCGACAGACCGACAGACCGACAGACCGACTTATAGAATGCATATACGTATTCCTTTCAGGAATTCGTGAAAATAAAAGTTTAAATTATAATATTAATTGTTAAAAGTTTAATTAGATTCCAGTCTTCTCTTTAATCCATTGGCGATGAGCGGCAACATTGGTAACAATATCGGGTCGACCGGACTGACCACAGGACAGATCGCTAGATAGGACACCCATTAATACCTTATATTCTTTATATTTCATTTTTAATCTGTTATCTTCGGGTTGATTTTTTGGTCTCATACTAACTGTCATAATAACAGGTCCGCCCTCATCGTCCTATTTTACACATAAACATATGGTTTTTAATAAAATTAAAAAGTTATCTAAAACAAAATGCTACTCATATTCTCTCTCTCTCTCTCTCTCTCTCTCTTTCTCTCTCTCTTAACATTTGACACATACATTACAGGCGCCCTTTCCTTTGTCGGCCACCAAACAAACATTACTACTGTCGATGATTGTTGTTGTTGTTGTGTTTGTGTTGGTAGTCATGATATTGTTTGCTATAATAGACTTACACTGTTGCCAACCAAATATCTTTACATTGAGTGTATGTAGAAACCACCAAACAGTTTTCGATCCCCAACCGCCTATTTCGGCCGGATATCCCTCATCGATAACTAATTGCTTTTCATCAGCCAATCGTATTATACCAACCAAATCACTGTTACGTATATAGTGCTCAACCCTAACCAGTGCTATATTGTTTTGTTTAGTCTCAGGCGAGTACTTGTCGTGTATAATAATTTTGTCGACAGTATAGTAGCTATAATTTAATTTGTAATCATTTCTACCGACACCAACAAAAATGTTTGAAACGGTACGACTGTTGTTGTTAAAGTAAGAGTGATAATAATTATAGTAATTGAGGAAATAAATTAAAATATAAAACTAAAAATATTAATATTAAGTATAATTACTTTTGTAGACAACTGGCAGCCGTTAGTATCCAATTCTGCCCAATGATACTACCGCTACATAAATGTTGTTTCAATTGGTTGTCTATCAACGATGCCGTATAACCCAAACCAAATGGGAAATGACTAGTTTTGTTTGGATCACTCCAAGACTTATTATCACTTATAATTTTTATCGACATAATGTCTTTATTATTATTATTATTATTATTATTAGTATCATTACTACCACTACTACTACTAACAGCACTTATATTGGTTTTCTGTTTAATCCATTGTAGATATGGGTTAATACTGAGCATAACTTCGGGTCGACCAGATTTGCAGTACAGGTCATCGGTTTGGATACCTATTAGTAGTCGTTCTTTACTTTCTCCTTCACTATCGACACAATATCCGGGCAGTTGTTGTGGTCTATCTATAGTCACTGGTCCTCCTTCATCACCCTATTATATATATATATATAAAATTATATATCAGCCATATGATTTTTTAAGATAATTTATTTACAAATATAGATTATAATATATACAGTAGTAAAATAATTATGAATACATGAAAGTTATCTTAAATGATAATTATAACAAAAATTACTGCATAATATTCCATATAAAATGCCTATCAATTTCCCAAAAAAAAAAAAATTTACTATAAATTCCCAATAAATCACTGAATAAAAGAAAATATTCCCAACTAAATTCCTTAATACTGTGAAAATATTTTATTAAAAACATTAAAGGCTAAAAATTACAGCAATTAAAAGGTATAATAGTATTATATATATTTAGAATTATATTTAAAAAACAACAATAATTTTAACAACAATTTTAGTTTCAATGGTTTTCTAATTATAACTTTATGACACTTACATTACAGGTGCTATACGTAGAATAATCCACTAAACAAACATTACTACTATCTATGTTTGTGTTGTTTGTGGTGATGGTATTGTTAGTCATTATAGACTTACACTGTTGCCAACCAAGTGTCCGCATTTGATATGTATGATCCCAATTATTTTCCCATTTAGTCATCTGGACTTTCGTCCCGTCCTCGATAACTGATTGATCGGCCAATTGAACTATACGTACGTGTGAATGGTCAATTATGTAGTGCTGGACCCGTACCAGTGCTATGTTATGTTGTTTAGTCACTGGCGAGTACTGGTCGTTGATAATGATTTGGTCGACACCGTAATAGCTTTCATTATATACAAAATTTTGTTTACCAACACTAACGTAAAGTCTAGAAACTGGTCGACTGTTTTTTTTTGTTGTTGATTAATGTAGTTTTGTTAGATAAGTGCAAAAATAAATTTTTATAATAATCTATTAGTTTATAAATCGTAGATTTTGTTTGTTGTCTTGAATATAAAGTATATATTATATATTACTACTAGTTTTTTTTTGTTGGTTTGATTTAATTGATTGTAAAGTGTGAATGGGTTAGAAAGATAAATATATGAGTGGTGGGGGGGGGGGGGTTAAATATAACAATATATGTAGGTATATACAGATAAACAAATATTATAACAAATGTAATAAATAAAAGAAAAATAATTTATAAACAAAATAATATTATATATTAATAATTATTTTTGTTGTTGATAATATTATTTTAAAACTTAAATATTAATTACTCTCAAATTTATATTACTATTTACTACTAATATAATACTTACTTATATACACAACTGGCTGCTGTTAGTATCCAATGGGGACTTATTATAGTACCCCCACATAACTGTTTATTAAATTCCGTTTTCAATGCTGCCTGATATCCGGAACTGGACATAAATCGGGGTAAAATAGTTGAACAAATCTCTGGTCGATTAGTATTAGTATTGTTATTATTTTTAGTATTGCCAATCGCATGAATATTTGTTTTATTGTTAATCCATTGAATATATGGATAAATACGGGTAACAACTTGGGGTCGGCCATCGATACCGCAGGCCATGTCTACCGATATTATACCGATCAGTATTTTTTCTTTGAGACCATTTAATCGACCACTTGGACGACTAACTCTTTGGTTTGGTTCATCTATTGTCACTGCACCACCTACATCATCCTATTATTATTTTTATTATTATTAGTGTATTATTAATTAATTAACAAAAAAGTAACATTCATTAATCTCTCACTCACTCACTCACTCACTCACTCACTCACTCACTCACTCACTCACTCACTCACTCACTCACTCACTCACTCACTCACTCACTCACTCACTCACTCACTCACTCACTCACTCACTCACTCACTCACTCACTCACTCACTCACTCACTCACTCACTCACTCACTCACTCACTCACTCACTCACTCTCTCACTTTCTCTACTAAATTATACTATATATTTGTAAACTAACATTACAGACACCCTCTCCCTTAGCGGTTACCAAACAAACTTTGTTACTATTAATGATCGGTGTATTTGTTGTTGCATTTGTGTTGTTGTTGTCGGTATTGTTGGCCGTTATTGACGACAACATCATACCAGTGCACTGTTGCAAATCGATTATCCGGGCGTTATATTCCTTCATCATCAAACCGTATTTATCTTTTCCCCAGCCGTGTAGATAAGCTGGTGACCAGTTAGCAGGTGTTTGATCAGTAATTGCTATTATTTCGTTCATTTTGTTGTCCACAATATATCCGTCAACCCTAACCAATGCTATATTGTTTTCGTGAGTTGCGGCCGAGTATTGGTCGTGTATAACGGTTTGGTTGACCGGATAATGGTTTCCGAAAAGATTAATGATAAAACTAGAAACTGTACGACTAGTTTGTTGGTTTTTGGGTTTAATTGTTTTGTTATGAATTGGTGGGTTAGAAATAAAAATTAAAAGTGTGTTAAATATAATAATATTAAAACAAATTATATAGTATACAGAAGGATTAAGAAATGTTTTGGATTTTAGGGGGGGTGGTCTAGGGTGGGGTCAACTTACAAAATTCTATAAAAAAATTTGGGGGTGGGTTGTATACTTTTATTTCATTTTACAAACAATAACTTTTTCAAAAAAAAAATCCAATATCAATAGTTGATTATGAAGAGAAAATTTCCATAAATTGCCGCATAAATTCCCAGGAAAATAGGTTAAAAAAAATTTAAAAATATAAATAAAATTTAAATTTTTTAAAAAAATTAATTAAAAAAACACTCAATAATTAGATTAATATAAATTTTAAAAAAAACATAATAACACTTACTAAAATAGTTTTATTATTATTTATTATACAATTAAATCTCATTGCTTAACCCTGATTATACAATTAGTTACTATGTATATAAACTTTATATATATACAAAATATAACTAATATACAATAACTTAAAAAAAATAATTATTAGTATTCTAATAAATACTATAACAAATAAAATAAATAAAACCAAAAAAATTTTTTATTAAAATAACAAAATAATAATAAAATAATAAAAATTAATAACTCGTTATATAATTACTACTACTATAATACATACTTATATACACAATTGGCTGCTGTTAGTATCCAATGGGGACTTATTATAGTACCGCTGCAAAAATGTTTGTTATCAGTGCTGTTGGTTATCAATGATACGGGAAATCCATCACCACGTGATATATTGTATAGTGATCCCAATATAGGGCTACTACTAGTAGTAGTAGTAGGGATAGGGGTAGAAGTAGTCGGATTAGTATTAGTAATAGTAGTATCATCGCAGAGATCAGTACTAGACTTGATTAGCAAAATATTTACTGATATTAATACTAATAAAACAATTTGGACTAATTGGCCAAAAATTAACATAATTGTTTGGTATGTTATTATTGTATGTTATTATTGTATGGATTAACTATAGATTACACAATTACAGTAACTATTACTGTATGATAGTTATTCAATGTTTTTTAAGTAAATGTAAATTTTTTTACAAATACATATAGATATATAACTTTACTAAAATAAAATTATTTTTGTATTCAATATGGTTTTCAGAGAATCTAATATTATTTACACATAAGTATTACGTCAATAAACTAAATGAATTAAGTAATAAATTTTATAAATAGTATTTATTTAACATTATTTAAGAAACTGATTGAAATATATATTTTTTAATTTTCCGTATCAATGTAATAAATAAACATAATTGTTATTTATTATACTATTGTTATGATAATTACTGCATAAAAGTGTTATACAGACTATACATGAAATAAATATGATATAATAATTTAATAAGTTTTTAATTTTTTCTAAATATGTTTTATATATTAATTAAATATAAGCAGTTAAGAATGCTAGAAAGCATTTTTAGAAAAAAAAACTTGAATACCATATATAGGTTGAAAACCATTAGTTTGTATTATTATAGCAGCTATATAGTAATATATAAAAATTTAAAACTTGTCAAATATATATAATTTAAATATTGTTATGTAGTGTATCAAATGACTCGGTTTGACAAAATATACTTAACTTTAGTCATGTAGGATATTAAATGTCTTAGTATGCCAAAATATACTTTAGTCTTGTAGGGTATCAAATGACTCAGTATGACAAAATAAACTCAACTTTAGTCATGTAGGGTATCAAATGACTCAGTATGACAAAATAAAAAACTACTCATGTGTTATATCAAATGATTTATTATAACAAAATAAACAACTATAATCATACTTTAGCCGCCATTTTTTGAAAAAATAAAATAATAATTTTCCTCTATTATATCTTATTTCTGATGTTCTATACAATTCTAAACGTTAAAATTTTTACCTAAATTTACTTCTGGCCGCCATTTTGTCTATGTTCCCGAAGAAATAGATCATTTTTGATGCAAATTTTCAATACATAATAAGTAGTCCTCTAACCGAATCTGAAGTCAGAATTTCAAATGCTACAGATGGACAGACAGACAGACAGACAGACAGACAGACTCAAAAAGCCATTATAGATTTCAGTAAACAAAACTTTTCAAGTTTTTTTTGAATATAGTTTTAAATGATAGCTTATGATCTATTATGTTATTTATTAAAATTTTGAAATCTGAAATAATAATAATGTATAGTATAAAATAAATATAATTTAAATCAAAAAAATATTTTTAAGTATAATATTATTTATAGAGATTATAAATAATAAATGGTTTTGTTATACTATATCATCAATAGTAAAGCTAATAATATTATATATTATATTATAACACTTTATTAAAATAAAATATTATTTTTTCAAATTTTCAAAATATTTAATTTAAACAGTTATTCAGTAAAAATAAAGTTTAATTAGATTCCAGTCTTCTCTCTAATCCATTGGCGATGAGCGGCAACATTGGTAACAATATCGGGTCGACCGGACTGACCACAGGACAGATCGCTAGATAGGACACCCATTAATACATTATATTCGGGATATTCTATATCAGGGCCAAAAAAGTTGTCATCTTTGGGTTCATCTTTTGGTTTGTTGCTTACTTTCATAATAACAGGTCCGCCCTCATCGTCCTATTTTACACATAAACATATGGTTTTCAGAAAAAAAAATTAAAAATGTTATCAAAAGAAAATGTTACTCATATCGTCTCTCTTTCTTTCTTTCTTTCTCTCAACACTTGACACATACATGACAGGCACCCTTTCCTTTGTCGGCCACCAAACAAACATTACTACTGTCGATGATTGTTGTTGTGTTGATAGTAATAGTATTGTTAGCTATCATAGACTTACATTGTTGCCAACCAAATATCTGTACATCGAGTGTATGTAGAAACCACCAAATATTTTTCGATCCCCAACCGGCTATTTTGGCCGGATATCCCTCATCGATAACTAATTGCTTTTCATCGGCCAATCGCATTATACCCACAAAATCACTGTTACGTATATAGGGCTCAACCCTAACCAGTGCTATATTGTTTTGTTTAGTAACTGGCGAATACTTGTCGTGTATAACAATTTTGTCGACAGCATAGTAGCTATCATTTAATTTGTAATCATTTCTACCGACACCAACAAAAATGTTTGAAACGGTACGACTGTTGTTGTTAGAGTAAGAGTGATATTAAGAATAAAAAAAATAATAATAGAGGAAATAAATTAAAATATAAAACTAAAATTTTAATATTAAATTTAATTTACTTTTGTAGACAACTGGCAGCCGTTAGTATCCAATTCTGACCAATGATACTACCGCTACATAAGTGTTGTTTCAATTGGTTGTCTATCAACGATGCCGTATAACCCAAACCAAATGGGAAATGACTAGTTTTGTTGGGATCACTCCAAGACTTATTATCACTTATAATTTTTATCGGCTGAATGTCTTTATTATTATTATCATCATTACTACCACTACTACTACTAACAGCACTTATATTGGTTTTCTGTTTAATCCATTGTAGATATGGGTTAATACTGAGCATAACTTCGGGTCGACCAGATTTGCAGTACAGGTCATCGGTTTGGATACCTATTAGTAGTCGTTCTTTACTTTCTCCTTCACTATCGGCACAATATCCGGGCAGTTGTTGTGGTCTATCTATTGTCACTGATCCACCTTCATCACCCTATTATCATATATATATATATATTATAATATTAAATAATTATAATTATATAATATTATAATTAGTTATATATATATATTTATATATCAATTTAATAAAAATTTTAGTTTCAATGGTTTCTAATTATTTATTGTTATTTAAAAAAAAACTTTATAACACTTACATTACATGTGCTATACGTAGAGTAACCCACTAAACAAACATTATTACTATCTATGTTTGTTGTTGTTGTGTTTGTGGTGATGGTATTGTTAGTCATTATAGACTTACACTGTTGCCAACCAAATGTCCGGACTTGATATATACGATCCCAATTATTTTCCCATTTAGTCATCTGGACTTTCGTCCCGTCCTCGATAACTGGTTGATCGACCAATTGAACTATACGTACGTGTGAATTGTCACTTATGTAGGGCTCGACCCTAACCAGTGCTATATTATGTTGTTTAGTCACTGGCGAGTACTGGTCGTTGATAATGATTTGGTCGACACCGTAATAGCTTTCATTATATACAACATTTTGTTTACCAACACTAACGTAAAGTCTATAAACTGGTCGACTGTTTTTTGTTGTTGATTAATGTAGTTTTGTTAAATAAGTGCAAAAATAAATTTTTATATAATCTATTAGTTTATAAATTGTAGATTTTGTTTGTCTGTTTGTTTGAATATATTATTTCTATAACTTATAAATATATATATATTATATTACCACTACTATTATACTTACTTATATACACAACTGGCTGCTGTTAGTATCCAATGGGGACTTATTATAGTACCGCCACATAAATGTTTATTAAATTCCGTTTTCAATGATACCTGATATCCGGAACTAGACTTATATCGGGGTATATTAGTTGAACAAATTTCTGGTCGATTAGTATTAGTATTGTTATTATTATCAGTATTGCCAATCGCATGAATATTTGTTTTATTGTTAATCCATTGAATATATGGATAAATACTGGTAATAACTTGGGGTCGGCCATCGATACCGCAGGTTAGGTCTACCGATATGATACCGATTAATAATTTTTCTTTGATATCATATAATCGACCACTTTGAGGACTTATTATTTGGTTTGGTTTTTCTATGGTTACGGCACCACCTACATCATCCTATTATTATTATTAGTGTATTGAAAAATAAAAAATACAAATTAATTCACCCATTCATCTCTCTCTCTCTCTCTCTCTCTCTCACAACTATACTATACTATATATTTGTAAACTAACATTACAGACACCCTCTCCCTTAGCGGTTACCAAACAAACTTTGTTACTATTAATGATCGGTGTATTTGTTGTTGCATTTGTGTTGTTGGTATTGTTGGCTGTTATTGACGACAACATCATACCAGTGCACTGTTGCAAATCGATTATCCGGGCGTTATATTCCTTCATCATCAAACCGTATTTTTTGTTTTCCCATCCGTGTAGATAAGCTGGTGACCAGTTAGCAGGTGTTTGATCAGTAATTGTTATTATTTCGTTCATTTCGTTGTCCACAATATATCCGTCAACCCTAACCAATGCTATATTGTTTTCGTGAGTCGCGGCCGAGTATTGGTCGTGTATAACGGTTTGGTTGACCGGATAGTGTTTTCCGAGAAGATCAATGGAAAAACTAGAAACTGTACGACTAGTTTGGATTTGGTTTTGGATTTAATTGGTTTGTTATGAATTGGTGGGTTAGAAATAAAAATTAAAAGTGTGTTAAATATAACAATATTAAAACAAATTATATAGTATACAGAAGGGTTAAGAAAGATTTTGGATTTTAGGGGGGGGGGTCTAGGGTGAGTGTAGACTTTTATTGCATTTTTAAACGGCTAATTTTAGAAAAATCAAGTGGTGGGGTTCAAGAGAAAATTTCACTAAATTCCTGAGTATTCCCATGTAAATTACATAAAGTTTCCAAAAATTCCTCATAAAGTCACAAAAAATTGATTAATTTTCTCAAAATATAAATCAGTAGTTGCTTTTGGCTTACTGTCCCCTACCTATTGCTTAACCCTTATTATACAATTAGATACTATGTATATAAACTTTATATATATATACTAAATATAACTAATATACAGTAACTTAATAATAATATAGTAAATTATTAGTAATCTACAACAACATACAACAAATAAAATAAATAAAACCAAAAAAAAATATTAAATAATAATAAAATATAAAAATTAATAACTCTATATATAATTACTACTATTATATTACTTACTTATATACACAACTGGCTGCTGTTAGTATCCAATGGGGACTTATTATAGATCCGCTGCAAAAATGTTTGTAATCAGTGCTGTTGGTTATCAATGATACGGGAAAACCATTACCACGTGTTATATTGGATAGTGATCCCAATATAGGGCTACTACTACTACTACTAGTAGTAGTAGTAGGGATAGGGGTAGAAGTAGTCGGATTAGTATTAGTAATAGTAGTATCATCACAGAGATCAGTACTAGTATTGATTAGCAAAATATTTACTGATATTAATACTAATGAAACAATTTGGACTAATTGGCCAAAAATTAACATAATTGTTTTTGTATTATTAGTGTTATGGCTAAGTTAACTATAAGATTAATTGCTATTACAGTAACTATTACTGTATGATAGTTATTAAATGTTTTTTTTCAAGTAAATGTTTTTAAAAAATTTACAAACACATATAGATATATAACTTTACAAACTAAAATTATTTTTGTAATCAATATTTTTTTCAGAGAATCTAATATTATTTACACATAATTATTACGTCAATAAACTAAATGAATATTATTACGTAAATTAATTATGTAATAAATATGATATAATAACTTAATATTATTTTAAAAAAACAATTTTTTTTAATATAGTATGTATTTTTTACAACACTTTTATAATTAATTAAATATAGTATTAAATAATTACTTATGATCGATAATGTTATTTATTTAAATTTTGAAAGGATTTTAAATCTGAATTAATAATTATGTATAGTATAAGATAAATACAAAAAATGCCAATTAAAAGTTTAATTTTGAGTAATATTATGTAATGCTCTAGCAAGGTACTTTATATAACTTACCTAATAATAGGTAACTGTATACTAAGTTACCTTGCTTAGCGTAAAGTTAACTGTACACTATATAATTCAAATTTAAACTTTTAATTGACATTATCTGTATAATTTAAATAAAAAAATAACTATTAAAAAAAATATTTTTCTGTATAATATTACTTATAGAGAGTAATGATTATAAATAATGAATGTTTTTGTTATACTATATCATCAAAAGTAAAGCTACAGATATTATATTATAACCATTTATTAAAATAAAATATTAATTTTTCAAATTTTGAAAATATTTAATTTAAACACTTATTCAGTTAAAAAAGAGTTTAATTAGATTCCAGTTTTCTCTTTAATCCATTGGCGATGAGCGGCAACATTGGTAACAATATCGGGTCGACCGGACTGACCACAGGACAGATCGCTAGATAGGACACCCATTAATACCTTATATTCGGGATATATTCTGCCTATCAATGGGCCAAACAATCTGTTATCTTTGGGTTCATCTTTTGGTTTCTCAATTACTTTCATAATAACAGGTCCGCCCTCATCGTCCTATTTTACACATAAACATATGGTTTTCAAAAAAATTAAAAAGTTATCAAAAGAAAATGCTACTCTTATTCTCTCTCTCTCTCTCTCTCTCTCTCTCTCTCTCTCTCTCTCTCTCTCTCTCTCTCTCACTCACTCACTCTTAACAGTTGACACTTACATGACAGGCACCCTTTCCTTTGTCGGCCACCACACAAACATTACTACTGTCGATGATTGTTGTTGTGTTTGTGTTGGTAGTAATGGTATTGTTTGCTATCATAGACTTGCACTGTTGCCAACCAAAAATGTTTACATTGAGTGTATGTAGAAACCACCAAATAGTTTTCGATCCCCAACCGCCTATATGGGCCGGATATCCCTCATCGATAACTAATTGCTTTTCATCGGCCATTCGTATTATACCAACTAAATCACTGTTACGAATATAGGGCTCAACCCTAACCAGTGCTATATTGTTTTGTTTAGTCACCGGTGAGTATTTGTCGTTGATAATGATTTTGTCGACAGCATAGTAGCTATCATTTAATTTGTAATCATTTCTACCGACACCAACAAAAATACTTGAAACGGTACGACTGTTGTTGTTGTTATAGTAAGAGAGATATTAAGAATAAAAATAATAATAATAATAGAGGAAATAATTTAAAATATAAAACTAAAAATATTATAATATTAAGTTTAATTACTTTTGTAGACAACTGGCAGCCGTTAGTATCCAATTCTGACCAATGATACTACCGCTACATAAGTGTTGTTTCAATTGGTTGTCTATCAACGATGCCGTATAACCCAAACCAAATGGGAAATGACTAGTTTTGTTGGGATCAAACCAAATCTGAGTATCACTTATGTTTTTTACCGGCTGAATGTCTTTATTATTATTATTATTATTATTATTATTATTATCATTAGTACTACTACTACTACTACTACTACTAACAGCACTTATATTGGTTTTCTGTTTAATCCATTGTAGATATGGGTTAATACTGAGCATAACTTCGGGTCGACCAGACTTGCAGTACAGGTCATCGGTTTGGATACCTATTAGTAGTCGTTCTTTACTTTCTCCTTCACTATCAGCACAATATCCGGGTAGTTGTTGTGGTCTATCTATTGTCACTGATCCTCCTTCAGCACCCTATTATATATATATATATATCAATTTAAATAAAAATCTTAGTTTCAATGGTTTCTTATTATTTATTGTTATTTTTGAAAAAAAAATCATGACACTTACATCACAGGTCCTATACGTATCGTAATTCACTAAACAAACATTACTACTATCTATGTTTGTTGTTGTTATTGTTGTGTTTGTGGTGATGGTATTGTTAGTCATTATAGACTTACACTGTTGCCAACCAAATGTCCGGACTTGATATATACGATCCAAATTATTTTCCCTTTTAGTCATTTCGGCTTTCGTCCCGTCCTCGATAACTGGTTGATCGGCCAATTGAACTATACGTACGTGTGAATAGTCACTTATGTAGGGCTCGACCCGTACCAGTGCTATGTTATGTTGTTTAGTCACTGGCGAGTACTGGTCGTTGATAATGATTTGGTCGACACCGTAATAGCTTTCATTATATACAACATCTTGTTTACCAACACTAACGTAAAGTCTAGAAACTGGACGACTATTTTGTTGTTGATTAGTGTAGTTTTGTTTGATAATACAAAAATTAATTTTTATATAATCTATTAGTTTATAAATTGTAGATTTTTTGTTTGCTATGTTTGAATTGAATATATATGTAATGTATATTATACTATACTATACTATATTATACTTACTTATATACACAACTGGCTGCTGTTAGTATCCAATGGGGACTGATTATAGTACCGCCACATAAATGTTTATTAAATTCAGTTTTCAATGATACCTGATATCCGGAACTGGACCTATATCTGGGTATATTAGTTGAACATATTTCTGGTCGATTAGTATTAGTATTGTTATTATTAGTATTGCTAATCGCATGAATATTTGTTTTATTAGTAATCCATTGAATATATGGATAAATACTGGTAACAACTTGGGGTCGGCCATCGATACCGCAGGCCATGTCCACCGATATGATACCGATTTGTATTTTTTCTGTACTATAATCTAATCGACCACTTGGACGACTTACTCTTTGGTTTGGTACATCTATGGTTACTGCACCACCTACATCATCCTATTATTATTATTGTATTGAAAATAAATAAAACAAATTAATTTATCCATTCATCTCTCTCTCTCTCTCTCTCTCTCAACTATACTATACTATATATTTTGAAAACTAACATTACAAACACCCTCTCCCTTAGCGGTTACCAAACAAACTTTGTTACTATTAATGATCGGTGTATTTGTTGTTGCATTTGTGTTGTTGTTGTCGGTATTGTTGACCGATATCGACGACAACATCATACCAGTGCACTGTTGCAAATCGATTATCCGGGCGTTATATGCTTTCATAATCCTGTCCCAGCCGTGTAGATAAGCTGGTGACCAGTTAGCAGGTGTTTGATCAGCAATTGCTATTATTTCGTTCATTACGTTGTCCACAATATATCCGTCAACCCTAACCAATGCTATATTGTTTTCGTGAGTTGCGGCCGAGTATTGGTCGTGTATAACGGTTTGGTTGACCGGATAGCGCTCTCCGAGAATATTAATGTAAAAACTAGAAACTGTACGACTAGTTGTTGGTTTTGGGTTTAATTGATTTGTTAGGATTTGATGGGTTAGAAAAAGATTTAAAAAATAAAACAATATTAAAACAAATTATATTTTATACAGTTATATACAGTAACTAAATAAATAATTATTATTATACTAATAAATATTATAACAAATTAAATACATAAAACAAAAAATTATTACATAATTTATATTATTTTAAAACATAAATATTAATAACTTTATATATAGTTATTACTACTATAATACTTACTTATATACACAACTGGCTGCTGTTAGTATCCAATGGGGACTTATTATAGATCCGCCGCAAAAACGTTTGTTACCAGTGCTGTTGGTTTTCAATGATACGGGAAAACTAATACCATGTGTTATATTAGATAGTGTTCCCAACATAGGTCTAGTAGTACTAGTTTTAGTAGGGATAGGGGTAGAAGTAGTCGGATTAGTAATAGTAGTATCATCGCAGAGATCAGTACTAGTTTTGATTAGCAAAATATTTACTGATATTAATACTAATAAAACAATTTGGACTAATTGGCCAAAAATTAACATAATTGTTTAGGTATGCTATTATTTTATGGATAAGTTAACTATAAGATTATACTATTACAGTAACTGTATGATAGTTATTGAATGTGTTTTTTAAAGTAAATGTTAAAATTTTTTACAAACACATATAGATATATATATAACTTTACAATAATTATATTTTTTTATATACATATGGTTTGCACAGAATCTAATATTATTTACATATAATTAGTGCGTCAATAAAATATAAATAAATAAATTAATTAATTTTATAAATAATATTTATTTAACATTATTGAAACATTAAGAAACTGATTGAAATGCTAATCTTTATATAAATGCTAGATTTGATTAGAAAAATATTTTATTACTAAATACTAATAAAACAATTAAAACTAATTGGCCAAATATAAACATAATTGTTAATTATTATACTATTGTTATTATAATTACTGAAAAAAATGTTATAGAAACTATACATGAAATAAATATTATTATGTAAACGTACATCAATTATGTAATAAATATGAAATAATTATTTAAAATTTTTTAATAAACAATTTTTTCAATATGTTTTTTATACAACAATTTTATATATTAATTAAATATAAATATAGTATTAAATGATTACTTATGATCGATAATGTTATTTAATAAAATTTTGAAATGATTTGAAATCTGAAATAATAATTATTTATAGTTTAAGATAAAATATAATTTAAATCAAAACATAACTAAAAATTATTTTTAGTAAATTTAAAATTACTTATTTAATTATTATTAATAATTAAATATTACACATAGGGATCATACATCAGTACAATTGAATAATTATGAATGAATGAGTTAAAGTTGAAATAAAATAAAACAATATATTGAATAATAGAATATAAGCCGAAATAAGCCCACAAACTTTATATTAAATTATACTATTAAATAAAAATTACATAAAATATATTTAAATACTCATATAATTTTTATTATCAATTATATATAAAAAAAACTATTTATGATATTATTATTTTTATAAGATAAAGATAGTTGTCTAACAATATTGTTATTATCAACAGTCAAATGCTCCTGATCTATGATAGGGACTAATGAATATTTTTGTTATAATAATATGACTTTAAATGACTATGACTTTAAGTTTCTGAGTTTCTAACATTTTCAATTTGGTATTGTTTAAAAAATAAAAACTCACTTTATAAAGTGTGTCTGTAATTTATTATCTGAAAAATAAAACACACTAAAAAACATTTTGAAATAATAAATAAAAATTAATTTGTATTTAAATTATAAAACACTAAAAATAATTTTATAATCTTAATTATTTAAAAATTATTTATTAAAAAATAAAAAAATAAAAGATATATAGTAGGGATGCTATTAAATTATCGTATGAATCATAAAATGAAGTCAATAATAAAGATACATATATTATATTATAACCATTTATTAAAATAAAATATTATTGTTTCAAATTTTTCAAAATATTTAATTTAAACACTTATTCAGTAAAAAATAAAGTTTAATTAGATTCCAGTTTTCTCTCTAATCCATTGGCGATGAGCGGCAACATTGGTAACAATATCGGGTCGACCGGACTGACCACAGGACAGATCGCTAGATAGGACACCCATTAATACCTTATATTCTGAATATACTATCAAAGGGCCAAAAAATCTGTTATCTTTGGGTTCATCTTTTGGTTTCGTACTTAATGTCATAATAACAGGTCCGCCCTCATCGTCCTATTTTACACATAAACATATGGTTTTTAACAAATTTAAAAAGTTATCCAAAAGAAAATGCTAATCATATTTTCTCTCTCTCTCTCTCTCTCTCTCTCTCTCTCTCTCTCTCAACACTTGACACATACATTACAGGCTCCCTTTCCTTTATCGGCCACCAAACAAACATTACTACTGTCGATGATTGTTGTTGTTGTTGTGTTGGCGTTGGTAGTCATGATATTGTTTGCTATAATAGATTTACACTGTTGCCAACCAAATATCTTTACATTGAGTGTATGTAGAAACCACCAAACAGTTTTCGATCCCCAACCGCCTATTTGGGCCGGATATCCCTCATCGACAACTAATTGCTTTTCATCAGCCAATCGTATTATACCAACCAAATCACTGTTACGAATATAGGGCTCAACCCTAACCAGTGCTATATTGTTTTGTTTAGTCTCAGACGAGTACTTGTCGTGTATAATAATTTTGTCGACAGCATAGTAGCTATCATTGAATTTATAATCATTTCTACCGACACCAACAAAAATGCTTGAAACTGTACGACTGTTGTTGTTATTATTATAGTAAGAGTGATCGTATTAATAATAATAATAATTGAGAAAATAAATTAAAAGATAAAACTAAAAATATTAATATTAAAGTTTAATTACTTTTGTAGACAACTGGCAGCCGTTAGTATCCAATTCGTACCAATGATACTACCGCTACATAAGTGTTGTTTCAATTGGTTGTCTATCAACGATGCCGTATAACCCAAACCAAACGGGAAATGACTAGTTTTGTTGGGATCCCTCCAAGTCGGATCATCACTTATGATTTTTACCGGCTGAATGTCTTTATTATTATTATTATTATTATCGTTACTATTACTACTACTAATAACAGCAGTTATATTGGTTTTCTGTTTAATCCATTGTAGATATGGGTTAATACTCATCATAACTTCGGGTCGACCAGATTTGCAGGACAGTCCAGTTGATAGGATACCTATTAGTAGTCGTTCATTATTTTTTCCTTCACTATCGACACAATATCCGGGCAGTTGTTGTGGTCTATCTATAGTCACTGGTCCACCTTCATCACCCTATTATCATATATATATATATATATTAAATTAATTTAAAAAACAAAAATATTTATAACAAAATTTTTTAGATTCAATAGTTTTGTCATTATTTCTTTATTTTTCTTTAATAACTTTAAAAACTTTATAACACTTACATTACAGACGCCATACTTATCGTATTTCACTAAACAATCATTACTACTATCTATGTTTGTTGTTGTGTTGTTTGTGGTGATGGTGTTGTTAGTCATTATAGACTTACACTTTTGCCAACCAAGTGTACGGACTCGATATGTATGACCCCATTTAGTTTCCCAACTGGTTATTTCGGCTAAAGTCGAGTCGTCAATAACTGGTTGATCGGCCAATTGAACTATACGTACGTGTGAATTGTCACTTATGTAGGGCTCGACCCTAACCAGTGCTATATTATGTTGTTTAGTCACTGGCGAGTACTGGTCGTTGATAATGATTTGGTCGACACCATAGTATGTATCATTATATCGGAAATTTTGTCTACCGACACCAACATAAATTTTTGATAAGGAACGACTGTTTTTTAAATTTGATGTTGTTTTTGTTGAGTGAAAGGGTAGGTGTTGTAGTTAATGATCAAAAAATGAATATTCAATTGAAAATTGTATATTAGTATTATTATTAATATCAATACTTACTTATATACACAACTGGCAGCCGTTAGTATCCAATTTGCCCCAATGATAGTACCGCCGCATAAGTGGTCATTAAATTCATCTTTCAATGCCGCGGTATGGCCACTATGATATCGGGATAATTTTGTTAAACAAATAACCGGCCGATTGTCAACATTATTAGTATTGTTGTTATTATTATTATTATTATTACTAATCGCATGTATATTTGTTTTATTGTTAATCCATTGAATATATGGATAAATACTGGTAACAACTTGGGGTCGACCATCGATACCGCAGGCCATGTCTACCGATATGATACCGATTAGTATTTTTTCTCTACTATGATCTAATTGACCTTGGTTTTGTTTATCTATTGTCACTGCACCACCTACATCATCCTATTATTATTATTGTATTGAAAATAAATAAAACAATTTAATTAACAAAAAATAACAATCATCTCTCTCTCTTTCTTTCTCTCTCTCTACTAAATTATACAATATTTTGAAAACTAACATTACAGACACCCTCTCCTTTAAGGGTTACCAAACAAACTTTGTTACTATTAATGATCGGTGTATTTGTTGTTGCATTTGTGTTGTTGTTGTTGGTATTGTTGACCGATATCGACGACAACATCATACCAGTGCACTGTTGCAAATCGATTGTCCGGGCATTATATGTATTCATACCCCAACTGTATTTTCCGTGTCCCCAACCGTGCAGATAAGCTGGTGACCAGTTAGCAGGCGGTTGGTCGGCAATTGCTATCATTTCGTTAAAGCTGTTGTCCGAAATATATCTGTCAACCCTAACCAATGCTATATTGTTTTCGTGAGCCGCGGCCGAGTATTGGTCGTGTATAACGGTTTGGTTGACCGGATAGCGCTCTCCGAGAATATTAATGTAAAAACTAGAAACTGTACGACTAGTTTTTTTTGTTGGTTTGGTTTAGTTGATTGTAGAGTGTGGTGGTTAGAAAAATAAATATAAGTGGGTTAAATATGACAATATATACAAGTATATACAGGTATATACAAGTTTATCTAGGTATATACCTAGATATTATTTTGTTTAAACAAATATTATAACAAATGTAATAAATAAAACAAAATAATAATATTAATAATTTTTTTTGATAATATTATTTTTTAAACATAAATATTAATTACTCTAAATATTATATTACTATTTACTACTACTATAATAATTTACATACTTATATACACAACTGGCTGCTGTTAGTATCCAATGGGGACTTATTATAGATCCGCCGCAAAAATGTTTATCAGTGTTGTTGGTCTTCAATGATACGGGAAAACTAATACCACGTGTTATATTGTATAGCGATCCCAATATAGGTCTACTACTAGTAGTAGGGATAGGGGTAGAAGTAGTCGGATTACTATTAGTAATAGTAGTATCATCGCAGAGATCAGTACTAGTTTTGATTAGCAAAATATTTACTGATATTAATACTAATAAAACAATTTGGACTAATTGGCCAAAAATTAACATAATTGTTTCGTATGTTATTATTGTATGACTAAGTTAACTATAAGATTAATTGCTAATACAGTAACTATTACTGTATGATAGTTACTAAATGTTCTTTTCAAGTAAATGTTATATTTTTTTACAAACACATACATATATATAACTTTACAAAAAAAAATAATTTTCTTAATCAATATGTTTTTCACAGAATCTAATATTATTTACACATAAGTTATGCGTCACTAAACTAAATGAACTAAAATAATAAATTTTATAAATAGTATACTATATTATAATATATTTATTTAAAATTATTTAAGAAACTGATTTAAATATATATTTTTTAATTCTCTATATTAATGCTAGTTTTGATTAGATAAATATTTAATTACTAAATACTAATAAAACAATTTGCACTAATTTTTGCCAAAATATAAACATAATTGTTATTATTGTTATAATAATTACTGAAAAAAGTGTTATACAGACTTTACATGAAATAAATATTATTACGTAATTATGATATAATAATTTAATATTATTTAGAAAACAATTTTTTTCAATATGTCTTTTTTACATCAATTTTATAAATAATTAAATATAAATATAGTATTAAATGATTACTTATGACTTTAAGTTATATCTTAGAATTTTCAAAGAATTGAAATCAAAAATAATAATCATTTATAGTATAAGATAAATATAATATAAATCAAAAATATCTAAATATTATTTTTGAGTATATTATTTATAAGGGACTGTTCACATATTACGTTCGAACTTTTTAAGAAATCTAGACCTCTTCTCTCCCCTATGTTCGCAATTGTTTGCATATAATCATTCAAAAAAATTTACGTTTTCATGTCGCTAACTGCTACCCCCCCCTCCATCACAAGAAATAAAATATTATCTAATTGCGAACGTTCTTAAAGTCTCTACCCTCCCCTACGCTCTTCGCTTTGGCTTAACCCCCCCCCTCAAGTGATAACGTAATATGTGAACCACGCCTAACGATTTTAAATGTTTTTTCAAGTAAATGTTAAATTTTTTTTTATAAAGATTACAATATATAGAGTTCCCAACATAGGTCTAGTAGTAATAGTAGGGATAGGGGTAGAAGTAGTCGGATTCGTATTAGTAATAGTAGTATCATCGCAGAGATCAGTACTAGTTTTGATTAGCAAAATATTTACTGATATTAATACTAATAAAACAATTTGGACTAATTGGCCCAATATTAACATAATTGTATGGTATTATTATTTTATCTCTAAGTTAACAATAAGATTAATTGCTATTACAGTAACTATTACTGTATTATAGTTATTAATAGTTTTTTTTCAAGTAAATGTTTAAAAAAATTTTACAAACACATATAGATATATAGCTTTACAAAAATATTTTTATTTTTTATTTAATATGGTTTTCACAGAATCTAATATTATTTACACATAAGTATTGCGTCAATAAACTAAATGAATTAAGTAATACATTTTATAAATAGTTTTTTTTTAAATTATTTTTAAAAACTGATGTATTAAATGTTTATTTAAAAAAATAATATTTAGTTTTTTACATACATAAATATTTTAGTAATTTTAATAAATAATATTTTTATTATTCAATTGTCTTTTAATAGACTCTAATTTCATGTACAGATTCTATACATGACTTCAATATTATTACGTAAACGTAAATCAATTATGTAATAAATATGAGTCTAATTTAATATTATGTTTAAAAAAATAACTTTTCAATATGTTATTTTTGTACATCAATTTTATAATTATTTAAACATAAATATAGAATTAAATTATAATTTAATTAAATGTTTAGCCTATATCTTTGACTATAAAAAATTATAATATTTAAAAAAAACTATACTAATATAAAAAGTTAAAATAATCTATAATTAGCTAGATTATAGTAAAAATTAATTTTATAAACTTATAAATTAATTATTAAAAAATAATTCATAAAACCTATCCTTTATAAATTAGTAATACACACACATATATATATATACTATACTGTATATATAATTATGATATTTTAATTTTTAATATCATTAATTTAAATTAATTTACAAACTGTGTCTGTATTTTATTGTCTGAAAAATTAATACAATATAAAAAGAATATTTTGAAATTTTGAAATAATAAATAAAAAATAATTTTATATTCTTAATTATTTAATAATTTAAATAATTATTTAATTAATAAAAAATATTAAAATTATTATTATTTCTGTTATAATTATTTATATTCCAGTTTTTTCTTTAATCCATTGTCTAAACGGTGCAACACTGGTAACAACTTCGGGTCGACCCGAACCACAGGACAGATCGCTGGATAGGATACCGATTAATAGCCGATATTTTTCATTAATATAACCAGATTTTCGGTCATAAAAATATCTTAAGCGTCTGTTTCCCGGTTGTTGTTGTTGTAGTTTCTTTAGATCTTCCTCTTCTTGTTGTTGTAATTGTTGTTTTTGTTGTAGTAGTTGTTTATCAACTAATGTTATAGTTACTGGTCCACCCTCATCACCCTGGTATTATATATATATAATATAAAGTAAATTAAGTATAATAAACTGTTAATTGATAATTTTAAAAACATTTAATTTTCTCTAATAACTCTCTCTCTCTCTCTCTCTCTTTCTCTTTCTCTTTCTCTTTCTCTCTCTTTCTCTGTCTCTTTCTCTGTCTCTCTCTTTCTCTCTCTTTCTCTCTCTTTCTCTCTCTCTCTCTCTCTCTATTTCTCTCTCTCTATTTCTCTCTCTCTCTTTCTATCTCTCTCTCTCTCTCTCTCTCTCTCTCTCTCTCTCTCTCTCTCTCTCTTCTCTCTCTCTTCTCTCTCTCTCTCTCTCTATTTCTCTCTCTCTCTCTCTTTCTCTCTCTTTCTCTCTCTCTCTCTCTCTCTCTCTCTCTCTCTCTCTCTCTCTCTCTCTCTCTCTCTCTCTCTCTCTCTCTCTCTTTCTCATTCATCTAAATTATAGACACTTACATCACAGGCTCCCTTTCCCTTTCCTGACATAAAACAAATATTATTACTGTTGAGGATTGTTGTTGTAGTTGTATGGGTATTGTTGGCCATCATAGCTGTTGCGCACTGTTGCCAGCCGACTGTCCGGGCGTGTAGTGTCGACAAAATCTTGGCACCTATCATATTCCTTTCCGTATCGTTACCATAACCGGCTAAATCAGCCTCCGATTCGCTACCGTCGGCACTAACCAGTTGGTTGCCGTCGCCGCCGGCCAATTGGATTATCCGGACCATTGCATTGTCACGCAAATATGGTTGGACCCGAACCAATGCTATATTATTTTGTTTAGTCACTGGCGAGTACTGGTCGTGTATGACTACTTGATCGACAGCGTAATGGCTATCATTGTATTTGTAATTTACTTTACCGATGCCAACAAATATGCTTGAAACGGGACGACTAGTTGTTATTGTTGTTGTTGGTGGTGGCGGTGGGGGTGGTAGTGGTGGTGGTGGTGATGATGGTAGGGTTGGATAGGATTAGTGATGAAAATTTAAAAATGAAATAAAACATATATTCAACAATATTATTAACTAAGATTATAACTATATTTACTTATGTACACAACTGGCCGCAGTCAGTATCCAATACGGACTGATTATACTACCGCCGCAAAAATGCTGATTAAATTCATTGTTCAACGACACCGTATAGCCTAAACCATGACGAGAATAATTACCCGAACCTAATACCGATCGTTTGTCAATATTAGATGCATTGGTATTATTATCATTATTATCATTAGCAACAACTGAACTAATATTGGTTTTCTGTTTAATCCATTGTATATACGGGTAAATACTGGTAACAACATCGGGTCGGCCGCCGAGACCGCAGGACAAATCGGTCGATACTATACCGACTAATAGATGATCACTATTATTATACTCAATGCCTGTTTGGTATTGTCTATCTATAGTCACTGGTCCACCCTCATCACCCTATTATTATTATTATAGTTTTTAAGCAAATACATATTTTGAAAATAATTAAAATTATGAAAATAAAATTCACAAAAAAATTTAATATAAGTATTAAAAAGTTTAATTCATATCCTCTCTCTCTGTCTCTACTATACTCTACTCTACTATACTCTGAGCACATACCCAACAGGCACCCTTTCCTTTTGCGGCCACAAAACACATTTTGTTACTATTGATGATCGGTGTCAACGGTGTTGTCAGTGGTGTTGCATTTGTGCTGTTATTGTTGTTAGACGTGGCCGTCGACGACATCATATTAGTCGTACACTTTTGCAAATCAATGTTTCGGGCGTCCAGTGTTGACAACATAATGTTATGGGATTTGTTTGTCGGCGACAGTGATCCCCAACCGTGCAAATAGACTGCCGACCAGTTGGCAACCGGTTGATCGGATAATTGAATCCATTGGACACCTGGGTCTTGAAAAATATATGTCTCCAGACCTACCAGTGCTATATTGTTTTCGTGAGTTGCGGGCAAGTATTGGTCGTGTATAACGGTTTGGTTGACCGATACTTTTCTAATGTCAGATATATGTCCTAAATAGTCCTGTCCGAAAACAATGTAGAAACTAGAAACGGGACGACTGTTTGTTTGTTTTAGTTTTGTTGGTTATTTAGGGGTGGATGGGGTGGTGGATGATGTAGGTTAGGACGGGTGGGACGGTTCAGACAGACAGAAAAAATACAATATTAATATCTCTAAATTAATTGTTTATATGAGACAAAAAATTATTTTTATGATTTAATATTATATACAGTATATTATACATTAAATATAATATACATTAAAAATAAATAATTTGTAAGTTATTACTATTACTATTACTACTTACTTATAAACACAACTGGCTGCCGTAATTATCCAATAGGCGCTTAGTATAGAACCGGCGCAAAAATGTTGGCCATCCGATTTGCTGGCCAATGATACGGGAAAACCTAAACCATATTTTTGAAAATATCTTACTGAACCCAATATAGGGAAACTCCAGTTAATATTGCTAACAGTAGTACTACTAATAACAGTGGGAGGAGTAGTCGTAGGGGTCAGGGTAGCAATAGTATTATTTCTATCATTACAATTTATTATTAGCAAAATATTTAGTAACAAAAAACAATTTGAACTAATTGGCCGAAAATAAACATAATTAATTGATAATTGTTAATTATCAATATCTACACTACTTTAGTTATTGACAGTTAGTATAAAAATTTTTTTTTTTTAACTAATGTTAAATATTTTATAGAATCTGATATATATACAGTATATATATATATATATATATATATATATATATATATATATATATATATATATTCCGTATGGTTTTCATTGAATTTAATATATCACTGATATATTATGAAACTAGTATTACGTCTATTATAAATTTTTTATGTTATAATAAACAAGTATTAAATTTAATTATTACCATTACATTATAATCAATATTAAAACACTTTTTATGCTATTAATATATCAATTATGTAATAAAGTTGCGTAAAGTTAATATTATTTTTTAAAAAACAAATTTAATATGTTTGTTAAAAAAATTTTTTTTTGACTCAATATTAATGTGTAATTAAATGCTTTTTTAGTCTATAATATAATTTTTTACTGTAATATACAATAAACATGTTTTCACTGTTAAATATACTATAGATTTAGTAGAGTTTGTATATTTAGTATCTAATGAATAAATATTTGAATAGTTTTTTTACCTAAAGTTTTCACTAAATTTTTTTTAATCCTATCCAAAAGTTATTACATAAAACATGTCGGTCTAAAAAACAATTGAAACCCATTTGTATAAATAATATTATTTAATTGAATTCAAAATAAATTTTAAAAATTATGTTATTTTTCTTAGAAATTCTTTAAAAAAATTAATTTTTATTATTAAATTTTCTAAATTTATATTTTAATAATCTACAGTATTATATAGTATGCATTTTAAACAATTTACTAATATTAAATGTTTATATTATTATATTTAATATATTTACAACAACAAAAATTTTATATTGATAAATAATTAATTAGTAAATATTATTATTATTATTAAAAATCATTATTACCATCATCATGATCATTAAAAATATTGAGCTAGTATAAAATTTGCTTGCACCATTATAAACATGATCATATTTTAATTGTAATCTAGGATAATTATTATTAGTATTATCATTATTATTACTATTACTGTCATCATTATCATCATTATTATCAGTATTTGCATAATGTTTACTATTTTGGTTAGTTGTTTGAATGTCTTGAAATTTTTGATTCAATTTAGCATAACTGGCCAATGAATCGGCCAATTGTTTGCCTACACTGTTCAACTCATTGTGACATTTATCCTTCAAAAAAATATATTATAATTACTATCAATATAACTATCAATATACTTATATATACAGTATTATTATACATACATAACTCATGTTTGTTTCGTGTAATTGTGCCGTCAGTTTGCTAATCTCCCGGTCCTTGTTGGCGACACTTGTTTCGGCTATCTTCAACTCCCTGTCCCTATCATTGACCAATTGTCTGGCATTAGCCAACTCTTCGGTTTTGTCATTCAAGTCTTGCTGTATGAACTGTACCCTACGTTCAGCCGACTGTCGACGCATACCAGTGCTCTCAAGTTGGCCGTCCAGATCGCGATAGTCAGTCAATAGTTGCCAATAACTGATACTTAATATACCTAATGTAACAAACAGTATAAATACTGTTATACGTAATAGTGTGCAACCATTGTTTGAATTTTTTGATGAAACCATAGTTAAATCAAAAACAACAACAAAATTATTGAATAATAATTAAATTTTATTAAATTATTTATATTATATTATTATTAACACTTTATTGATAAATATCTGTTTTTAACTGTTAATAAAAATAAACTGTTATGTTATTTAACATCATTGCCAGCTATCGATATCAAAAATCATATGATTTTTAAATATTTAATATAAATAGTTATTTTTTGTATATATATATATATAAATAAATATAAAAATCTAAATGATAATATTTTGTTTATATAAATTATTTTTTAATTAATAAAATAATTAACAAAAAATACTGTTAGTAACTACCAAACAAATTATTAGTATATAATAAAAAAATGTTATAAATTATTACATAAATAAAACAATATTTGATGATAATTATTTACAATTTGTTTAGTAAACATAATTAACTAAATACAGTAAATAAATTAAAATTTTTAATTATATTTATAATTTTTAAATAATTAAATTAATTTATAATAAACAATAATCTATTTTTTAGTTATTAATATTTTATTATAAAATTAAATGCAGAAAATTATTATATATTATTAATTTTATTATCAAATAAAATTATTAGATATTTAATTAGATATTAGGTATTCAATTATAATAATTTACTTTCTAGTATATTTTATTTAAACAAATGTCATTATTAATATGCAAATTTGAATTTTTATTATTAATTATAATTTATTTGACAAATACCTGTATATTTATTATTTATATTATTTCTAATAAATATTGTTTAAGTAATCTATTAGAAAATAAATTTCTTAACTATTTTAGTTAACTAATACTATTACACTTTACATTATTGTATTTTTTAGTATAAAATATAATTACTAGACTAGACTAATTACTAGTTTAAAATAATTAAATAGTGTTGAATGCTTAATTTTAAATAGTAAATTAAATTGATTTATATTATTTATAATTATGTAAACATTTAGATAAAATATTTAATTTTTTTAACATTTTAAGTGTATTTTGATATAATTAAAAAAAATGTAAAAATATGATATTATTTTTAATTGATTTTTATTACAGAATCTATATTAATATTTACGTTACAAAAATTACAATTTATTAATTAATTGAAAAATATAAAATTACAGTTATTTTAATTAAGTAAATTACTTATTTATTTGTTGCCAATAATTTATTTCAAAGTACTAACATAAAATTCATTTTTAAAAAATCACATTTTATTGTAATAATATTATAGTTATTTTTATAACTAAACATAATTATTATTTATATTACAATAATAATAATAATAAAGTAATTATACTAAATAAAAAAATAAATTAATACCAAAAAAAACTATTTTCTATCTATTAATAGTAGTCATAAATTTTTCTAAAAAAATATTTACAAAACTAATATTAATAATAGCTATTAGATCCCTGTTTTTCCTTTAATCCATGAGCGATAAGCGGCAACACTGGTAAAAACATCAGGGACAATTGTACCACAGTTAAGTAAACCCCATGAGACAATACCTATTTGTTTGCGATTAAACTTTGCAACCAATGGTCCACCGGAGTCACCCTATATATTCAAAAAATATATATTTATTAAATATAAATAATTATAGTTTAATAATAAATAATTTATGAAATTTTATATACAGATAATACCAATTAAAAGTTTAAATTTGACTACTATCCTGCTCAATTAACTTTATGCTAAGCAAGGTAACTTATTATACAGTTACCTTTTATTAGCTAAGTTATATATAGTACCTTGCTAAATCATTACATAAGATTACGCAAATTTAAACTTTTAAGTGGCATAAACTGTATATATGTATAAACTAACTGAGCAGGCTCCATGTCCATTTGGACTGTAGGCGCAAATATTATGACTATTAATATCTTTACTATTATCGGGTGTGTGCAATGGTTTACACGACTTGGCTACCAGTGCCTGGACATCCAGTTTGTGTAACACTAGTGGCAACTGTTTAGCTGATGTTCGGCCCCAACCGGTTAGCCAGGCAGGCGTCCGATCGGACACTGGCCGGTCAGCTAACCGAACCATTTTAATCTGACTACTGAACCAGACGGGTCTGTCCAATCGTATGACTGCAATATCGTTATCATGTGTCCGATGATCGTAATGTTCGTGTAGATAGACCCGACTGATCCCATACCTGATGCCATCAGAAACTAATGATACGGTTCCCACTACTACTTTATTGTCGTGAATGTTACGACTGAATTTGAGTAGTAGGTATGGGTCATACAAATGGTAAGATGATTGATAGTCATAATTGATTAATCAAATATATATAATAAATAATATGAATAATAATAATATATAAATATATAATACTTTCGTAGACAATGTGCGGCCGTTAGTATCCATTGGGAACCGATAATAGATCCGCCACAGTATAGCCGATTGTCACTCTCACGTATCGATACCTGATAGGGAAAATCGGCTATATTTTTAACAGGGGAACCACCTATAATACGACTGTCCAGGTCGATTATAGGACTACTACTAGTATTAGTAGTATTAGTTGTATCAATGATTTTTTTGCTAAAAATTAGTATCATAAACAAAATAACTTGTTGTCTAATTTTAAGCATTTTTTTTGTATCAAATAATATTATACTAGAAAAAAATAATAAATATTTTAATTATAATAATTTATAACTATAATTAAATTATTTATAATATAATTCATTTATTTTAAATATTATTTAATTTCTAATAATTTATTTTTTATATCTAATGATTACGTTTTAAAATGATATAATTTTAATTAAATAGAAAAATTATTATTAAGCATTTTTAAAAATGTTTTATTTATTATATGTATTTTTTAAAAAAAAATTATTAACTCATTTAAAAATTACCTGTAATAATAATAATTAAATTGTATAGCTTTTCAAATTAATTACGATAATTAATTTTTTTTAGATATAATTGTTATTGTATTGCATTTTATTTAATTGTTATTACACATTACAGAATTATATTTTTAATAAAAATAAAACAATTATTATAGTAATATATATATATATAATATTTAATTTATATTAAATGTTAAATACTAAAAAAAACATTCAATATATTAACAAAATAAAAAAATTTTAAACAAAAATATACAATAGATAACTTTTTATGTACTATAATGTTTTAAATAATATTAATAATATTAGAAAATAAATAAAAAACTTAATTAGTAAAAGACACATAAAATATTATTAATAATAAAAATACTAATAAAATGATAATAATAATAATTAGATCCCTGTTTTTCCTTTAATCCATGAGCGATAAGCGGCAACACTGGCAAAAACTTCGGGTACTTTTGTACCGCAGGTACTTAAACCCCAGGAGACTATACCTATTTGTTTGCGATTAAACTGTGCAACCAATGGTCCACCGGAGTCGCCCTATATATATATATATATACAATATATATATTTATTAAATATAGTAATTATAATATTGACTTAGTTTATGAATAGTTTGCTAATAATATTTTAACACACTATATATACAGTATATATATATATATATATATATATATACACTAACTAACCGAACAAGCTCCCTGTCCATTTGGACTGTATGCGCAAATATGTTTGCTATCAATTAAAACCTTGGTCTGCTGTATATGCAATTGTTTGCACGTTTCGGGTACCAGTGCCTGGACTACCAGTTTTTGCAACACTGGCGATACTCGCCGGGAATTAACCGACGATTGGCCCCAACCGGTTAGCCAGGCAGTCGTCTTATCGGGCACCGGCTGATCGGCCAACCGAACCATTTTAATCTTACTACTAAACTGGATGGGTCTGTCCAACCATATGACTGCAATATCGTTAACATGTGTACGTCGATCGTACTGTTCGTGTAGATAGACCCGACTGATCCCATAGTAGACACCATCGGTATCTAATGATTTGGTGCCCATTACTACCCTATTGCCGTAAGTGTTACGACTTTAGGTGTTTAGGTAAGATAGGTGGGTGCGGGCGGGCGGGCAGGGGTTAAAGTAATAAAAATTAAATAAAATTAATATTAATTTTACATATAAAAATATATATATATATATAATACTTGTGTAAACAATGTGCGGCCGTTAGTATCCATTGGCGGCCAATAATAGATCCGCCACAGTATAGTTGATTAGTACTGTCCCTTAATGAAACCTGATAGGGAAAGTCATCTATATTGTTAACAGTGGAACCACCTATAATACGGCTGTCCAGGTCAATTGTAGTAGTAGTAGTAGTATTAGTTGTATCAATTATTTTTATACTAAAAATTAATATCATACACAAAATAACTAGCTGGCTAATTTTAAGCATTGTGTTGTATCAAATAATATAATAATAGAAAAAATAATTAATTAATTAATTATTATAATTTATAAATAAATTATCTAAATAATCTAATTTATTTTTTAGATCAATTAATTGTTAATAAATAATTTTATTTGATTTCATTTTTAAATAAATATATTATATTTATTAAACAGAAAACATTATTATTAAGCATTTTTAAAAAGTTTTGCATTATTTTATGTTTTTTTGTAGATTGAAAATAATATTGTTAGTTAATTTATGTTAACTTTTCAAGTTAATAATGATATTAGCAAAAATTAAAAATTTCAAAATATATGTTTGTTATTGTACTAGGTATTAATTAATTGCTATTATTTAAACAAACAAAAATCCAATTATTATAGTATATTAAAATATTTAATTACATATTAAGTTTAATTTTTATTGAATGTTTAATAATGAAAGATTTATATATTAATTATTTTTTTAATATATAATATTAATACAATCAATATTATTTGTTGTAATGTATCAATAAAAACAACAAAATTAATAAAAATTTCAAGAAAATTAGTAATAATAATACTGTTTTTTAAATATTTCTAAATTATTTATAAAAATTATTTTAAAAACTAAAACAAAAAAAACTATAATAACTTAATTAATTAGTGTTATTGATAATAATTAATTAAAAGTCCAGTTCCAGTAGCATAGATAATTCAAATGTAACTAGAACAATTTAATTTTATAAATTGTCTATTTTAAAAAAATATTAAAAATAGTTAATTTAAAATACAATAAAAACACTATTATATTAAATAAAATTACTAGAAAATAATTTTAAAATATCATACCAGATAATCATGATAAGCAAATATACAAAAATTTTAGATTAAGTTAAATTAATTAAAAAATTTATTACATTTTTAAAAAGAAATAAAATATACATTAGTAATTAGTAAACAATAAATTTTTAAAATATGTATTTAAACTACTACAATTATAAAAATCTAATTAAAATTTTATACACTTGAAACATATCAATATAAATATGAATATATTACTAAAAATAATTTTGAAATTATTTAAATTAATATTATCTATTATTTCTATTCAACAATTTTCAAACATAAAATAACTATTGGTTTATAAACATAAATCTAGTATATAATATGTTGCTAGATAATTTATATTTTATAAAATTAAATTGTAATATATTAATAGTTTATAATTATTTTTAATTTAGTAAAAAAATATTACTTAACTAGTGTATTTTTATTTTATATTATAATTAAATAAATATAAATTTATCTTAATTAAAGTGTTATATTTAAAAAATTAATTTAGTTTTAAAAAAATTATTGAATGATATCTGAACGATATTTTACAAAAATTAATTATTAAATATTATAGTTTAAACAAAAAAATATAATTCATATAATATATGAGTTTTGAATTAAATTGAAAATTATGTAATAATAGTATATATATATATATTTCTATTATATTAAGCAATTTTCAAACTTTTTAAAAATCATCTTCAAATGTTGTAATTACAGTATTATAGTGTAATTAAACAATAGGTTTGTTATTTTAATTTGTGTGGTGTGCAAAAAAAATAATATATTGAAATATGAAATTACAGTAATATTTTTTTTAAAAAACTATAAATACTGAAAATCATTAGATTTTTAATCAATTATTAAATTTAATTATTTAGTAAAAAATTAGTAAAAATAATTATTTTTAATAAAATAAAAATGTTCACCAAATTAATTGTATCACTAATGCTATTAGCTAGCTTATGTATGCTAAATGTATACGCTAGTAGTGCAGCGGTAAGTTATATATATTAATATATATATATTTTAAAAATATATTAATGATATATATAATTATTTAATTTTTCAAAAATATTTTTTAATTTTTAAATATATAAATTTCTTTTTTATTATTATTAACAGGCATTTTCAAATGTCTATTTAAATAGCAATTATGTGGCTAACAATCAGGGCTCTGAAGCACCGCCGACTGAAGGACCTACTGGTGCCCCGACTGAAGGACCTACTGGTGCCCCAACTGAAGGTCCGACTGCTGGTCCAACTGAAGGACCTACTGGTGCCCCAACTGAAGGACCTACTGGTGCCCCAACTGAAGAACCTACTGGTGCCCCAACTGAAGGACCTACTGGTGCCCCAACTGAAGAACCTACTGGCGCCCCAACTGAAGGACCTACTGGTGCCCCAACTGGTGGTCCGACTGAAGGCCCAACTGAAGCCCCAACTGAAGGCCCGACTGAAGGCCCGACTAAAGCCCCGACTGCTGGTCCTACTGCTGCCCCTACTGGAGCTCCGACTGTAGCCCCGACTCAAGGACCAGCACCAACACTTGTATGTATTGTATTTATAAATTAATACACACTCCCACACATACATACATACACTAAAACAATCTATTTTCTAGTTATTAAATATAAATTAAAATTTATATCCTATTATATAATAATTAGGGACAACACATATTGGACGCCTTGAATCAGGCGCGCAATTCAAACTACCAGCTCATCCGATCCAACGGTTTGTTGCCGTTCCAGACTATCGGACAAATCAATCGAATCATACAGACATTCCGTCGGGTGACCGCCAATTTCAATGGCCAACCCTGTCTGACCCGTACACCGGCCAATGCTGGCCGCAATACTCAGGACAACTGTTACGCTGTTATTGCCGACGCCATACTTCGGGCCAACATTGTACCCGGCTATTTGATTACTGTCGGTGAACGGGCCTATATGGCCACCGATTACTGGCTAAATCAGGAACAGTCGATCGAGTTTTTTATGGGACCACTGTTTTTCGGTGTCTATAAAGAGCGCCGGGGTATTTTTGGTTAAAAAAATCAAATGTTGATTTTCATCATGAATTTGTTTTTAATTTATTTATTAAAATTATTATTAATTTTATAAAATAAAATTTTGCGAATTTACTATTTTATTTCTTTGATTTATTTTAAAAATTTATTTTAATTATATTTATTATTCTATAATAATTATGACATTATAAATAATGTATGTAAATCTAAAATGTGTCTAAACTAACATTATATTTAAGTATTAATGTTTTCCTATTATTAAGTAAATTATTTATGATTAACATAGTTGATAATAATTTTTTTATATTCAAAAAAAATTTATTATAAAAACTAATTTAATTTATTTAACAATTAAATGCTAATTGCAAATATTAGAGTAACATTATATATCCATTTAAATATAGATTTCACATTTAAGTCTATTAAACATTGATTTTAATAATTAATTTAATAAATAAAAAAAATTATTTAGATTATTTAAAACACTATTTCTTAAATATTGCTAAATTAATAGTAGAAAAATATTATTAGAAACTAATATAATTTTTTAAAAAATATTATTTTGTAATTTTTTAAGTGTTGTGCAAAAAAAATTAACAAATATATTGATTCAATTAGAAAAACAATGAAATTATTATTTTTAAACAAATAAAAAGTAAAGTATAAATACTAGCAGTCATATAATACAATCATATTATTATCATTAGTTAATAAGTTTAAATTAATTTAAAATTTAAATTATTTACATTAAATTTGTAACTATAAACTAATTTTGTTGTTCAAAAAAATAATAAAATCAAAAATGTTTAATAAAATAATTTTATCACTAGTGCTATTAGCTAGCATATGCCAGCTAAATGTTTATGCTAATAGTGCAGCTGTAAGTTATATATATATATATAATTTATTATATAAAAAATTAAATTTATATTATACTTAAGTTAATTTTTGTTTAATAAAATTTATTATTTTTTGTTTCATTTATATAAATAAATATATATATATTTTTTCAATTATAAGGCATTATTAAATGTCGATTTAAACAGCAATTATGTGGCAAACAATCAGGGCTCTGAAGCACCGCCGACTGAAGGACCTACTGGTGCCCCAACTGGTGTTCCGACAGAAGGACCTACCGGTGGCCCAACTATCGGTCCGACTGAAGGACCTACTGGTGCTCCGACTGGTGAAACACTTGTATGAATAAAAATTTTTATATATAAAAAATACTAAAATATATATACAGTCTATATATTTATACAGTATATAACTTATTTTCATACATTACATTACATATAATACAAAAAATAAAATTTTATATTTAATTATATAATATATATATATAGGAACAACACATATTGGACGCCTTGAGTCAGGCGCGCAATTCAAACTACCAGCTCATCCGAGTTAACGGTTTGCTACCGTTCCAGTCTATCAGACAAATCAATCAAATTGTACAGACATTCCGTCGGGTGACCGCCAATTTCAATGGCCAACCCTGTCTGAGCCGTACACCGGCCAATGCTGGCCGCAATACTCAGGACAACTGTTACGCTGTTATTGCCGACGCCATACTCCAGGCCAACATTGTACCCGGCTATTTGATTGCTGTCGGTGAACGAGGCTATATGGCCACCGATTACTGGCTAAATCGCGAACAGTCTGTCGAGTTTTTTATGGGACCACTGTTTTTCGGTCTCTATAAAGAGCGCCCGACTATTTTTGGTTAATTTTTTTTCAATTTTTGTTGAAAAATAAACATGCTAATTTAAGTTTTTTCTATTAGTTATTTGTTAGATTTTTAATCAATATTTTTTAACGGTGATATTTTATTTTAATTAATTAATTTTGTTGTAAAATAGATTTCTAATTAATAATTATATTTTTATCTTTTTTATATGATTGTTGATTATACTTTAGTTTTTTTGGATAAAGATTTTTTTAATAAAATATTATTATATTATTATATATTAATGTAGATTAGGTAAAATAATTTAATTTATAAATCAGATACAGTATTATGATATATCATTACCTGTATGTTAATTAAAAATTTAATTTATATACTTAAAAAATTAATTTACATTATTATTGTTTTTTATTTATTAGACTGAAATTTAATATTGTTTGGTTAATAATAAAAAAGTATAAATAATTATGTATTAAGTAAAACATAAATTTATATCAAATATATATATAGCATATATAATACTAAATTTTTATAACGGTAATCTCTGGGAGCAATAAAACTTTATCATTACTTATATTAGTTAATACTTCAACTAATATCATATTTTATTGTTATTTATTTCAAATATAATTATCTTTATAAAAAAATGACATTTTCTTTAAGTATTAATACTTATTAAAACAATACATTATAACAATATATATATATTATATTGATATTAAAACAGTTAGGTAACTATGGATGCTATACAATATATATATATAATTTTTTATCAGTTACTAAAGTAAAATAAAATAGTAATAATTTTTATATTAAAACTTAAGTAATGTATAAAAAAAAAATTTTACATGTCATCATACATGTACTGTACTTTAGATATAGCAATTTTTGTTTTATTTGTTTTAGCCAGATAGTTTAATAATAAATCATATTTATTTTTTATTTAATTATTAGTTATTAGACGTATAAATAATATTATTAATACTTAATGATAATAATAATATAACAATAATATGTTAACTAATGTAATCTATGTGGCCATCAATAGTAAACACATTTATCGATTATCCAAACACTAGCTATAATTATTATTACAACTATTTTATTCAACAGTTACGCCAAACAAACTATAAACAGATAGCCATAGTCGTAGGCCTGACTGTCGTCGGTCCACTGTTGATAGCCTATGCTGTTAGCCAGACAATGGGCAACTCCCGGAGCAGATCGCGTAAACAGGACGACAATAATAGAGGAAGTGGTGGCAGTTATTTTCAACGTCGAAAAGGTGTGACCAGTTCGTCGTCGTCGTGGTTTAGGTCGAAACGTCGTAAACAACAACAAAAGAAATTGTTTTTCATAGCACAGGAACTCTATACAAGCGAACAGGTGTTTGTCGATGTCCTCCGACTACTTGATGATGACTTTCGGCAAGCAGTCAGTGACCACTTGCCCGCTGAGTGTCTGCAAGGGATACTCAAACTGTTGCCACAGTTGTTGAAAATTAACGAACAATTGCTTCAGGAGCTCAAAGATCGTATGGATAACTGGCCTAAACATCAACGTATAGCCGGTTAGTACTTTGAATATACAAATAAATTGATAAAAATATTATAATTATTAAAAAAAATTAATTTTAATTATTGTAAAACAATAAAAGTCTCAACATTTTAGATGAACTAAAAAATAAAATTATTTTTTTTATATTAACTAAATATTTAGATTAATACAAAATTTACAGTTTTAGACAACAACAAAATATTTATTAATTAATTTTTGATTAATAAATATTTTTATAATAATTAACATATTAAAGATTTCTATTAATATAATAGTATAGTAAATATATATATATATGGTTTATTTTAAATTAAAAAAAAAATTTAAATTAACCTAGTGATGCAAATAATCAAAAATAAATAGCAATTGCTCAAAACAAAATTAAATTAATTAATTAATTATATAATTATTAAAATAAATTAAAAATAAAAACTAATTAATTCATTCATAGATATATTGGTCAAAGTATTTCCGTTTTTGAAACTATACTCACAATACATCCGCGACTTTGACACCATATCCGCCAATTATGACGACGCTGTGCGCCGGTATCCGGCTTTCGGACAGGCAGTCAAAGATTTTGAAGCCCAACCTAAATGCCAGAACCTACCGGTCAAACATCGGTTGATTAAACCAGTTCAACGACTGCCCCAATACAGGCTACTGGTTCAGGAATATTTGGATCATTTGACACCCGATATGGCCGACTACGAGGACACGTGTGCGGCATTGAAAATCGCGTGTCAAGTGGCCGAACACGCGAACAGTTCGATAAAATCAAACGAAAATCTGGCCAAACTGTTGTCCATACAGAACAGTATTATCGGTGCCTCGGAGATCATCAAACCGGGCCGTGTGTTCATCAAAGAGGGACAGCTGTTGAAGCTGTCGAGGAATGGTATGCAAGAGAGACGATTTGTTTTGGTAAATATGTTTTTTGTTGTTAATTAAAAAAAATAATAATATTAGAATTAAAATTCAGTTACTAAATATAGGACTAGTTGTATATTATAATAAAATTAATGACATTAAGTTAATAAAAAAGGGTTTCAATTTTTTTAGTTAAAGTTTTATAAGACAACAATTTTATATTTTCAATTTAATTTAAGTACTATTGTATTGTTATACTGTATACTAAATAATAATAATAATTATATATTTTATTTAGTAAATAATAACAATACATTTGTAATGTTTGTTATTTTGTTTGATTAATATTTTATAAAACAAATGATTAAATACTGTATAATGATTTACAAATAAAATTTTCTATCTATTAAATATATATATATTAATTAATTAGTAAATGATATTTGTTATTATTATTATTATTAGTTCAACGACTGTCTAACATACCTGACACCTGTACTTAATGGCGTCTATCGGTTGAATCACGAACTACCTCTAACCGGTATGAAAGTCAGACTACCCGAACAACAGGACTATCCCAATGAGTTTTCTGTCATAGCACAGGTCAAGTCATTGACACTAGCGGCCAGGTATGTCAACAACAAACAAACAAACTATTCATTGATTACTACAAATGTATTTAAATTATTATTATTATTACTTATAATTAGTTCACCAGAGGAACGGGATGAATGGGTGGCTGCCGTCAATGCCATCATCAGAGAGGATACCAACAAAATGCTATCGTTTATTACCGACGATATTATGTCCAGCGATAGTTCAGCCAAATCGGTACTAGAATTGGGAACGTATGCACCGGTTTGGGTACCCGACGGCCGGGTAGCCAACTGTCAGCTATGCGGTGCCGAGTTTTCCCAATTGGTACGCAAACAACACTGTCGATGTTGCGGTCGTGTTGTATGCTCCGGGTGTAGCGAAAACAGGGCACCCCTACCCTATATGAAAAATCAAAATGCCCGGGTATGCGATGAATGTTTTCAGATATTAAGGACCCGGATAATCAAACGGCTGGATAGGGAACAAAAATATAACAGTGCTTACAATGTGTTGGACGACAACAACGAACAGGTAGTTGTGATGGCTGAGGATGAGGATGAGGAGGACAGGGGTGATGTGAGGGACAGTAGTCCGAGAAGTAGTAGTTCGACAGGTGACCGTAAATCTGGTATTAATAATAATAAAGGTGTGAATAATAATAATAGTGAAAAGTCAGGCAAAACTATTACTGAGGAACAGGATGTCAGTGGTAATGGTGGTGGTGTAGGTGTCGGTAGCAATGGTGGTAAGGGTTGGTTTACAAGAAGTTTGGAACGATTGAGCAATAAATCTAAAAAAAGTAAAAATCATAAGATAAGGTCTGAAGAGGTGGAGGACAGTCGTCATACTAAACATAACGATACTGTTGTCGTCGGTGACAATCAGACATCCGATTAAATTTTGTTTTTATCTTAAATTTTTGTTGTTGTGTTTCATTCATTAAATTTATTTTTCAAACTAAAAATCAATATACAGTATATATATATATATTTAAACAATAGTTTTATATTAAACAAAATTATCTTAAATTATTAAAGTATTTGATCGTCTTTTTCTCAATTTTAATCTTTAATTTATTTTTGAATTAAAATTGTTATAGAATTAAATGTCTATTATTACAGTTAGTATATTAATTATATAACAATAATACAAATTTTTTAAAATCATTTATTTTTATTTTTATTTAGTAAAACTACTTATATTTTTTAAAAAATTTAAAGCTCTTTCTAATTTAATATATAATATATATAAAAAATATTTATAAATCAATATAAACACAAAAATTTTATTTACAGTTTTGTAAAATTAATAATAATCATAAATTATTATAAAAATAATATTTAATTTTTATAGAAACAAACTAGTATTAATTAAAATTAATAAATATAAATTTGTTTATAAAAATATATTATAAATTAAACTTAATTTTTTTTTTAAATATATTATATTTATCTTTATAGTTGAGTTAATAAAACTTTTCAAGTTTTTTTGTTGTTAAAAATAATACAATTTAATAAGTCATTTATTATTTAAATAAAGTCATATTTAATTTTAATAATTTTAACAAACTAAAATAATAAAATTAATTTACTATTTTATTTTATTGCACAAAATTACATTACATAATAATAATTAATTTTATTAAATTTATAGATTATTTCAAAATATAAAAATATGTTTAATAATATAAAACATAATTATATTTTATAATTAATTATTTAAATTATCTGTGTAATTTTTTTAGTAAAGATTAAGTTTTTAAATACACCAAATTTTAATTAATTAATTTTTCTAAACCACATGTTATATTTATATAAATATTGACATATCATTGATAAAGCTATTTGATTCAATAAATAGCTATTACTGAATACCATTGAAATAAAAATTATAAACTTTCAAACAAAAATAAAAAATAATAAAAATTGTATTTTATTTTTTAAATAAAATTTTCAAGTATTTTTTGTAATTACGAATTTCTTTAATTTTTTTTTATTTATTTCGATTTAATATTATATTTATATTTAATTAATAAATTATATTTCAAATTTGTATATCTTATTATTATATTGTACTCCAAATAAAATATAATTTGGCCACTCTAATTTTCAGTGTATGATAAAAAAAAATTAATAATACATATGTATAGTATGAACAATGTATGCTATAATACAAAAACACATATCATATAATTAATTATTGGTAGTAATATAATAAAATTAATTAAATAAAAATATACACACTATTATACATCTATATGTTACATAATATACTAAGAATCAATTTGTTCAACAAATAATAAATGTGTTTACAATAATATATTTTAATGTCTTTAAATTTTTTTTATAAAATGTTTTTTTATATATATACAAAGAGACATGACATTAGTTTAAAAATCATAAAAATTTATATCAAAATATAATTATATAGCAAAGTATTATAACTACTAGTACTACAAATATCAAGAAAAAATAAAATTTTTGATAATACCGATACTAATTACTGTTATGTTGTCTTTATAAAAATTATGACAACTTTAATTCATATTGTTATTGATAATTGTTACCAAAGAAAAGTTAATAATTAGTAATTTATATTTAATATTAATAAATTATTATTATAAATTATAAACTATTATTTTTTAATAAAAATCAAAATTTTCGTTCTAATAATTTTTAAAATTTTATTACAGTATTATAATTATTAATGCTAAATTTTTAAAAAAATTAATTAATTAATTATATTAATATGTATTCTTAAATTTAAGTTTTTTTTTAGATTTTTTTATTTAAATTTTTTATAAATATAAGTATCGCTATTATCAAAATGTCATTGGTAATAATCGGTAATCGGACCTCTTGCAAAGTATGCAGAAATTTTTTTGATCATGATAATTTTTCACTTATCTAATGGTTATACATATGATATTATTTGTTTTCCTAGTATTTGCGGGTAGGTCTACAAATTGAAAATGTTTGTATTTATTATTATTCGTAGTTATTATTATTATTATTTATTAATATTTAAAATCATGTTATCCAATCGTAATAAAGCAATATCATTCTATGCTGTTTTATCATTAAAATAGATATATATATATATATATATATATATATATATATATATATATATATATATATATATATATAGATCAGATATGTTCAGATGTTCATATTAAATTTAAATAGATATATATATATAATATAATTATATATATATACCGTATATATATTACTTTAGCTATATTTCTTAATATTTATCTTGTTTGATTCGCTTATTTTGTGATCACAAAATACTAACTCAATATTTTATTTTATCAATAATAGTACCATTATCAAAATTATAAAAATCACTAATCAAATGTCTTCAAAAAAAATTTTTTAAATCAAATGATTTTAATTTATATAAAGACGTGAGATTTATTTAAAAATCATAAAAATTTCTACCAAAATATAATTATATAACAAAGTACTTAAACAAATACTACTACTACTACTATCAAACAATAAATAAAAAATTTTTGTTCTAATAATGTTTATTATTATAATTATTGATGCTATATTTATTCAAAAAAAAAACATTAACTAACTATATATATTACTATGTAATCTTTGGTATACATAAACTTCTATTTGTTTTTTCATATGATTTCCGGGAACAGGTTGAAAATGTTAAAAATTATTTATTAAAATCAATCGGACTGTCGTAATCGTAATAAAGCAATATCATTATCTGCTGTTCAAATCATTAAAATCACTTTTAATGTATGTATCTGATATGTGGAGTTTAATAGACAATTGTTTTCAAAAATTAAAAAAATTCTTTTTATGTATATTAAGAGACATGATATTATTTTTTTTAAATCATTAAAAACATCTGTCAAAATTGTTAGACGTGGTGTTGGGAGGTTTTAGGACCTGACATAAATGGCATGACTTAACACTAACTGCCAATATTTTCGATGCCTCTTATGGTTAATGTCACATGAATTAAGAACCTGAGTCAATGTTTGACCACGAAATCTGACATTTATCTATATAAATAAAATCGAGATTTTTTTTTATAAATATAATTATCGCTACTATAATAAAAAAATCATCGGGATTAATTGGTAAAAAATCATTCAAATCATCTCATAAAAATTTCTACCAAAATTGTTGGACGTGGTGTTGGGAGGTTTGCATGAACGGCATGAATAGTAACTCTTTTGACAAAAATAACTGCCAATTATTTTAGACTATATATATAACAAGAATAAATACAAAAATATTAAATATAATATTTAAACTTTATTCAAAAATTAAAAAAAAACATTTATGTACATATAGAGACAAGACATTATTAAGAATCATCAAGAAATCATAAAAACTTTTCATTAGATATTTCTATAAAAATAATATAACTAATAGTTTCTCCCTCATCCGATAGCTATACATAAGCTCCTATTTTTTATTTTCCTAGTATTTCCGAGAAGACCAAGGCCAATTGTAAATGTTCGTAGTTTTTAATCAATGTGGCTATCCAATAATAATAAAGCAATATCATTCTCTACTGTTTTATCATTAAAACGACTATATGATATATCTGATATGTGAAAATGATCAAAATATTTACTTTAAATCAATAGTTAAATAGATAATATATATATATACCTCAGCTATATTTCTAAATATTTTTTTTTCGTTTGAATCGCTTCTTTTTAAATTATATAATTAAGTATTATATCTATTACTTCTACTATCAAACCAAAAATAAAATTTAGTTAATTGCAATAATTATTAATGTTGGCTTAACAATATTTATAACCACCTTAATTGATCTTGGTTACCAAGGAAAGTTAATAATTATTATTTATTACTAACTAATCAGAAATATAACAAACTATTGTTAATATAATCAAAAATAAAATATTTTTGTTCTAATAATATTTATAATTTTATTATTATTATTACAATATTTTTTTAAAAAAATATTAATTAATTATTTATATTATTATGTAATCAAAAATTTAATGATTAACTATTTTTAGTAAGTTTAATTATCGCTTTTATCATAAAGTCATCGGATATAATCGGTAGTTGGACCTCTATCAAAGTATCCGAGAATTTATCGACTGTTTTCCCAGTTTTCCCCGATTCGGGTCCTATACATGAGCTACTATTTGTTTTCATTTCATTTGTTTCCGAGAAGGCCTACAGATAGAAAATGTTAGTATTTAAAAAAAACCAATTGGTCATTCCTATCGTAATAAAGCAATATCAATCTTTGCTGTTTTATCATTAAAATCAATATGTATAACGATGTTCTACATATTGAATTTAAATCATTAGATAATAGACAATATATATATATATATATACATTACCTCAGCTATATTTTTAAAGACATCTTGTTTGATTCGCTAATTTTATTTTCACCAAATTTTAACACAATTTTTTTTATCAATAATAGTACCGTTACAAAATTTAAAAAATGTACATCATATTTTACTGGAATTTTTAAGGAAAAATTTAAAGAATCAAATCGAATTCTCATGATTATCAAAAAGACATTGGGGATAATCGGTAGTTGACCAACGTGCAAAAATTTTTAATAATTTGTCACAGTACCCCCTATTCGGTTCCTATACATAAACTACCATTTGTTTTTCTATCATTTCCGAGAGAGCCAACAGGGTGAAAATATTTTAAAAATCAATCGTGCTGTACAATATCATTCTATGTTGGTTTTTCATTAAAATCAATATATGTATAATATGTATCTGGTATTTGGAGATGGTCAACATATTTAATTTAAATCATTAGATAATAAACAATCTATATATTAATTCAAAATAAAAATAAATAACAAATCTATTACTGCTACTATCAAATCAAAAAAAAGACTGTTAGACAGATTTA